GAGGTGTGGCGGATCTCTCCCGCCGGGAATTGAACCCGGGTCTCAAGCGTGACAAGCTTGCATACTGACCACTATACTACGGAAGATGTACCAGGCGTTTTAGCGCCTGTGTAGGGTGGCTGGTTCTAGTTGTGGATGGCCGAAGTTATTTTGCTTAAGGATGCTTGGGTCCAATGCATACTATTCTGCTAGTAGTACGCTCGGCGCAGGTGAAGAGACGTGGAAGGTAATGTGAGTATGTACCCTGCTTACTATTCTGAACGATCGAGAGGCAATACTAAGCGCGGTCAGGCACATAATAGAGGTGAAAAGTACCGATATTGGAAACTAGCTTCTCTGGATATTTCATGCCATATGCTATGTAACATCTGTCGTTCAAAAAGCCTGATGCTATACTGCTACAGGCGCAGCCGCGCATATACAAGGGTTCTCCGCTGACTCAGCAATCTACGGTGACGACCGTTTTGCCTCAATACCAGTCCTAGGGGGCTAGGCAGCCTTAGGGAGGCTGCAGGACCTCAAACCGCCCATTCGTCTCAACAACTTTATTTGCCCAATAACCTTTCACTTAATGTAGCTCTAGCATGCCTACTCTCTCCCTTTTCCAATTGAATATCTGTTCCCGTATTTGTGACACCCGCGCTGAAACTGAAATAAATGACCATTTGACAATTCCTCATATTACTTCACAATGGGCCAAGCCCCCTCGCAGGATCGCAGGGCTCGACGAACCCATGAACAGCTGACACAAGAGCTCGTGAGCCTCACAGCGCCCAGCTTCACCGATGGACAGTGTCGCTGATCTTGCGTAATAGGCATACAGATTTAAAGAAAAGTGTTTTACGTCGATTGAGTATTACTCGCTGAAAGATGTGTTCAAGAACCTGGCAGACCAGCAGGGAGATATCCGGTATCTTAAGGAAGACACCATAGCTCGTTTCCTGGAGATCCCAGACATCCTTGGAGCATCGCCCGTAATTTTTCATATGGTTTCGTATCTCGGTGCTTTTCCCTTCCTCCAAGAGGCACCGGTGGTGCTGGAGCTCGCGCAGCTAATCATGGTCGTTGTCATCATGACGGAACGGTATAAACGCGTCCTCGCCAAGGGATCAACAGACAGAACAAAACTTCTCTTTAAAAGCCTGGCTGTCTATGACCGGAAAGCCACGGAAGCCGATACTAATGAGCAGGATTCTCCCTCTGACGCCGCCAGCAAACAGCCTAGTACCCAATCTCAATCTAAAGGGTTTGCGGTTGATCAGCCGGGATTAGGCGATGAAGACGAGGACGAAGAGGATGATGATGACCTGGTAATCACGGCATTTGAGTTGCTTGATGTCAACGAGGCGGTCAAGCGCGGCGACGTCTCTACTATTCACGAAGCGATAATTCCAACCGATAATTTGCGGAAACTGATAATGCTGTTACTATTAGCTGCCCCCTTGGATCCGCAAGAGAGCCTATCGCAGTATTCCACCCGGGTTGCGGATCAAGAATTGGAGTTGCTCCGAGCTACGGCAGAGTGTGTGCTAGCTTCCTTCGTTAATGTCGAAACCTCCCCGGGTATCAGATATACTCGATTCAAGACAGTCATCCCGGCCCTGTTTCCCAATCTCTTTTCTGGTTTCAATGGACTTTTTGAGCACTTTCTTTTCTCTAAAGACCTTGATTTTTCGAAGCATAAGGATGATAAGCCCGGCGAGTCGCAGTATATTGGCAAGATAGCGCAACCTTTATTACCAGTCCCTGGTGACATCCTAAACGAACACACCCTGTCGCAGCTTTCACTATTTCTCCCTGGCTCTTCTTTATTTCGAAGAGTAAGATTGCTGTATTCTGGCAATGATGCTGGGTTTTCGATGGGAAGCCTAGAGTCAAAGATATTTAACTGGAGAGCGCCAACGATCCTTCTGGTAAGCGGAACGAGATTAGAAGATACCCCCGATGGTGGCCAGGAGGCTTCATTTGCTGCCTCGCTTCCACCAAAACGAGTACCCCACGGCAGCAAATCCGAGCGAGTGACGTTTGGAGCTTACATCAGCGAGCCATGGAAGCATACCCATCGGGAGTGCTTTGGTGATTCTGAAACAGTTCTCTTCCAGCTGGAACCCATCCACGACGTCTTTACTGCCAGCACCATCAACACAGACTACGTTGCTTTTACAAAGCCTCCTGGAAATCGACCCTGTCTCTCGTTTGGCTGTCCACATCCTAAACCAACACAGTCACATCGCAAACAAGGTCTGCATGCTCTGGGGGCTGTCTCTCTACTGTTTGATGAATCCTTTGAGTTTGGTGTGTTCAATCATGACTACAAGTCAAGAGGAGGTGCTTTCCACACTAGCATTGTGAGAAAATTTGACTTCCAAGATCGATTCCGCATTGAGAGCTTGGAGGTCTGGGGATGTGGCGGCGACGACGAGGCTAAGGCGCAGGCAGAGCGATGGGCCTGGGAAGAACGAGAAGCAGAAGCTCGCCGTAAGATTAACCTAGGAACGGGCGATATCGATGCAGATAGAGCTCTGCTGGAAATGGCTGGCCTCATAGGAGGAAATCGCAGCGGTGGTTCAATGGGTTAGCAATGGTACGACGACGATTTCATGTCATCTTCGTCGCTGAAGCCATCTTGAACCCCTCTTTGTTACAGCAGAGTTTTTTTTTTTTTTTTTTTTTTTTTGAGGGGGATACGTTATAGAAGCAATCGACGCTGTATAGAGTACCCGAGAATGATACCTGATGCAGCTCATACTAGCTGCTTCCTTAATATTTGGAGATATTCTTAAGAGAAGGGGGTGGCTTACAATCAATGCCCTAAATTCGAACTACCTATCGTACATGCTCATACAATTTTTAACAACGGATTATGTACAGCGCTTTTTAGTCGTTTAGTCACCCATATAGCTGGGTTGGTTTCGTCTTTCTCTTCATTTCTTGGATTCCTCGTCCTTCTTGCCATAAATCTCGCCCAGCGCGCCAAGAGAGCTCTTCGGGTTCTCTTTTCTCGACTTCTTATCTGATGCAGGTTCTGCGACCGCTTCAGCCTTTGCGGCCTCTGCCGCAGCCTTCTCGCCCTTTGACCATAATCCCATCTTGCCTAGGATTCCGCCGGTGCCTTGCGTCTGCTCTCCGCTGGCTGAATCAGACTGGCCCGCAAGATTGGATTGTTTCTTTTGAATCAGAGCCTTCATGGCCTTGTCTTCCTCGTCACGGGCCTCAAGCTCTCGGATCCACTTCTGGCGTTTCTCTTCCGCATCCCGCTCTTCCTTGAGCTTGCGCAGCTCCTTGCTCTTTTCACGGTCCTTGCTATAGTACATGCTTCCGGCGACCATTGCGACGACGGTGAAACCCTGAGCGGCGACACGAGCGCGGAACATCTTGTTTGCTTGTCTGGAATCGCCTTTTCGGAGGGCTCGGTAGGCATTGACGAAGGCGAGGACGGTCAAACCGATTCCTGTTGCTTGGTGGTTAGTCGCCTCAGTGCGGGCAGCACAACAGGGAAACGAGTCTCACCAAGAGGCACCAGAGGCTCCTCCTTGAGCTTGCGCTTGACTTTCTGCATCGGCTTCTCATTGTAGGCCTCCCTGTAGATATGCGTTAGCCGCATCATTGCCTCTGAAGCAAGCAATGGGACGAGACGTACTCGTCGTCAAAAGACGAGGGAAACTGCCCGGTGAATTCCGGCGGCCGGTCTGCCATGGCGATAGTAGGAAATGTTCGGCTGGCCAAATAGTGCAAGTGGGGTGAATTGAAGTAGAGGGCTTCTGAAAACCTGCAGAAGCCGTGGAGGAGGATTCAGATTTAAGACTTGTCAATGTTCGAAGCTGAAAGTAGGCTTTTGGCCATGACCACACGACTCTAAAAAGGCAACGATTGGCGGCCCCTCCACTTACATCAAAGATCACTTCATTCGGCTCAGTGGGCTGGTGGCGCTGCTGCTTTGATAGGCGGGATGCCAGCGCTAGCCCCGCTAACAGCTGTATGTAATCAGCTCTTGCTCCAGGGCTGCTGCTGCAGTAGCAGTACTCAAATATGGAGTACTGGCACAGCTAACTGCTGCTGGGAAAGATACCTCTGTTGCTTGTAAGCATGGAGACATGTGCTGGAGCAGCCGAGCTGTAACTTTACTTGTGCGCTGTCCAGACCACTGATTTCTAAGAGAGGAGCTTCTTTCTGCTTCTTACACCAAACTTCATTTAGACAACAGCATCTACCTGCGAAAGCCGCAAGCAATCAAACGCCAGTGATACGCCAGTAATTTCAATAGGGCAATATATATAGACCATCGCGCGAACGTCCCAACAAGCCACTCGGTTTCCAGCCGATACCCGCCAAGCGGCTCTTCGACCTTCGATATCTGCTACAGCGAAACACGCACGATGCTACAACAATAGCCATGTGGCTCTCGACTCCATCGGCCGAGTCTGTAACTCGGCCGCGAATCGCCGTCGCTCTCGTTTCAGCCATCGCCACGGCGTCAATCGCATACTACGCCTACCAGAGCCGCATCAACTCCACGCACGCAGACGTTCTGCCCGGTGGCGGCCTTCACAGAAGCAACGCCATCCGTCGGAGCAGACGAAGATCGCGCGGACACAGAGCTAGCTCGAGCTCCTCTTCTTCAGACGCACCTGGCGATGAGAATGTTGAAAATGCCGAGAACGCTGAGGATAACGGTGTCCAGCCCGCCCAGCCGGTGGGTGATGGCGAAACGGTAGAAGCAAACAACGACGAATGGTGGAACGATCCGAATAACTACCCTCCCCAACAACGAGCTGGGCATAATATCGTTTCCCTACTCTTCCGGGTCTCAGAAGATAATGCAAAGCGTAATGGCTGCGTCCACAGAGGATGCCAATGTAACTCCTGCGGCATGGTTCCTATCCGTGGCGTTCGCTACCGATGTGCCAACTGTGCCGATTTTGATCTCTGCGAGACCTGTGAATCCCAAGGCGTACATATCAAGACTCACATCTTCTACAAAATTCGCATACCGGCACCCCCATTTGGCCCGCGGCAGATGCAGCCGGTCTGGTATACTGGAGATCCTGATAGCTGTCGGCGCAATCTGCCTAGACCTCTGATTGCGAAGCTCTCGAGGGAAACCGGGTTTGAACGGCCAGAGTTGGAAGCTTTCTGGGAACAATGGACGTTTATGGCAAATACTGAATGGAGAGATGACCCCAACGACCTCGGCATCGCCATGGATCGCAAGACGTTTGAGCGATGCCTCGTACCGACAGGCGGCTCACGACATGCTTCGCCAAACTTGATTCATGACCGAATGTTTGCCTTTTATGATGATAATAAGGATGATCTCATTGGATTTGCCGAGTTCTTACGGGGTTTATCCTACCGCAAGCGAAAGGATAAACTCAAGAAAGTCTTTGACGGTTACGATCTTGACAACGATGGTTACGTCGATAGACGTGATTTCCTACGCATGTTCCGAGCCTATTACGTCCTTTATAAGCAGATGCATAAGGATATCCTGGATGGCCTTGAAGACCAATTACTCGCTAGCTCCGAAGCCCAACAGCTCGTCGCCAGCCGCCAGCCTCTTAGTAGCCTATTTGGACGAGAGGGCAGAGTTCCGACGGCGGACGGGCCATTGGCATTTGAGGGCAAGAGAGTCTTCCCCGATGGGCATGTTGAGATAGAGGTTGGAATGGAAGATGCTGTTGTGAGCGACGCAAGCGACACAGCTGCTCGAGATGAGATTCTTACCGACCTTTATGCCTATGACACCGACCCGTACTCTAGGCGCAGGATGCCCCCTACAGATGACGTTGACACCAACTGGCGCACCGTCCGCACCCTGACGACGAATGATGTTGACCGATCATATTTTTTGTCTCTGATGAACCCACCTGCTTCTCTCGATGAACTGCCTGCCGCTATCGTGGGCAACAATGAGGCCGACGATAATGCAACAGACGAAACATCTGAAGACGGAGAAACGGACGACAAGGATGGAGACGAAGATCACGACCGTGACCATCCCGAGTACTCTGGATCACAGCGGCACGACTCTTTCTCTAGCATTTTTCGAACTGGTAGATTTCCGACAGAGAGCGAAATCAGGGCAAGTTACGTGGCCCATTATCGTCAACATGGTCCCCGAATGAATCGAAGACGCCAAGATCTGGCCCGACGACAACTTCACGAAAGGTGGAAGCGAAGGCATTTTTACCTGGACGAAGAAGAAGGCGGAGAGGCGCCCTCACAATGGGAAGATGAAGAAGACATCCTTGAGACATCTGGCATTATGGGTGAAAGTTCCAAGGGTGCTAGCCCGCGCCGCGCGTCAACACACTCCCTATCTAGTTCCAAGGCCGAGTTTGCTGATGACATGAATGATTTGGAAACTCAGTCCAATAGCTCAACGTCATTCACAAGCCAACCCGAACGTTGGGCAGGGCTGGGAATTCCTGCTGCTGAAAAGGACGCCGGCAAAGAGATTCTTTACCAAGTCACACAGCAAGCATTTAACGAACTTCTCGATATCATCTTCAAACACACCGAAGATCTTGCAGTTCAGGCAGCCGCTACTAAAATACAGCGAGTTAAGTACAAAGATGCAATTGACTCTGTGATCATGGCAGATGAGAAGGCAGAGAACGGAAGTGGACAGCAAGAAGACGTCCCAATTTACACAGAAGCCTCTCCTCGAAACAAGACTCTTGAAGAACTCCTGGAGGAATCTGGATATATGCTCAACCAACAAGAGTCCCGGAATGCGGTAGAAATAAGTATTGTGGAAGAGATTTTACGCGATGAACAGGCCGGTGAGCGCTCATCGGATCAAGAGGCAAGCGAATCCGAATCCGAATCAGAGCCTGAGCTTGACGCCGAAGGCGAATATCGTGATCCTACTTTGCCACAGTTTCGTCCTAACAGCGATGCCTCCGTCTCTCCAACAAGTCAGCCACCAGTCTCGTCCAAACGCAAGACCAAGGCGCTCTCTAAAGATGAAGACAAGGCAGACACAGATAACCTGGCGGCTAACAAGCCATCCGGTGAACCGTCACTCAAAACCTTACGAAAATGGAAGAAGTTGAACCTGGCTGAGCAACAGGCAGCTGAGCGAGGAGGCTGGGGTAGGCTCAATTTTGCAGAGTTTGAAGAGATTTACAAGAACCAAGAGCACCAGGGCAATAGACTGGACTACCTCGGCAGCTGGATAGACTTTTGCATTCCCTAGAGATAGAAACTGCATACGTCGTTCGGGCCGCCCCGGTCTTGATCTTCTTTGTGAAGACGCCTTGGTTGGGATGTCTCTGAAAACTGTATGTTAACTCTTAACACTAACAGCGAAATTGAGTTGGGGTACCAGCGTATCAAGAAACGGAGAAAAAAAGTTAAATAATAAAGAATTTAAAAAAAAAAAAAAAAAACAAAACCCCCGAAATAGAAATGGCATGTGCAATCCGCTATCTAGTTTCAAAGCGAGGAAAGCCCAGGGGAGAGCATATCTAAATAAACACCACTCCAGTGCAGAACTTGAAGAAAACATTGCTATTCTCCAATAACACTTTACCCTCGCTTGAACCAGCTTCTCAGCCTGTATTCTATATTATCCATCCAGACATCTCCAACATCAACACAATTCCAGCCTGCACTCTATATCTTATAATAATCTGGTAGCAAAGTACGGCAAAACCACAACGGCAAAAATGTCTCGCAGGACGGACCGAAAACAACGTCAGAAGCAACAGAAACAGTTGTCGCAATCGTCACAGCCGTCACAGCCGCCGCCGCAGGAACAACAACAACAACAACAAGAGCCCCAAACACCACCATGGCGACGCTCACCAAATTTCACCAAGACGCTCGAGACCATCGACGAAGGACACCAAACTGAGTTCAGACCCGCCATATTGCCTCAAGAGCCTCAGGAGGAGCACCCCTCCTCCAGAGCCCTCAGAACGACCAAGACGATCCTATTGCTAGAGTTCATAATTGGATGCACATTTGCATGGGCAACCCACTGGCTGATGCCGGAGGCTGCTAGAGCTATGTATTTGGCTCTCCAAGTCTTTGTGGCCGAGATGGCGAATCTAGTGATGCGCCTCCCTTTGGAACTGATGATGCTTTTGCACCGCCTTTTGACTGGGAGGTGGAGTTTTCTCGATTATCTAGTCATGATAGTGCTGATGAGCTTGCTGATCGGTTACTTTGGCACGAGATACCTTCTGAGACAAGAGTATGTCCTTCCCCCCCCCTTCCTCTTCTATGGTCTCTCTGCTCTGTTGTTGCCCGCGCCATAATGGGCTAATCACTTCTCTAGGCTAGCTCAATACAATCCCCACGGGGACGGTTACGTTTCTGAAGAGTCCGACGAAGATACTTATACAATTGGAATTGCATCTGAGGACGAAATATCAGAGACTTATTTTGCAATGGCCGCTTGATTTCTTGAATTACTCTTCGTTGAAAAAGCTTGGTCAGTGATTGAGAAAGCTGCTGTTCTGGCGTGGCTGTAAAGAAGACTTGCGTGTGGCGTACCTTGGAGTTGTGAGGTGAATGTTCCTATGTTATTCTCTCTTTTTGACTGGCTGGGCTTTTGAGATGAGAGCTACAGCGTGGGATTGCTGTCATGTTTTGGTTTTACCAGCGAGACTGTTCACAGATATTACACAGCGAGTATTGTATCACAATAGATTCATTGGCTGGTAAAAAGATATTCAGGTTAAAAAAAAAAGTAGAGTTATCATTATTCATGCTTATGCTTTAGCACCGCTTAATATCCTTGAGATTTCCCAAAGTACTGTGTACTTGCTATGCCTAGAACGCCAGCGTGATATTCCTTGTTTTTCCTCACGCGCTCTTAAAATTCCAAACGCCATGATTTATGCATAATCCGAAACAGTATAACACAAGATAAATCTGTAGAGACAGTCTTTTATACGTCACCCCTGTCCAGCGCTTTTACAAGGATATAACTCGTTCCAGCAGCCAGCACGCCTATAATCAGTGTCTGGATTGCACCCCACAAACCAGCTCTGTGATTTCTAATCGCAACGTAGTTCTTGACGTATCCGAAACCCAGCAGGATGATGACAGTGACGGCAATGGAGACAAGAAGAGCATCGGCAACTTTGTCCATGATGAAGTAAGGAATCATGGGGATCAGACCGCCGACAAAGTAGCTAAGTCCCATGGTAACGCCGGAAATCCATGCGCGGTGAATGTTGGGCTTCTCGAGCCGTAATGAAAAGTCCATTCGGAAGCGGATCCACTGATCGCGGTTCTGGCAGAGCTCGTCTACCAAGGGGGCCGCAGCTGCGCGAGAGACGTTGTACTTCTCCAGGATGCAGAAGATGTCGTCTCGCTGCTCTTGCGGGAGGCAGCAGTCGACCTGTTTCGTCTCGCGCTGCTCCTCGGACTCGTAGTGGTCTCGCTCCGTGACGGCGGCGAGGTAGGCGCCCAGTCCCATGCTGATCATTCCGGAGAAGAGCTCAGCCAGGCCGCCCATGATGACGAGCTTTGTGCTGCCGAGGCTGGAGAGGCCGGCTGTGAGGGCGAAGGGGACGGTGAGGCCGTCTGAGAAGCCGATGATGACGTCGCGGAGGACGTCTGTGAGGTCCATGCTGGAGGAGACGGAAGAAGATATTGAGGAGGAGTCGGCCTGTGGTAGGTATTTAGAATCCCACGGTCGCTCGGTGGCAGGCTCTGCGGGTAGCAGAGGAGATGATTCTGATGGTAGTTGAGACATGGTGTTTGTGAGCGTTTCACAGCGAATAAGAGAGATGTGTGTTGATTGTACGTGGTTGGGGTAAATAGTTGTGAGGATGAATGGAAGAGATCGAAAGCTTCGAAAGCTCAAGATGATGTGGGCGTGCGATGATGCAAATCAGAATTAGATGTGTGTGAACGGAAGCAGGAGATATTTATTATTGTCATGAGATCTGGTTCGTGAGATCCAGCTCCGCGTGTAAGTGGCCCAAGAGCTCTAGCAGATCGGTAGTTGCGTATTTATGGGGTCCTCTCGTACTCCGCAAACAAACCGAGCCAATCGGTGATGTTGCAATTAGAAATAGCCACGTCGGAGCTCTAAAAAAGCGTCGAGCGGCTGGGATTTGGCTTTTTGAATTGCAGTGAACAGCTGCTAAAGCGATCCACGCGCAATTGACAGGCGCAGCGAGATGGGATTCCCAGCAAGGGTGACGAGCCAATGAGCGTCGCGGGTTTAGTCAGCACCGAGTAACCGATTGCCCGATCTGGACACTTGAGCGAGGTACCTTTGTACCCTCCGAGTCCGTAGCGATGATGTAGCGCGAAAGCTGCCAGAATAAGCCGAGAAGTCCTTGAAATCCGAATTCTAGATTCTTTCTCCCTCCTTTTCAACCCCCCTTAATATACAAGAGCAATAGAAGCAAGCCTGTTTTAAATCCTTCGTAGACCGAGCGGCATATTTGCCTAGGCTGCGGCGTGAATCTGAGAATGGGTTAAAATGTCATCAGTCGCCACCCGAAAGCGAGGAGAGTTTTGCATGGCTCGAATTTGCCGAAGCCCGAAATATGGGCTCTTAAATGCGCTTGCGCTGTTCCCGAAGAGTCAGCAGACTGTGGACATTTCGCGGCTTCGAGGGCTTGGGTGCAGGCTCTTTTACCTTGCTGCAGAGAGAGCTTGCTTATGTATGACGTATATGTTTACTTTCATGACTGGTGCTCTCTGTAAGTGGTACATAGTATAATACCGTTACTCGTTTGCGTTGCTGTCGGGCCAGACCAGGAGATCGTCGAATGAGAACGATGAGCAATCGCTTTGTGAGATTGTCGATGAGCTCTGTGTGCTTTGGTCAACAGCAAGAGGATCATTGAGGAATCCAAAGTCAAAGTCAAAGTCCATGTCCAAGCTGGTCAGATCAAGCTGGTCTGTCCAGCTGAATGTTCCGTCGCTCTCAACGTCGGGACTCATGCTGGCGGTGTTATCTCGCAGTCTCTTGAGGTACTCGACAGGCGTGATGCCCACGCACTTCTTGAAGACGCGATGGAAATGCCACTTGGACAGGCCCGTCTTCTTGGCCATCTGGCTCAAGCTCATGCGCGTGTCGCCAAAGACGCGGTCCGTGCCGGCAGCAGACTGGTCCCGCACAAACACCCGAATCTTCTGCACCGCTTCCTCCTCCGGCATCAGCCCCAGCACCTCGGGCTTGCACCGCTTACACGCCCGGAAGCCGTTCTGCTTGGCCTCATCCCCGGTGGCGTAGAACCGCACGTTGGCCCGGCGCGCCAGCCTGGCCTTGCATGTTGGTCGACAAAAGACTTTGGTGGTGCGCACGCCGTAGACAAAGAAGCCGTCGGCGTTGGGATCGCGAGACTGCACGGCTTGCCACTTGGTGTCGTCGTCGTTGAAGAGGGGCATCTGCAGCGCCGGCATAGCGAGATCGACCGCGTACTTTTCCATAGTATGATAGATGTATCACTGAGAAAGCTGTTGGAGAACTGGCTCTTGAAGCTCTGGACGTTGCTTGTCATTTTGGCGGTGGTTGACTCGAGCCTTTATAAACATCGTGCTTGATTGGATTTAAGGTTGTTGCTTGCGATTTCGTCCGTGACTCGCGGACGGAAAAGCGGGGCTTGCTTTCTAAGTGACCAACCAGAGCCTCGCGCAGCCTCGGCCAGCGTGATATTCCAAACATTCGGACGTCCATCGAAGCCATTCGGCCACTAAAGACAAAATCAGATGCAAACTTTTCTGGAACAACGAGATCTCATTTCTGCCTGCCTATTCTCTTGTTGCTTCCAAAGGTCATTGATTCCTGGCCAGGACTTGCTCCAACGCCCCGTTCGGACAGATTTCGGTGCGCCCGAATATCATTCTTCGCAATTCACGCTCCTCGCACATGCATCACTGGAATCAAGATTCTCATCAGGGGTAATAGATACTCGACTTATATTCATCCATAGCCTAAGTTATTGATATTCCATACTAAACTACCCAACCAATCCAGCAGCTCCATCCATCCAGCTCCATCCACCCAAGTAAAAGAGTCTTCCCAGAGAACCAGCCAGAAAAAACCGTGTGCTTCTTACGTCCTGCCGACGTACTTGTAGACCAAAAGAAAGCAAATTGAAATATCCATCGAAATTCGCAAATACCCAGAAGAATCCTTTTTTTTTTTTCCCCATTTATAAATTTTCCAATTTTTTTTCCTTTTTGTTTTTCCTTTTGCTCTTAGAGCCCTTTCCCAATGTCATGAAACCAGAGAAGGAAACAAAACGACGTTCGTCCAAGAAACCCTATCCATATCCCAGTAACCGCCCGTTTTTGGCCCAAGTATACTTCCAATCTGTATCCCGAAAAAAACTTTGTGAAATAATAATACAGGTGTATAAAAAATCAAGCCAGAAGAAAGCAGAAAAGAAGAACCCCGAAAGAAGTAGAGCTCGATACAAGCAAGAGAGTAAATAGAAGAAGAAAAAGAGAGAGACCGGATGTCGATTTGAAAAAGGAACCCGTCATGAAACTTTCAAAAGACGTTGGGAGCTATTCCAGCTCGGCCAAATCGAACATTTTATAATTTTCCAGCAACTCATCCGCAAATCCAAAGGCCTAGCTCTCGGGACGCTTGGATTTGGAGCCCAGGCTACCCTGTGGCGAATACTCCGGGGTCTCCTTCGTAACAGGAATTGCCGGATCGAAAAGCCTGTGTCCAGAGCCACTACCATAACCCGGGGGGCTGGGATAGAGTCCCATAGTTTCGTTGGGCGGTGCCGTGTTGAAGTCGAAGATACCAGCCTGGGTGCATTCAAACTCGAAGTCCGCGAATGATGATGGCCACCACGGTTCACTGTCTGGGAGCAGCGGAAAGTCGGCACCTTGATTGATGATATTGTTATCTGGCACCTGGACGGTAGCACCATTGGCGAAGATCATATCATTGGTGTTTATCTGGTGGATAGCCTGGGCAATGGCCTGGTCGACACCCCCCATTAATTGCCACATCGATTCTACGTCTGGCAATGGCGGTACGTCGGCATCTTGATCGAAGACACTGTAGTCCGGCTCCAGGAACATGTCAATGTCTACCTCAGTAGTATCATTGACGGGCAATGCTTCGCTAATGTCCATTTGGTCGTCGGAAATGTTTGCGGCCATGTCGGAATCAAGGTCTGTGGCACGCTCAGTCCGAGTCGAGACATTCGAATAATCAAGGGTATCGGGGGATGGAGGAGCTTGGGGCACCTGAGTAAATTGAGACACCTGAGAAACTTGAAGTTGTCCAGCAGATTGAGGCACTCCAAGAAATTGAGGTACTTGAGGCACCTGAGCAGCTTGAGGCGACTGAATAACATGAGGTACCTGAGCAAATTGAGCAAATTGGGGCAATTCAGGGGCCTGAGGTTCTCCAATGGATTGAAGCTCTCCAAGAAATTGAGGTACTTGAGGCAACTGAGCGGCTTGAGGTGCTTGAGCAAGTTGAGGAAATTGGGTCACTTCAGGGGCCTGAGATTCTCCAGTGGATTGAGGCACCTGAGCAGCTTGAAGGAATTGAGGTGCTGCAGAGGCTTGAGGTGCTTCAGAGGCTTGAGATGCTGCAGAGGCTTGTGGTGCTTCAGAGGCTTGAGGTGCTTCAGAGGCTTGAGGTGCTTCAGAGGCTTGAGATGGCCCAGGTGTGGCAACACCAGGTTCGGCGCTGAATTCCAGTTCATCCTGTTGAGCTCTAAACCTAATGAGCTGAGGAGGAATTCGACTGGTCCTCTGGTTCTCCCATTGCGTCCAGATCAGTCGTAGCAGACCATCGCGGCTCTCGTCCGTGATAATCTCATTCATCCAGTCTCCCAAAAGGGCAGCAATCTGATCACTGTTCTTCTCCAGATGCATCAAGTGCCCGTTTCCGTGGATCCCCCTAGTTGGCAAACTGAAAAAGTCGAGGCAGGGACCTGCTTGTCGCAAGAACCGCACCGTGCCGTAGTCAAAGACGGAATGAGGGCTCGATTCGCTGGTGAAGATGGCGTGGCGCATCCGCATGAGCTTAACCAGCTGCGGCACTGGCTCTTGTCCCTCCTTTCTGCGCATGTTTACGACTTGGAGGCTTGGGATCCATTTCTGGCCCATCCAGCATCCATCGTTGCTCGCCAGCTGGCGCACCTCGATGTCCAGAGGCTGAGGGTGATTTCTTGCCGCCGGCGAAAAGGTAAGCGGAATGTCGGAAAGTCCATATCGTCGGATCGTTGGGTTGTACTGCAAGAATGGCGAGTATGTCATGCGTCCGCCCACGGGGGTCCCCGACAAGGCACAGGGGGGGCCATCCGGCTCGAATGCTGCGACGCCTCGAACCAGCATCGGGACAGCATCGGCGGCAAGCCAGGCGATGGTGGCTCCAGTGCCGTGTCCAACCAAGAATGAAGGGCCAATCATTTTGAGCAGATCCACCAATGCCTTCTTGCCCAGCTCTTCATGCTTTTGCTTTGGGAGAACCATGCTGGTGGTGGAAGCCATGAGGGCGTCAAAGATGGGATCGCCTCGGACACCGTTCTAGAGATGGATTGTTAGCTTCGTGGTTCCTAGGCCCAGAAAGAATAGGGCAAGACAAAGCTGTAAACTTACTCCTGGCCATTGGCTATGTCGATCGGCAGTTACCCATGCAAGCTTACCGTCGTGTAGAGGAGTCTTCTCAGAGGCAGTGTACTCCTGCTCGACCGTGGCGGCGGGCAGGCTTCGCACCATCCTTGGGAAATTGGGGTCTTGGTAGTCGTCTTGGGGACGAAGCGCCGATCTGCCAACGCCGGGCAAGTCGGGCAGGAAAACATTGTGTCCCCTGGAGGTGAAATATTCTGCCCAACCCGGGTCTCCATCTGGCTTGGTGCCCCATGTCTAATCGATCATGTTAGCGTCTCATCTTTCTGTTGCAACAAGCCGACAGGGGACAAATCCTTACCTGGCCAGTAAAGTAATCACCGTGGAGAAGAACAATGTTTTGTCTGCTTGAACTGCTGGCGCCTTGTAGTAGTTCTACATACATTCGGCCGGAGTAAGTGCCCCCAATGCTACAGGCAGAAGCAGACTCGCCGAAGCTGTAGAATGAAGTCACTCTGCAGACGGGGCCCGAGGCTTGTCCACCGTTCTGGCTCTGAGAAGCGCTAGTACCACTCTCAGGGGGGGTGGTTGTCGGGGTGGTTGTTGAGTTGGTACTATCAGTCATCTTGAAAGACCTTGACTTCTTGAGTGATTCTAACTTGCTGGACAACCTTGTGGTGACTAGCTAACTGCAGGATACTACCAGTAGAATACTACTAGCAGGATACTACCAAGGCGTGAAGTCTAGATGATACCAAGCCCAGTGAAGGTAGTGGTTTGGATAGCTCCAAGAGTGATTGATCACAGAATAGTGATAGTAGTGATTTGGATAACTTCAAGGGTGTTTGAACACAGAATAATGTTTGACCGCAAGCGAGGTCAAGCTCTGTGAGTGCAAGAAGATGAATTGAGGATTGGGTTGGATATGAGAAGTTTAGGTGATATGAAGTTGAGTGATAGTAGTGATTGATATAGCTTCAAGAGTGATTGAACACGGGTGTCTGTTTGACCGCAAGCAAGGTCAAGCTCTGTGAGTGCAAGCAGCTGAGTTGAGGGTTGAGTTGGGTGTGAGAAGTATAGGTTAATATGAAGTCGAGTGATAGTAGTGATTGATATAGCTTCAAGAATGATTGAACACAGGTTGCTCTTTGACTGCACGCCAGGTCAAATGCTGTGAGTGCAAGAAGCTTAATCGAAAGGTCAAATTGCGGGCGAGGATCCAAAATCGGAGATGCGGGCTATCGCTCTGTTTTTATAACACAACAAAGCCACAAAAAGGTAAACAACCCATGGAGCAATTCAAAAAGAGAGTTTCAAAGAAATCCTCCTTTAAAGTAAATAAAAACTTCTCAACAAATTGAGGCGTTCGTCGAGCTTAACGGAGCTTCGGTATAATGGCGCCCAGGAACCCGCCGCCACTACGCCGTTTCTCTGTCAAACACTATTGAGAAAGCAGAAAACGGCTTTTTGTGTTTCAAAAGCGTATTTCCGTTTTTTCTCCAATACTATTCGGTGAAAATATTGCGAGGTAGATGGCGTAAAACAAGTGAAGCAACTAAAGATAGCCACTGAACTGAAAGCTCCTATCCCTAAGAGTTGGCGTATGAAACTTCAGAGTTTGAGGGGGGGTGGGAGAGAGAGAGGAGAGATACGCGAAGCGAAGAGAAGAGAAGAGAAGAGAAGAGAAGATGTGAAGATTAAGCTCTGCTGTAGTAAAGGATAGTTTTGGAGTGCGCAGCCTCGATTCGAAGCGAGCATCGAGGCGCGTGGGGGTCTTCGCATGAAAAAGTTGCACGTAACTGGCGGTCAATGAGCAAGTTGTTGGGCCTTTCGCCGGAATTTATTGGGAGATAAAAAGAATTGTTGATGTATTACTGGAATATGTGTGCAGAAGCCACCGAAAAGGCAGCGAAGTGGTGAACAAAGAAGCATAATGTGTATCGTGACTAGGAGGCAGCTGGCGGGCCAACGAGCAAGCTTTCGGCGAGAAATCGACAGCCGAGGGCCAATTGCTCTATTGTTTACTTCTACAAATAGCAGCTTCCGAAAACCAGCAAGACAGAGAGCGAAATATTTCAGTATGCAGTATAAATGACGAGCAAGGTAGTATAATAAGTATAGCCGAGGGGCAGCGGTTTTGGATCCATTGTTCGGCACCAAACACAACTACATAACCTTGATTATCCCATTGTTCAACTCGCTTCTTTTGTTATCCAATTACACGATAATAGAAATACAATAAAACCGGGCCATCTTCCACAGCATGCCATGCGCCCAGTACAGACTTCTCTTCGACTTACACCTATCCCCATAAACACCCGTTTCCCATCAGTCCTCCTTAGCGCGCCGTGACTATTCCAGTCTACTAGAAACTTTCCAACAACAAGTCATTCAAGGGGAAGCTTGGGCCTGCAGATATTGAGTTAAGCTTCCAGAGCTTGTAGAATCTCGGTTCTCGCCCCGATATAATACAACCCAAGCCTTCTTCTCAAGAAACGTATCATTCTCCACATGCCGCATCAAGCCTGCGGATGCAGTTATACAAACGAGATCACTAGATGCATCTCGATGGGTAGCGCCGCATATATCAACTTTTTGGGCGGCGTTTATAAGTCGAGAGTACAGCAATAGTGACTCTCCATGGCTTTGGTCCTTGATATCGTAAAAGGAGTAATAAGCACTATCGTAGTGTAGCAAACGAAAAAGCAATTTGGCCACACGTACTACGTCGTCTATTTTGGAATCCAAATCCTTTTTGGCTGCCGTGTCCGAAGCCTTGAACGGCTCAACAAATTGTTTAATCTTTTCAGCCACAATGTTTCTCATGACGGTAAGAACTGGGTCGAACTCGGGATCCTTGTCCGTAATAGTAAGTTGGTCAAAAATATGCTCTCGCAGAAGCCTCCAAATCTGGCCCATGACGCGCCAGCGAAGCGCCTTGTTCGGTTGGCCCGGCAGCCATTTGATAGCTTGACGGTCCCGGTGAAATGGCTTATACAAGGACTCGAAACTTTGGTCCATGGAATTGATCTTCGTTTCGGGCAGTCGATCGACAATGGCTTCGCTAAAACATATATCGCGAAGAAGAATATTAACTTTGTCAATGTACCACATGCGGCGACTGTAGCATCCAAATTCGAAAGGAGTCATGTTCTCCACGCCAGTTTCATCGTAAGAGAAATAAACATCTGAAAGACTGTCGTCATAGTCTTGATTCGAATCAACAGACTCGGCGTTAGAGGAGCAGATGGTCAAGGACTCGTCATCCCAGGAGACGGACCGCAATTTTGGCTCATGATTCATGGCGGAAGATGTCGGCGTAAACAAAACAAAGCTTGGTAGGGGGGTAGGTGTTTTCAGAAGAAAGTCAATATCCGTCAAAATTATGTCTTGATATTGATAAATGATTCTCGCTTGTTGTTTTTAAAACAGTGATGGCCAAGTTGTGAATTAACGATTTTATGTGGTATTAAATAACATATGATGCAAGTGTGATTGACGATTGCCTTTATTATTGTTTGTTTGTTAGTTGCCCAGCACTTACTTCGACAGGTTAGCACTTTCCCAGTAATCCATCGAATATGGCTCCCAAGCAAGGACAAAGTAAAAAAAATATCTGACAAAGATTACTCGCAAAGGAGGAAAGAGGATAAATTGCCATAGCATAAACATTCGGCAATTTGGCAATGCAGAATTGGTTTCAAAAAAATGAGGCAGCAGAGAATCTGCAAAAACAATAGGCAAGAACAACAAGTAATGCTCTTGGTCTCTCACACAGGAGAAGCAGGTCGAGGGTCATCGTCTTTCATGTCAGGGACCCATCCCTTAGGTCGCTCACTGCCCCTTACCACGAGACCGTAGCCCAGCTTCTCGACCTTGTTGATGCTCTGCCGCATAACCTCCATCTTGGAGCGAAAATCTTTCGTCGGCACCTGAGGCAGCATCTCAAATGCACAGCCAAGCTCCTGAATATCGCTCGAGATGTTTCTCTCATAGTCACCAACCAGCTCGCCCGTCTGCGCGGTTGTGACTGTTGCAAAACGCATCAGTTCTCCAAACAGATCGAAGAGGCCATACATGTAGTCGTGCGGCGTCAGCATAATATCGGCGGGAACGGCTGCTTGAGTTTCCTCCAGAGTAATGAGAGTCTGGTGCCTCAGGTAGTGGGCAAAGGAGAGTGCCTCGACAAGCTCCTCCAGACATCGCAGAGAAAAGCCGTAGCGGTAACGGTTGATGGACTGCACATCTGCAGTAATGCCTGAAAGCAACTTTGAGATTTCACCAAGACGTGTATCAATGTCTTGCTGGATGCCCTTTGGAAAGTCTTTATTGGGTTGTTTGACTCTACAATGCATGAATGAATGAGTAAATGAGCTACTACAAAGAATGTGAAGCGGCTTGGTGATTATGAAGCTACCTTTGCAGTGTGAAAATACTGTATTGAGAGAGCAAAAATTTCATCACTAGTTAGCATCCTAGGGTCTGAGAATCTGCCTTGATTAAACGACAGTCATTGTCCGAATACTGACATCTTCTTGCTCTGCGCCGTCACATCTCTAGATGCCTTGATAATGCGTTCTCTGCGGTCGTAGTGCTCATCCAATTCGTCGCGGAAATTCTCGAACATGGCGTGGAATCTGCCGCGCGGCAATTCCTGCGTGCTCTTGGCGCGCGCATTGCCGTCGTAGTCTCTCTTTGTGCCTCCAGCCATTTGTTTGTTTCCTGGTCGACAAGATACGTCTGTATTAACTTTTAAAGTCCAAAGTGAATTGCTCTGCTTGAAACCTTGTCAAGCGTTGTCAAAAGTGGAGACGCGAAGCTCCAGAGCTGCCAATAAACGTGCCGCATTGCAAACAGCGCCCCACTGGTCAGAGCTAAAGCTGGCCCAAGCTTTGTCCAGAAGTTCTGATATCGATATTACATTGAACACAGAACGAGGGATTGATGTCGGCTAAATCTTCCTCGTTCAGCCCTGGGACAACGAACTCGGTTTTATATAAAGCACTTGTTTATTTTCTGTTGTTAAAGTCTTATCTCGCCCAATTACTCAAATCTGGAACCATGAACTTGAACTTCAACCCATCCATCGCAACACGTTGTCCTTAGAGCTCATTCAACACTCATCACTCATCTCATTTCATATCTTCGCAACCAACCGCCACCATGGCTCCTTCAACCATTTCTCCTCTCCTTCGTCCAGTCCCTCTCTTCTCACTTGCTGCCATTCTTCGCCTGGTCCTTCTTTTCTATGGCATTTGGCAAGACGCCCATTCTGCCGTCAAATACACCGACATCGACTACCTCGTCTTCACCGACGCCGCTCGCTATGTGTCTCAGGGCCTCAGCCCCTATCACAGAGAGACGTACCGCTACACGCCTCTGCTTGCCTGGATGCTCGTCCCTACGGCCACGCCACAGCTCTTCTCCTTCGGCAAAGTCGTCTTTGCGTTGGCGGACTTACTCGCCGGATGGCTCATTGTCAGAGTGCTGACGAAGCAAAGGGGTATGAGCGTCGAGAGGGCTGGTGCGTTTGCCGCCATCTGGCTGTGGAACCCAATGGTGGCGACAATCAGCACAAGAGGCAGCTCAGAGGGCCTACTGGGCGTTCTGACAATGGCCCTGTTATGGGCTGTTGAAGGAAAGAGAATCGGGCTGGCCGGCTTCATCTTGGGGTTGAGTGTGCATTTCAAAATCTACCCCTTTATTTATGCGCCTGCAATCATATGGTGGATGGACGATGAGCATCTAGGCAAACGGGCTTCCAAGCCTTTTGTTTCAGCTACAGACACCATCATTCGATTCCTCTCCCCTCAGAGGATCCAGCTCACCATCATCAGCTTATTGACTTTCATGGGACTTAATGTCCTCATGTACTACATGTGCGTTTATTATATACCTATTTACTCCTCTCGAAGACAGAGCAATCATCTTTTACTAACCTGATATCGCAGCTATGGTACTCCCTTCCTGGTCCATTCTTACTTCCACCACGTCACCCGTATCGACCACCGCCACAACTTCTCGCCTTACAACATCTTCCTCTATCTCGCATCCGCCGACCCATCTTCCAGCTCTCTTCATGCCTTTCTCCCACAATTGCTCCTCTCATGTTTCCTGATCCCCTTTGTCCTCGCCAAAAAGGATCTCGCCACGTCCATGATGGCCCAAACCTTTGCCTTTGTCACATTCAACAAGGTCTGCACCTCACAGGTAAGCCTACCCCTAGTTAAATACCCTCGAAGACATCTATTCCACGATTACTTTGTACTGACCATTCTTTTCGGACAGTACTTCCTTTGGTATATGATCTTCTTGCCTCTCTATCTCCCTGGATCCTCCATGCTTCGCATCCCCAGCCGCGGCATTACGGCGCTGCTTCTTTGGGTCCTGGGACAAGCCGCTTGGCTACAGCAAGGCTACGAGCTCGAATTTCTCGGTGTCAGCACCTTCTTTCCGGGCATGTGGCTGGCTTCGTTGGGCTTTTTCCTCGTCAACTGTTGGATACTAGGTATAATTATCAGTGACGGTGCAGAAGCCAACCTCCAAAAGGTGCATACCGCGTAAATAGTTTGATAGTGTTCCATATTAAAGATTTCATTCACACAAAAATAAAACATCATACTCTCTCTAGAATGGCCATTCGTAATCACCAGCTTCATTAAAGACATTATGGAACCATGTGTGAATGTGGCCTAAATACCGGAAATTCCGCTACGGGTATCAACATTATTTCACCCATTATATCAATTTCTTCGCATGTCCTTCCCCCTTCCTCATCCGTGCGCTGCCCGGTTACCGAGAGTTACCCCTATCAAAGCCATACTAAGCAATACCATCAAACCCAACTTCTGCCAAACCCGATATATCCATGAGCAGTGAGAAACAACCAACTCCAAGCTTTGTTCGCATTATTTGACTGTCCCAGGGTATGAAAATAGAAACATTGGGACAAAAATCTCAGAACCCAGATCCCAAATTCCTCGCTTTGTGCTGTTATAAAGAATTGTAAAAAAACGCCTGAAAAGACCCCGAGATAAGAAACAGTAAAGAAAAAACAACATGTCCGTTGCGGCTTCCGCCATTGTACTTTACTCCATAAATGAATATGAGGCAGATCTTATCTTCATTTTGTGTTTAAAATCCGAAAATGCTCGTCGTAAGTTTTGAACGTGGTTTGTTTCCGACGACGAGCTTCTTGCAATCGAGAAGTCGATCCAAGATTTACTGGATGGTAATTCTAGTTGCGAGAGATCGATAATTAGACAATTTCAGAGAAGTGATGCGTGCCCTAGATGGCTCAGGCGCAATAATCATACGGCCATCTTTGCTGTAGACAATGCTGCCAAAAGTATCGCTCAGTCCGGGGAATGTGGTATTTGGTCGGACCCTGTTCAATTCGGCTATGATTTGCTCGCTCCAGACTCCAGTGCATTTGCCATTCTGCATCAAGAAGAATGGATTCAGCGGCGGCAGTACAGAATCTAGTAGTTAAAATGTTAGCAGACGTTGTGGGAAAAGGGGTCACACTCATAAACAAACCTAAGTCGACAAAGCGAATTCTGAGATACTCGAGTCTCTTGAACTTTTCCATTGAGCGGACAGCAGAGAGAACCAGTTTTTCAAAGGCCTCGATAAATGCCATATCTTGGATCCCAGACCCAGAATCATGGAAGCTAAAAGACCGGCGGCAGCAGTTTTTGACCGTGATATCAATAGATTTGAGTTTGGTCGTCAGTGGATCGGCCAGGCGCGATGCCGCATCAAAGAGATGGTGGCAGACACGTCCTGTGTAGGCAAAATGTTCCAATGATGGTAAAACGACGGCCAAGCTAGAGCAGAGATGAGCCTTTTGTGCCACCTTGTAGTAAAAAGCTGGCATCACTCCCTCTCGTCGATAGTCGCTTTCCATACAGAGAGAAAAGTTGGTGACGTGATTCGGGAGCAGCGGTAGGAAATCTGAAGCAGTGATGTAGCTCTTAGACTTTGGTTTGCTGTAAGAACCTTGCCACTCCTCCAGGTTAGGTAATGCCTTCATGATGACTCTGAAGTCGTCCCTGTCTCTCATCAAATTCCACTGGCCCTTGGTCACCAGGGTACGCACTGAGGTGAGGTGCAGAAGTTGCTTCTCCTCCTCCTCCGCCAAGCCAGGATTTCTCATATCGAAATGGACGACCCTGGGCGCCTTGCGCCGCTCTCCACCTTCCAAGGTAAGTACTTTGGTCTCCGGAAGCGCCGCGGCGACGAATTGAAATACTTGTTCGAGCGTGCAATTATTTCCCGGCAAGGTGTAAGTGGCGTTGGTCAATCCATCTGTCGTAACCGTAGGTAGCGTGAGAGTGTTGGTCAGCGCCAATGGCCCATATGTCGGCTGAAAAACAGGAAACCAAATCTCAATGTGCTTGATGTACGACGAGAGATGCTGTTGCTGAACCAAAAACTCCATGGCATTGTTGATCGAATCGAGCGTCGCCTTAAGCTTAATATGCCGGAACAGTCGCTGCTGGACCAGAACTCTCCACACACGATTAACCAGAGCTAATGCAGTGAGTTCTCGCCTCCGCGAATGGCGAAGCGCGGTGCTCCACCCTCTAGTCAAGCTCGAAATCCTCATGGTGCTTCTCGACGTCGCAGATACGCAGTACCCAAATATGTGATCGAGAATCGCCTCATGAACTTCAGTGGGGAGTTCTTCGAAATGCCGTGCGGGCGGGCTTCCGGACGCAGCGTCAATCGGCTCGGTCGATGCCCTGTCCCAGCCACTGGCATCTGAGCTGGACTCTGGCTCCTCCAAACAGCTTATCTGAGGGTTTCGAGTTTCGAAATGGGGAAACGGCGTGCTACTGGGTCTCGCAGGCGGGACAAAAGACGTGCTCTTGGCCATCTGGAAGGATGGGCTTGACGGGCCGGGAGAGACAGGGCTCGAGGCGGTGTTGAGAAATGTCGTAACCATGGATGTGGTCATGAGCGACGAGAAACTCCCATCGTCGGAGTCATCCGGCTGCATCTCGCCCTTCTCTTGGCATTCAACGTCCCTCTCGTCTAGATCCATCCTCAGGCTGCAGACGCTCTTTGCGTCGTCATAGCTTGCGATATCCATGGGTTCCCCCATTTCTGCGTAGACCTATTCAGGCTGGTGATCAGGCCTATTCAAACTGATGATTGAGGGTTCTGCAAGGACGACAAGACACGCATTTCACGGCGAACAAGGTACGGGTAGTAGGGCGTCGTCAGCGCCTTTGAGACGGGCGTCAGTTCCACAATTTAATGCGCGGGCAGTTGTACGCCCCCAAGGCGGTCTTCACAGGCTCGCGGCGTCTTTCGGGCGACGATGGAGAGTAGATGGTAGATGGAGAGAGGTTGCAGGTTGCACAGTATGAACAGGGCGAGCGAGGTCAGTTCAGTTGGTATCGATGCAGATACAGGTCAATCCGGTCAGGCTGTTGGCACTTTACGCGACGCCCACCCGGTCTCGTGCTCGTGTGCCGATACGGAGATTGCAAGCGACAGAGGGGGGCAGTGCAGGATCAAGAAGAGCCACGCCGATCAGAGGCTGGAGATGGGAGGATAGTGTGTGGCCGTCGCCTTTTTGTCTCGCCGGCGCAGGAATGCAAGAAGAATGACGGGTCTGGCAGCAGAGGCCTGGCCAACGAACAGGAAGGGCGGAAAGGGAGAAGGGGCACTGTAGACGGTGGGACTGCACGGGAACGAAAGATGAGGCTGGACGAGGCACTGGGAAAAAGAGAAGGAAAAAGTAAAATGAGGAGGCAGCTGAATGGGCATCAAAAGCTTGTCAGACGACGAATGGTGCTCAGCAGCCGATGTCAAACGTAATTGCGTGCAGCTCCCAGCGGTTGATGTTAGGCGGCAAAGCCGCTAAAATAAAGCCCACCAAAAAAAAAGTCACCAAGGCCAAATGACCTTTTTTTTGGCTGGCAGCCAATCTCTCGGATTGATTGGCTTGCATGCGTCAAAGCTGCTCATCAAAGACAACTCATTTGCAGTAAAATTACCCCACCTCAATATTATGCTTCCCAAGACAATTCGCCAGTTCCAATGGCTGCAAGACAACACGAGTCTGAGTCTATCTATAATTCGTTTCCATTATTTTGCCTCTTTGATTCATTTCGCTGAGTCAAATATTATTGGCCCTCGCCGCCCTCGTGGCACATTAGGCAAGGAATTGTATATCACATAATTCTCGCCGATTGATGGCCATTGCCTGATTGCAAAGGCAGCTTCTGATTTCCATTTAATCTACCCATTCTGTGTGTATGTAATCACCTCATGCTATAACACAAAGCTAGGAAATAATCGCCATAAGCACGTCCATCTCGGCATCACCGCTAGTGGCCAACGCTGCTGAGCGCTGTTTAATTGCTGAATCTCCCGCTGTCCCAATAGTTTGGCGTCGAGGATACGACAATTTCAGCGCTCCCTCCGGTGGATCCACTTCGTCGGTACACGGCAAACGTCAAAAATCCAAAGGGCCGGATTCGTCTTGAAATTTACCGTATTGACAAATTGACAGGTGCGATTCTGGGATGCTATGATGAAATACACGGCTACTTACTGGCTTTGACTGTAATCTACCTAGAATATGTATTTAGTAATATTTATAAGACTCTTGTTTGGCTTTGCCCAATGCACGGCCTACACAGTAAGGTCTCCGAGGTCACCGGCCGTGGTTTGACTCGTTCTCTCCCAACTATCCGAAGGTTTCCTAGCAGCCCTTTGTAGGGATTACTAATTCGGTTGATTCAGCATCCCTTTGTGATTTTATGAATCAGTAAATAGAGCAGTGAAATACTGCCTTAGTCCATTGTTAGGTATTCCATCGATTACAAAGTACTAGGTAGGCTTCCCAGAACTAAGTGTTCGCAGACATCTGGCCTCGGATGGTGATATGAAGTCACATATCAGAAGGTGACAGCTTTTTCTCTTGTTGATCTCGGGTAAGATAAAAGTTATGCTATTTTGTTCTGACGCTCTCGGGTAGGTCGGAATGATCAGCCGAGTTGGTCAAAATGTCCAAAATACATGTATACAGCATGGGGGGGGCAGTGATAATCGGACTATGTAAGCTGGGACGGCTCAGGTGATTATCTTCTCCATTCTTTAAGCCATATGTAAAAAAGTAGAATAGAAAGAAAGTCATTCGTATTTCCGCAACTTTGGTGTCATGGCAGAGTAAATTGATACTATATCCTCCTTTAATCCTATTAGAAGGTGTAAAAGTCGTCCTTTTCATGCTATAAATACGCAAGACACAAGGACAGAGCAGGCACTGCCACCCTAGACAAAAGACGAGCTGAAACCATTTGCATCGTCGCCAAGCTTCGGCTTGCCACAGTTATCCTCAAGGATCCCACTGCATCGTTGGCATAGCTGATCGACGAATGCATTCCCATGTTCGACGTGGGCAAGCCCAAGCGGATTGAGCCATTCCAATTGGGTCACGCCATCACGCAGCTTCTTCTTATGCTTATTTCGACCCGGCTTAGGAGCCTTATCCGAGACGCGAAATGTAAGAGCGAAGAAAGCCAAGATCAACCGGCTGCGAATCAGACGCCTTTGGCTGCCTGTGAGGAGCAGTTGAATTGCATACTAGCACAATTAGATGTAGCACCAGCTAATACTAATACTACCTCCCTGTACCTAGGCAACGTGATAGCCATGCCTTGGATCATACCGGTGCTACGCTACTCGCCACGGAACGTGAACTGCCGGCGGTCCTATAATAATGGATCCTTGTAAAGAGAACGCGCGTTGAAGATATTATACCTGTACACCATGGAACGGTCTACGATGCTTCAGTGACAAATACTGCTGCAACATCTGGTATAAGACTGGCCTCGGTCACTGCTTTGAGAAGCTGGAAGAAAATATCGTATTTATGGACTCCATACTTTCTACTATTGCGAAGTTAGGGACGCTGTGTACATACATGCAAGCAAATGATCGGAATCCGGCAGCCAACTACATGTTGTATCATCGAGGCCCCCAATTTTCCCGAATCTCCCAATGAGATGCGCGAGACGCTGTGGCCACGCGGTGAGGCGAAGCAACTGCCCGGGCGTTGGAGGCATGCATACAACACCTCCTGTGCGCTGCTTTAGAGGAGCTCGTATGCGTTGATGGACGGAAATTGGACACTCAACTTCAAACAATACGGAGTGCGTATAGAGCTTGCGGGGGTCAGGTTTTGCAAGGGGCCGCTAAACGTGAGGTGTGGGGGACAGCATTCCGCATTTGTTGATGGCAGGCTTCCACAATGCCTACTCTGGTAGGTCGACAGTCGAAGCCATGCTTGATAGTGGATGCTTTATGGAGTATAGGTAAGGATGCAGCACTAACATGTGGGTTATGCAGCTTGCTTGATATCAGAATTATTACCTGCATGTGCGACTGGACGATATCTTCTCATAGAGGGGCATTTTCTGTGCAAGATGGGTGACATCGGAGGGAGCACGGCTTTACTCTACATGCCAACAATGGAATCTGTTCCCATCATCACCTCATTGCACAATGGACTCCATGCTGCGTTGTGCTCCATGTGCGTTGTGCAGGTCTCTATGGCACTGGGGATAAGCTGCCGTACACGTAGTCTTTCAGATGGTGAGCAGTTATTGATGCAAATATTACCCAGCTGCTAAGTCTACATGGAGTAGAGCTATCGGAGCAAACTTTGAACATACCTAGGTAGACATGGAATGAATTCTACACAGGGCTCACAGCTGTCAAGTAAGATCCTGAAAACACAAACAAAGCAAACAAAGGGGGCGAAACAGCCAACCTTAATTTTTCGCCTTAAAATAGAACATTAAATCTGGAATAGAGCCGCATCAACACCAGTAATGAGAGGGAGATCTGCTTTGTGGCCTGCAACGTCGAGCCTCGATCCGCGAACGAAATACAAGACATGAACCGAGACTTGGCTTCTGTAGCGCGCGTTTCAAATGCTTGTCAGCTAGGCCAGTGGAAGGAGTTCACCAGCTGGATGGAACAGGCGCCGAGCTTCGAGATTCGCTAGCGCTCCGCTGTGTTTCAGACGTGGAGCAGCCCACAAGGGCCCCTGACGCCACCCGAGCCGTTGCTGCTGTTGAACAGTTGAGGTATCAGGTACAAGCACCTGGAACAACCTTCAGTATGCCTACCTAAGGTACTTTAGTAGTAGTAGTAGATGGGTAGAAATGAATATCCAGGTTATTGCTCTACAGGACCTAGATAAAGAAACCGATTGCGTACCTAACTGTCTCTGAGCTGACTTGTAACAGTGATAATTCCTTGAATTTCAAGCATATACGCGTATTCATTATCATGTAATTCCATGCACGAAAGAGCACTCAGTGATCTGCACCTCTCTTGGAGGCCCTCGGCGGATGATCTGCCTGGAGGTCGTTAGGAGGTTGGGATCACTGCCATTTGGATTTGATCGACAAACTCAATGGCTGCCATTTTTCCATTATGCACACTAGCGTGGAGAGCATCGAAGCCTAACAAAGCTCGGCCTTGATGCCTGTTACAGTAATGCTGCTTGACTGCCTCTTATTATTTGATACGCATGTGTTAGATGGCGATATGCTACGGCCCTGCAGATCAATGGCGCTTGTATCTGCCCCAGGAGGAGTGTCTGCAGATGCTGTGCTCACTCAATCGCCCAATGGCGGTTGATATCGTTGAATGTGCCGCACGACCAGAGACGGTTGGTCTAGTGGCTTTTAATGAGCAATCTTGACATCGGATGCTGCGGACATTCACGTCCTGTCGTGTGAATTCGCTATAGTAACACGAAGTAAGCTACCATTACCTAGTAGTAGTATGGACGCTGTGTAGGTACATGTATTGGGTACCTGACGACCTGATACACATCTAATGTCAAACCGGCTTGGCGAAGAAAACAAGAAATCTTCCCCCGCCGCTAACAAGCACTCTCAACCGGCGCTTCGCAGCCAAGCCCTCGGCGTGTCTGGGAGAACGAGTCCTGCGCTGTATTACAGACATCAAAAAGAAAACAGACAAAAGACAAACACTGCCAGCATCGCCCTGTCGTTGCGGGCTGAGCGGTTTTCAAAACGTCTTGCAGCTCGCTTGGCAGAGACACGCTGCCCCCCTGCACGCCCAAACTCTGAGACACCCACGTCTCGACGTCCGCGTGGGCCCCAAACCCAACGACCTGCCACAGGTTCCGGCGGCAACGGCGTGGGCTAGGCCCTGAGGCTTCTGCAAGGTACACGCCACAGCAGGTGCTCGCCAGGCACCGCTGCTGCTTGTACACTGAACAGCTTCCCCGCCCGCGCCACTAGCAGGGCCCCATCCCCGGAAGCTCCCAATTGAACGTTCCATCAATCCCATGCATGAGCGCCTTGGCTCTCCGGGCCTGGGAGCGCTGCGGAGGCCACTCTCACGCACTCACTTTTTTTTTATTCTCCTCCTCGTTTTGCTTCCCCCCCAGTCAGTTGGTTTTCTTTTTTCTTCAACTACGCTTCACTCGTCAATTCTTTATTTCCTTCGCCTCCCCCCTTCGTTTTTTTAGGATATTGCAAGTCCTATTCACACGCTCTCTCTGTTCTCTCGCAAACAGTCGCTGGCCTGGTCCTCCGCACTTGGACTGCAACAACATTTTATTTCTGCCGTCATTCTTTATTTTGAGTAGCTGGTTAATAGAGGATCCGTTGATCGCCGCATCCTTTATCCTCTCTTTGTATTCCCTTTTTGGTCCAACGCGGATCCATAGCTTTATTTCTTTTTTTGGAGCCAAGAAACAACATTCCTTCAGCCTTGACGAGTGAACAGCCGGGCCTGTCCTCTCAACCCAAAGTACTATTAATATTCCTTTCCATCATCCCGAGGCTCTGGGCCAATTCAAAGAACCGTCTCGATGGCGCCTTTCAACACCATGCTTGGGTATCTCCTGTTAGTGGTGGCCCCTTTGGCGGCTGCCCTGCCGTTCCACGGCCACGGCCCCAACACCCATAACAACAACCTCAACCTCAACTTCAACCTCACCGAAACCATCAACGAGATCAATGAAAACCTGGCAGGCCTAGTTGGATACATCACCAACCCTCACGCCAAGAACATCGTCGCCAACCGCTACATTGTCGTCTACAACAACACCTTCGGCTCCGAAGCCATCGCCGCCAAGCAGGCCGAGTTCGCTGCCACCATCCAGAAGCGCAACCTCGGAAAGCGAAGCCTCGGCGGCAACTTCCTGTCCACCGAAATTCACTCCTTCCAGATGCACAACTGGCGCGCCATGGCTCTCGATGCTGACGACGAGATGGTCAAGTCCATCTTCGCCGCCAAGGAGGTCGCCTATATCGAGGCCGATACCGTCGTCCAGACCAAGGCTCTCGTTGCTCAGACCAACGCTACCCCTGGCCTTATCCGTCTCTCTAACCAAAACGTTGGTGGCAAAAACTACATCTTTGACACCTCTGCTGGCACCGGTATCACTGCCTACGTTGTCGACACTGGTATTAGAATCACCCACACTGAGTTTGAGGGCCGTGCTTCTTTCGGTGCCAACTTTGTCAACTCCAACGTATGTGGTCTTAAAACCCCTAACTGGTGACATGACTTTCACCCAGCATGAAAAAAAAAGCTGACAATAATATTTAGAACACCGATGAGAACGGCCACGGCAGCCATGTCTCTGGCACCATTGGTGGTGCTACCTTCGGCGTTGCCAAGAACATCAAGCTTGTTGCCGTCAAGGTTCTTGATGCCACTGGTGCCGGTAGCAACTCTGGTGTCCTGAACGGCATGCAGTTCGTCGTCAATGACGTCCAGGCCAAGGGTCTCTCTGGCAAGGCCGTCATGAACATGTCTCTTGGTGGCTCGCTGTCCGCTGCTGTCAATAACGCTATTGCCGCCATTGCCAACGCTGGTATTGTCCCCGTTGTTGCTGCTGGTAACGAGAACGTACGTTTATATCCCTTTCAATCGTCTCATTCGCAATCGCGTGGTTTCTAACTCGCATTATAGCAAGATACTGCCAACACCTCTCCTGGCTCTGCCCCTCAGGCCATCACCGTCGGTGCTATCGATGCTACCAACGATGTCCGTGCTAGCTTCTCCAACTTTGGCGCTGATGTCGATATCTACGCTCAGGGTGTCAATGTTCTCTCTGTTGGCATCAAGTCCGATACCGATACCGCCATTCTCAGCGGTACCAGCATGGGTAAGAGCTTTCTTCAACCCTCACACACGCCTCTTTTGAACCTTTGACTAATTCGCTTCTTCAAATAGCCACTCCTCACGTTGCCGGTCTCGCTGCCTATCTGATGGCTCTTAAGGGTCTCACCAACGTCAACGACGTCACCACCCTCATCAAGAACCTCGCCACTGCCACCGGTGCCTCTGTCCAGCAGAACGTTGCCGGAACCACCAACCTCATCGCTAACAACGGTCAACTGTAAATCAACAGACTGTAATCCCCTGATCCAGATGTTGATATGACAAGCCCAGAAGAAGAAGAAGAGGAAGAAGAAAAGAAAGAGCGCATTGAAATTTCAAACTCTTATCTCTCGCGACTTCATAGACATATAATTTTTCCCCCCAGACAGAGAAAGAGAAGCCTTGGAAACGATGGGATGATATCTGCCCGAGAAGTATTAATTAGCTTGTGGTGATTGTGAGCAGCGCAACGTATCGAGTACATATAGATATAATAGAGAACGTTGCCTTAATTACTGGTATATTCATGAGATCATTGAAAGTTTGAACATTTCGACACAAAGCAGTGATAGGTATTTGTGCAAAGGTATGTGACATATATTTAAACTTATATGTGGTAATAGATCAACAAATAATTAGTGACACATTTCGGAACAAACATGGGTTTCTCTGTTGCGGTATTCACATTGCAAAGCCACACTTGCAATATGGGTATGTTTGCTCGCCCGCGCAAATCCAACCTCGTTAAAGCCCAAGGCTGGAGATTTCACGCTGCGTCTAGCTAGTTAAAGCGACTAAAAGCAATGGAAAGGGTTAATATCAGCACTTCTTCGGCACAACCACAGTCATGGAAGGACTGAATTGCAATTTGACATCCGTGCTAGTTGTAGACAGAGGAGAAAATACAAGGAGCAAAACACGCTGCTTCTAACATGCAGCATCTGTTGTTAACGATCAAGGAGGAAGCATGATTCCTGCTCGATTTAGCATTAAAGATATTAAGTAAGATAAGTAAGTATACATTGTGTATGCTTGGCAGATATCATGAGCCAAGATCTGTAGTGCATGAGGGCATCAAGGCATCGCAGTTGGGTGGTATCATCAAAAAGTTAGTAGCGTCGTCACAATTCATCACGGTCTAATACTGGAGGCGTACCGCCAGCACTCGACCACAGCTTGGCAGTATCAGCAAAAGTGCCGTCAAATCTCGCACCAAAGAACCAAGCAATGCCAATCTGTAAAGTGTTAGATTGACCAATCTTGAATTTAAACCCGGGGTGGAATAAGTAGATATATCTTACCATAACACCCGTCATGGTTAACAAAACGCCAAGAACGACAGCAATCAAGATGGCGGTTTCGCCGGTGGACATGCTGGGTTCTTGTCTCTGCTTCTCCTCGGCCTCCTTGGTGAGTTTCTTTGGATCTTGTTTTGGGAACAAGGTTTCGATGAATTGTTCAATCTAGAGGGGTAAATTTTGTTAGCAAAGATTCAAATTCAAGAAGATATCTTCTTCGTACCTTGGCACACTGTACGCTAATTGCCAAGAAGTTGGGATCCCGGGGGTCGTTCTTCTTTTGAATGCGCCTGGCGTATTTTCTAAAAACCTCACAAAGAACTTGGAGGTTTTGTGTGCTTTCCAGCATGATTTGGCAAGCATCTCCCTTAGTAATCTTGATATGGCTTTCCAGCACGGCTGGGTTCCTGAAGCATAGCTCCAGGGTGGCAATGGCCATGCCCTGCGGAATGGCAACAAAGTTGAAGGCACTTTGATCCCTCATGCCGGCCATATAGAACAGACAATCTTCAACGTGCTTCAGGGCATCGAGTACCATTTCTGATACGCAGTTTACCGCCTGCGGTCGATACTTGGGATCAAACATGTCTTCCCATTTGTCAACATGTTTGCTCCAAATCTCCTTCGGATACCACCGTCGCCGGTCGCCCCAATCCTCATGGATATCACGGATGATGTTTGTTTTCTGCAGGAACTGACCCATGGATTCGGTCAAGGCGGGCCTCTCGGCTAGCTTGGGGTTGGCAAGCTCAGAAGCCACAAATAGCCGCGTCAAGCCTTCGCCGACCAACCCCGCAACGTAGTGGCAATACAGCTCATATTCCTTGACGGTCTGCACACCATTTTCAATCATTTCGGTGTTTTGAGCGTAGTCAGCCATGCCGTTGCCCATCTTGATGGTCATGTCCTTGATAATCTCGTAATAAGTCTTCTTGAGCTTCTTGAGCTCGGTAATTACGACATCAAAGTGCTCTAGAAGCTCTGCGTCCTTTTCTTTGCTGTCGTGGTACTGCCAGCCATCCTGCTCCATTGTCACATGGAACTGTCGTAGCATGGGAACTTTGACATCGAGGGGAATGGTCATATCATCCTCAATTGTGTCGAGGCCACGTAGCACCAAGTAGAAAAGGGTGATTGGGACCAAAAGCTCGTGGTTGAGTTCTTGAATGACAGCCGAGAAACTACGGCTTGTCATGTTCAAATAGCGAAAACATTCTGATAATGTCGCACATTCGGTCGCGGGGTCGCGTCTGTGAACAGGGTCATGCCATAGCTTCCTAGAGTTGCTGAAGTTAGCAGCGTGTCGAAAAATTGTCTTGGATCCTCCTTAGATTTGTTTCCCACGATTTACACCTACCATTGAATCATGGAACGCAATTGGCCCGGGTGCAGTAAATAGTAGAGCGCGCCCATTGTGGTTGGTTTCCGTGAGCACTTTAAAAGCCCGTCGGTTGTGTGTTTGAGAGTGGGTGGACGAAATAGCAAAAATTTAGTATCGAAAAGCCAGCACTAAAACAATCTGGCTACCGTGTTCCTAGTTTGAGCGAACCCCCGGGTGGAAAAAAAAAGATTAAGGGGTATAGTGAAAACAAATACTATAAAGAAGATACACAGCACCTGAAGGAAGGGAAGAAAGAAAAGTTCGGCAATGGGGGGGACGTGGGAGCTAAGAGAGTGTCGTGGTTAAAATGAAAGACGGCGAAAAAGGAAGTGGGAGCTGAGTAAAATACGAATACGCCGATGGATCGCTGAGAGAGCTATAAGGCCCCACCGCAGCGCACAAGAAGCCAAATTGTTCCGAAGCAAACTCCATACAGTAGGGCTAGTATACAGTTTTTACGGGTGGTTGCTTTAGCTGCTGGCACGGCTGCCGATTCCGCTAATGCGCCCAAGCATGCAGGAGACGCGCCTATCGAGCCTAACCATTGCGAATACGGAATAGAGGCTGGGGAGCTTTAGGGGTTAACGGTGGGAAGTAATATTCGTAGCCTTGATTCGATGACATCTAAAGGGGTTGCCAAACAGCGTCATTCAACGCCTTGTGGTGGTCCTGTGTCCGGAGTTCGTTGCTTGAGGCATCCCTCGCTTCAGGTTACCGCCCAAATATTTTCTTCCCTGTTGATGGACGCTGCTGTGCTGATGACTCAGCCGGCAGATAAATCGCCAATCCAAATCCGATCGATGAGGGCTTCGGGATGTAACTGTCCGCAGATCCCGTTTCGGTATCAGCACGGATAGCCAGTCGGTAAGAACTATGTAAGAGAGTCACCAAAGTAAGCTCTTACCTAGTAGTAAAATCAATAGTCTGTGCCTAATCAGTATTGCATGAGCGGCATACGGGTTTGGAGAAACATGATGCGGGATGTCGCCGTTGTACAGTCCGATTGTGCACGGCCCGGTGACCAGAGTGCTTGAGAAGCTTAGTGACAGGTACTATGCATTAAAGTATGAAGACGAGATTTAATGACCGTTCAAACTTTCCACAATTACCTTGATAATGTAGGCGCCCATGAATGGAGCCTATCATAGAGGCCCAGACTGGCATTCGGCTGCCAACAGGTAGCACATCCACGTGGCACTTTCTTCCCATGAGATATCCTACGTTTAAACGGCAGACAGAAACTGGCGTGGAAGCTTCGTTCTCGCACCTGCGAGGCTATCCTTTGGTGTTGATACTACATTGCTGCTAGTTTCTTGGAGTAATCTACGAACTGAGACAGCTACTGGGCACATCAAGCTTCTTTCCGGTTCCTAAGAAAGCTGCAGTGCACATGCATCTTTCTCCAAATCCATGTTGTAGATAGCATACTGTTCATTCCATAAAAGACTCTAGGGAAATGCACAAGACAGCGCAGCATAGTTGTACAAGTGTCACCATCTAGTGGCTTCCTGGCAGGCGGTTATTTGTCACGTTTGGTTTCAAAGGCAGGTACTACCAAATATTACTGAAAGAAGGGCAAGTGAAGCCGTACCATTGCTGGAGCGGGTGACACTTTCCGTCAAACCGCCAAAATTGCACAAAGAGCATCGGAATAGCACCTTCCTCTCTGCAGTTCTGGCATCTAGCCAAGGCGTCGCTAATCTTCTCCCCTGCATCATGTTTTGAAGAATTTTCTTTCCAATCTATAGGGAGCTCATACCATCAAAAGTCTAGTGATTATTACCATAAACCAGACAATCAGCAGCTTCGTCACAATGGCAAGCTGTCAATCAAATGGCTATCGTCAACCGCGCTTTCTCATCTGGGGAGGCAACGGATGGATTGCTGGACATTTGAAACGCCTTTTGGAGAAACAGGGCAAAGAAGTTCACACCACGACGATTCGCATGGAAAATCGAGAGGCTGTCCTCTCTGAACTCTTCCTAACCAAGCCAACTCACGTCTTGAACGCTGCCGGATGCACTGGCAGGCCAAATGTCGACTGGTGTGAAGAGAATAAGTCACAGACGGTGCGATCCAACGCCATCGGCACGCTCAACTTGGCAGATGCCTGCTTCCAGGCGAATATCCACTGCACTGTCTTTGCCACAGGTTGCGTGTATCAATACGATAAGGCGCATCCCATCGGAGGACGTGGCTACACGGAGGAAGATCGCCCGAATTTTGAGGGAAGCTTTTATTCCCTCACCAAGAGTCATGTTGAGCCGGTAAGCTGATACGGTCAAGAGCGGGTGTGATGATACTAACATCTCATCTAGATCTTGAGCAGTTATCCAAACTGTCTCATCCTTCGCCTACGCATGCCCGTTAGCGATGACCTCCACTCCCGTAATTTCGTGACCAAGATCATTGGTTACGATAGGGTGGTCGACGTCCCAAACAGCAACACTATCCTCCATGACCTTCTGCCAGCTTCCATCATTCTCGCAGAGCATGGTGAAACTGGCGTGTATAACTTTACCAATCCAGGCGCCATTTCACACAACGAGGTTCTCACGCTTTTCAAGGATATTGTGAGACCAGAACTAAGTTGGAAGAACTTTACGCTCGAGGAACAAGCCAAAGTCATCAAGGCAGGCCGAAGCAACTGCGCTCTCGACACCACTAAGCTGGTTACCAAGATGAAGGAATACAAATATGAGATCCCCGAGATTCATGAAGCATATGAAAAATGCTTCAAGCGAATGAAGGCTGCGGGTGTCCAATAAGGATAGCCTAGTGTTGCGGCAGTCTGCTAATGGTTCATCTGTGTGCATGATCTACCTGTTAGTGACGTATCTGTTTGGGACCCGCGGCAATTCTCTGGGCTTGATATTAAGTAGCCAGTTGTAACAGAAATAGATCGCTTTCTTCGAGTGCACAATGTAGATTCAAGCATCTTTTCAGCATGAACTGTTATTTGTCAATTAATGTCGCTTAGACAAACAAGATACGATGATTATGATGATACTTGAGCAAAACTTAGTGGGTAAATCAAATCGCAGACCATAATTTTCATGTGAAAATCCGATGGCGCTGAAGCGGCTGCTTATCCTGGATCTGCGGCGCAGCTTTAGCTGCTTGTCACCAATCTTATCTTAGGCATTTGGATTATAAGGCTAGCGGCACTGCCCCGCCATTACGTAGCGCCGACGAGGCAAACCACTCGGCCTTGGGCAAAATTTCGGCTGCGGCGAACAAATATGCCATGTTTCTACTAATGCCGCGATAGAGAACCGCGAAACAGCCATCTTACACCTCCCATAGCGCAGCCAGGCCTCTTGAATTTCTTTCTTATTTTGACACACTTGAAAGCGCCGCACTCGCATATCAACGACGCACATTCAAAATGGTCGTCGACACGGCCTACTACGACACCCTCGGCGTCTCGCCGCAAGCCACTGAGCTTGAGATCAAAAAGGCGTACCGCAAGATGGCCATTGTCCACCATCCAGGTATGTACTGAGCGCGCGTCTTTCTACCGCTTTCGCCGGCTTCGCCGTGTGATGCTCGGCCACTATACGCCTAACTTCTTCTACCCCTACCGCTTCTTCTGACAAGTTTTCTGCCGCCAGATAAGAACCCAAACGATCCAACAGCACACGAAAAGTTCCAGGCTATCGGTGAGGCCTACCAGGTTCTCTCTGACGCGGATTTACGAAAAGCCTACGATAAGTATGGAAAAGACCACGCGAAACCGCAAGAGGGCTTCGTCGACCCGGCGGAGTTCTTCTCTGCCATTTTTGGCGGCGAGGCTTTTGTCGACTGGATTGGTGAGATTAGCCTGATGAAAGATCTGGCGGCCACCATGGACATTGCCATGGAGGGAGAGGAAGAAGGAGAGGCTCCGCCAGCAGATGACGAAGAATTTCCCGGAACAGCAGAGGCGATGAAGGAGAGTATGAAGGAGAACGCAGACGCATCTACAGGTTCTGCATCTGCGCCGCCACCGCCTACGGTGGTTGTGGATGAGGAGAAGACGCCTTCGGGATCTGCTACTGCGACGCCCCCGCCAGCTCGGTCCGACGCGACGTCTCCAGCCCCGTCTGTTGGCTCCCGGAGACAGATCCCTATTCGACCGGCTCTTATGGATAAGGCTTATGACGAATCGGCGGAGAAGGAGGTAGAACAGGCAGAAGATGACCTCAAGGGCAAGGGGCGCAAGAAGGGTGGTATGAGCAAGGAACAGAGAGATAAGCTGCTGGCTTATGAGAAGGAGCGTGCTCGCGTTCGTCAAGAGCGCGTGGAGCAACTGTCAAAGAAACTGCTGGACCGGGTCAGCGTATGGGCTGAGACGGACAAGAACCCCGATGTCACAAGGGCTTTCCAGGAAAAGATGAGACTCGAGGTGGAGAACCTGAAAATGGAGTCGTTCGGTATTGACATCCTTCACGCCATCGGCCAGACCTACGTGTCCAAGGCCTCGACTCTTTTGCGCAGCCAAAAGTTCCTCGGCATTGGCGGCTTCTTCAGCAAGCTCAAGGACAAGGGCACGCTGGTCAAGGACACATGGAACACCATCAGCAGCGCCATTGATGCGCAGCAGACGGTGGAAGACATGGCCAAGATGGAGGAGCGAGGCGGCGAGGACTGGACAGACGAGAAGCGCGTTGAGTACGAGCGCCGTGTGACGGGCAAGATCCTGACGGCCGCTTGGAGGGGCAGCAGGTTTGAGATTCAGGGCGTGCTGCGCGAGGTATGCGACTCGGTTCTGAACGACAAGAAGGTTCCGTTGTCGAAGCGATTGGAGCGAGCGCAGGCGCTCATTCTGATTGGCGAGATCTTCCTCAAGGTATGTGATATTCTCTTCCTGCTGATCTATGGTTTGATGTATATATGTGTTCTCTCTAACCGTGTTTCGATGTACTAGGCCGAGCGTTCCCCTGAAGAAGAGGGCGACTATCTGCTTTTCGAGCAGCTTGTCGCCGAGGCAGCCATCAAGAAAGACAAGCATGAAGATAAACACAAGCATAAGAAGCACCACGACAAGACCGCAGAAGCGGTTGCCCAGGATGCGCCTAATGTGCCGAAACCGGCGGCGTAAAGTTTTAAGAGAACGGATAAAGAAAAGACTAGGAGAGACATTTAATGGTGAATATCGGAGGAAAGAAAACGGGGCAGGAGTAGCGATGATGATGATGAGGAAGAAGAAGAAGAAAAGGGGACTGAGGGAGATTGTCTGTTTGCTTGTTTAGAGAGATTAATGTCAAGATTGCCGGATAGAGAGCGATCAGCCCATTTACTATAGAATACATCCACCACTTTTAGTTTAGTTAACTTGTTCTCTTCTCCTTTCATGATAGGTAGGTACTTGGGCTCATTCATGTATTCTTAGCATATCTACCTTAAAAAGGAGAGAATATCAAACACATCACACAATGATTTTGTTAATAAAAAAAAGGGCATCTTTCAGCAGGACCCAATCATTGGAAGGCATAAACGCTTTTTCTTCTATTCCATTTCCATCATCACTGAAGAGACCCAGCGTATTCTATCTCACATACATAAAAATAATGCAGTTTCTTCTCTTTTATATCCAGAGACATTGCAAACTCGTTATCTTTGTGTAGCCCCCTTCCTGCATGGAGGAGCTAAACGATATATAAAGGGTTCCTTTCTTTTTTTTTTTTTTTTTTTTTCTTTCTTCTTTGTTTGTTTCCTTCTTCTTTGTTTCCTTCTTCTATCTTTCAATGAGGGGAAAAGGAAAGAAAAGAAAAGAAAAATGGCGCTTCGTGTTTCGCTTCTTCCAATCTTCTCATCGCATCCCGGCGCAAATTTCATGCTGTGTCCGTGGCTTGAATTTTTTTTCTTCCGTCTTTTTCTAAATCTTTCTCTCTTTGGTCCTTTGCTTTGCCTCTGCGGGTATCTGATCTTACACATGTGAAAAAAACAACAACAAAAAAACACACAACAGCAAAAAATAATCGAGTAGTCAAATAATGACCAGGATATCTCAGAAAGAAGGTCTTTGCGGGAGGGGGGAAAACGCTGTGAAGTCGTATTTTCCCCTCCTCTAGCGTACCAAACGAAGGGTTTTTTTTTTGTTCGTACTCGGATGGTAGAAGAATTGTATTGAAGGGAGGGGGCTGGGATACGAGGAAGCTCTCAAGTAGAAAAGAAATTAGAGAATGGAGATGGCTGGTTGTAGGAAGAATGGAGTGATCATGGCCTTCATAAACGCAATGAAAAGAAAAAGCTCATTGTCTGGTAGTAGCAGCAAGAATATAAAAGAAATATGATAGTGTAAACGCCATGCGAAATCCAAAGGAGCGCCGTGTATCCCCGATATCCCGAGATATAACTATAAGTGTAGATGTAAAGAAAAATATATGCTGTCGCAGATATAAATGAGAAAAAAGGGTGGTAGAGAAGTCCAAAGGGAAATGTTGCAGAAGTAGGTAGCAAAAAGGACAGAGAAAAGAAAGAAGAAAATGGATATGAATGAGTGGCGATGTGAAGATGTAAGTAGCGGCTGCGCCGCGGATATAGAAATTTCAAAAAGGCGATTGTAAAAGATTATTCGCCCGGATATATGCGAAAGGTCGGATAGCTAGTGACCCGCAGCGCGCAATTCTATGCCGCTGTCACGATCTTGTGCCTCCTTGGGCCATGTTTCGGATTCCGCAATTGATATGGTATCGTCCCCAAAGTGCGATGCGGAAACGGTAGATATCGTATCGTCTCCAGCCTGAGACGTTTCTTCGCCGTAGTCGTAGTATGAAGCCGCCAAGACACGTCCAGGCATGGCATCCACGTCGGCGATCTTGACTCGATAAGCCAGTGCTTTCTGCCCTTCCTTTATCAGCAAGTCGGTCCAGTTCAGACACTTCTTGAGACTCTGGTTCATCTTCTGGCTGTCCAGGAGGAGCTCTTGATGTTTAGTGAGATCAAGTTGGAGACGGCGCTCATCGCGTTTACGCCGTTTAGCACTGGGCGAATCTGCCTTTGCTTGAGCGTCGGTAGATTTGGGATCAGTGGCGGCATTTTCGTTGGATAAGTCGGAGTCGACTAGCGAGTCTTCATCCTCCTCCTCCTCTTCTTCTTCTTCATCTTCGTCATCGTCATCGTCGTATTCCTGGTTCTCCACGTTTGCGTCCTCTTCCTTCTCACTAACATCAGTAAGGCCACCCGAAGCATCTGGTACAGACAGAGACACTCCTTGGTTGGTGGCTGTTGGAAGGCGGCCGGCCCTAGATAAGCGGCGGAAGCGGCGCAATTCTGCGGATTGTTTGCGCAGCTGCCTCTCGAGAGTCCTATTGATGGCCTCTAAAGAAGCATTGGTGATTTCGAGATCCTGAACTTTGCGTTCACGCCGAGCGCTTAGGACGAGGTGGTCAAGGGGCTCGGAATTCTGAGACAGCCTCTTATGGCTGCGGGATTCAGAATCCGAATCGTCACTGTGTTTACCCTCCCCGTCTTCGCCTTCGCTGTCCTCGTCCTCTTCATCTTCTAGCTCATCAGCCATTTGCAAAATCGTCGCCATCGTCACTGGCTGCGATAGTTGCGCTAAGCCCGGGCTTAGGAGCGGCGGCGTCATCTCAGGCGCATGAATCATGGGTGGCGCGATGGTTGGTGTAGCGATCTTGGGTGTGACTACTCCATCTATGGAATGGACACTGCCTGCGCGGCCATGCCCCTGTTTTAGCCGCAGAGGCGCCTCGATACTCACTCGCCGCTTGCCGACCTGGCTTGCGGAGCCCGCCCATGTCGGGGACGGGTGGGCTGAGGATCGAACGGGAGAAGTTGGAGACATGGCGCTGGTCCGTGTTGATTGCGGTGATTGTTGGTGATGCTGCTGTTGTTGTAGTGGTAATGTTGGGTGTGTAAGGTTCTTGGAAGGCGATGCTGGCCTCGAATGCAACTGTACCGTGCTAGATCCTGCGACAGACGAGGCGCTGGTATTTGGGCGAGGCGCTTTAGAACCACTGGATACGGTCGAGCCTGACCCAGAGCTGCGCGCTGACAATCTCACGTCCACATCTGGTGCGCCATTGGCATAGAAGAATTTGGTAGCAACCCCCTCTTGCGCCGAGCTCAGCGAGTGGGAGCTTGAGCTTGGATATGAAGGAGGGCTCGTAACTCGCTTGCTGGCGGCATCACTCGCATAGAAGAATGTCGGCGTAGTTTTAGTATGGACCACAGAAGCCGGCCGGGGCGGATGTGATGTTGGAGCCGCGGGCTTAATGCTGCTCGCGTAGAAGAACTTGGAGTCATCCCCAGGCCCGTTGGACGAGTTTCCGATGCTCTTCCTAGAGCCCATGCTGTCCGTCCGTGCTAGGGGCGATACGCCCAGCCCGCGGCTACTCCTGTTGCTCTTGGTCTCCCATCCATCGCTGAGCTTGTCGAGATTTGGCGTGCTATTCGGCGTCGTATGAGTGCTTTCGGCACGGGTCTGCCTGGTGCCTGACCGCGAGGTGGTGCTGTGACTTAGGTATGATGATGCAGTAACAGAGCTGACATCGCTGCGGGGAGATTGCGCGCCGGTAATCGAGGATCCTGATCTGCGAGCCATGGGCGTCGTGGCCGTCGTCGTCGTGGCCGCCTGGCCTCGTACGGCAACTTTGGGCGTCAGGGGCGCTCGGGTCGAGCCTCTTGCGACTCCAGCTCCGGCCCCAGCGCTCAGCTGAGGCGGGCGAGGCTTGTCGCCGATCGGCATGGCGGTAGAGTTCCTCGTGGTAGAAGAACGCGTAGTCGGAGCGGCGGCAGCTCTCACAGAAAGCACATGTTGTTGATTCGGGGATCGAGCTTGCACCGCAGCGGGCTTTGGCGCGACGCTGGCACGGATGAGGGGCCGTCCTGGGACTGTCGAGGTTGAGCGAGGCGCAGGCGCAGCGCTTGTCTTGTCGGCAGCCGGTCTCTTGGGGACTGCAGGCTTGCCGGCGGCGAGGCGTGAGAGGCGGGAGGCGGATGATGGTGTTTTTGCGTTGTCGACGATGGTGTCTGAGTATGGGTTGACCTGCACGGAGCGCATCCTCCCAAGCGGCCACAGTCACTCGCTGGTGGCTGTCGGTAGCGTTACCTGGCTCCCTTGGGCAGCGTCCCTAGCACTGTAATTAAGCCCGCTGTGGTGGCTAGCCGGGCCAGAAATTAGGGGGCGTGTGGAGGAATAAAAGGAGCCGGGAGAGCCTGAGGCGGTCCACTAAGGCCGCGGGACGGGCAGCTATAAATTAGAGGAGGGGGATCACTGTTGATGTCGCCGTTACGGAGCGGGAGCGAGCTGGCACATGTAGCCCTTTGCATTTCGACGATGCTCGGCGCAGCGTCCTTTTTTTACGTGCGCGGCGAGCGAGCGGCGATGACATTCATTGCATCGCCTGACTGACGGACTGGAGAGAAGCACGCACACGCAATAATTATGGCCCAATCCATTTGCAGAGCAAGGGTTTATGGCCCCCCGCAAGTTCTGTATCCAGAAAGGCGGTAAAGCGTGCAGCTGCAAGCCGGTGGTCCTAGGCCTATGAGACAGCCAAAGCCCACAATTTGAAGCGAGGATGCAAGTTAGACATGCATGCTAGCAGTAGTTAGGACGTGGGAGGCAGCATAGAGCGGAGTGCAGAGGACTACGACGTATTCATTGGTGTTAATGCTTGGGAATGCCGGTGCAAATACACATGAATCCCGCTTCGCAGCATCTATAGATGGATCTTACACTGCCTGTAACGTGTAGTATCGTGGACTACCTACATGCATGTATGGAACGATGCCTGCAAAAGATGCTACACCCGGCCCTGGTAGTGCATCTTACTTTCTTAATGCGACAACACATGCAATGCCAGCAATTCTCCCTCCCCCTGCTTCGGCAGCCAAAGTGAGATCTGGGCAGGATACATTGTACATGCCTTGCACAGTACATGAAGGCGGCGAGAGATTAATTAAACTTGGTACGCAAAAGAATGCTCCGTCCAGGATATTAGTGCTGCCGTTTTGCTCGATAGCGTCACACGGACAAAGTCGGGATCGACAGCCATTGTTTATTTTCCTCGTATGCGCAACCACTGCGCAAATAAGACAAAGCTGCCTAGCCCAAATTGGCGTAGATGAAGGGGAAAAAATATACATATATTTGAATAAACAAGGGCAAGAAAGCTGCTCTAAACAGCAACCATTTCCCAAACAAACATGCAAAGCATCATCATCTCCTGATGAAACAAAACAAACCAGAAAAATAAAAGAAGCAGCTGATTCGATCCAGCGGTCCCTGTTATGCCCAGCTGGGCGTAGTGCCGAGCGCTAACGACGTCCCGGCCTGGGACCCGTTGACGGAAAATGACAGGGAACCCGCCCTTTCCGGCTAGGGCGCAAGCCTCTGCTGTCCCAAATTTAGAGACCACATGCATGCCTTGAGCTTTTTGCCGTCATCACTACTTGGTCTATCGGACTGGAATTTCGTCATTAAACTTTTCTTATTTTTCTCTCGTTTCCCTTTTTCCTTGCTCGCCGGCATCTTGCCGACTGCTGCCATCTTTCTTTTTTTTCAGCGAGCAACGTTTTTGTCTCAGCAAGCCTCCCCCACGATGGCCGTGCTGGGCATTTCGCTCATTGTCGCATCGGTCGTCTTCGTCATTCTGCGGCCGCCGCAATGGCTGATGCTGCGATGGCAAAGCTTTGGAGGGCTTGCGGCTATCACGGACGGCAAGGAGAAGGAAGCGCCAGATGCGAAGCAACGAAGCAGAGACGATGCAGATGCCGGCCGCGGTTCTGTGCCTAAGGCCGATGTAGAGCTAAACGGGCTCTCGAATACGACTTCAATAGCAACCGCCTCTGGGACCCTGAAGCAACGCCAGCCTCCTACAATCATGCCTCCCACCGTCATCCCGCCGTCCATTGAGGAACCAGAATCTCCCACCACGCCCAAGGCTCAGGCCGCAAAGCCATCGCACAGCGTTCCCAGCCTCTCCCTCTCCGCCGACGCAGCGTCCTCGATGATGCCTCCGCCGCCTCTCCCTTCCTCTCGCCCGTCCAACGGCCGCATTCCTGCTCTCAGCCAGTTTCCAGCCCCCAACTCCGCCCAGCGTGCCCGTGGCCCAGCGCCCAATCGCGGCCCTGCTGCCTCTTCGTCTTCGTCTTCGTCGTCCGGCCTCGCTCCTCCCCCCACGCTCGCCGCCAAGCCGCAAAAGCCCAGCCGCCAGGTCGTCCTCACGCCGGGCCACTCTCCGCTAGATTGGGCGAGGATATCCGGGCCCAATGCCGACTTGCGCGGCGTGGCTCCCTCGACCCCCTACCTACGTGTGACGCCTTCGATGCTCAAGACGCAGACTGGCCGCAAGGGCAAGGACGCTTGGATGGCTATCAATGGGAAGGTGTACAATGTTACGCCGTATGCGAGATTCCACCCTGGAGGTGTACCGGAGCTTATGAGGGGCGCGGGGCGAGATGGCACAAAGCTGTTTGGAGAGATTCACCCATGGGTTAACTATGAGACTATGCTGGCAGCGTGTCTTGTGGGGTTGCTGGTCGAAGAGTCGGATAGCAAGGAGAATGATATGGATCAAATGGATTAGACTACTTGGGCTGAAGAGGAATATGTGGAGTAGGACGAGGACGAGGACGAAATGTGCGTGTATACACCACAAGGGCTAATAGATGTTATACATAAGCTAGAGAGATACCCCCATGTACAAATAGAATTATATTACATAGACGGCATAGATACAATCCCACAGGAGCGGACCCTGCCACTCACCCAGTTACCGCCTCTTGCCAAACCTAAACTTAAGGTCGTCGTCACTGTCGTCACTGTCTCCAACCTCCAGTAGGGTTGTCGCCATTCTCGTCCGTTTCGGCGGAGGCGGGTCTTTAGCTGCCGCAGGTTCCGTCGCCGCCCTCTTCCCCTGGCTGGTTGAGCGTGATTGTGCGCTCGAGAGCTGAGTCTGTCTAGTGCTCTTCTGCGATGGAGCACTAGCCCCATCCCTTCTCGATCCCGTGGCTCTAGAGGATGGCTGCTCTGACTCTGGTGCTTCCATCTCCTCCATGTCGCTACTCTCTGAATCGATGACTCGTGCGGAGGAGGCACCGCGCCTTGTCGGCGGTGCATCCATAAAGGGAGAGTTCCTTGCCTCACTGGCGACAACGGCAGATGGCTGGCTCGTAGTCTTCTTGCGGTCATTGCTCTCATCTTCCAGCCAGTAGTTATCGCCAACTCCAAATTCTTTGGGTTTGACTTCAGTAAGGGCGATTATCACCCTTGCAGGTTGCCTGCCCACCACTTCCCCTCTCTTGCGAAATTTCTTGAAGTTCTTCATGCCATTCCATTTAGGATTCCATCGTCCGTCTGCGACTTCCTGCTCTTTGTCCCTTCCCGACGCTCTGTCCGGGATACGGACCTCCACCTCTTCGACAATATTGAGCCGGCGAATCTCAGCCAAGTCAATACCTTCCGGTAAGTTTGCCAAGTCCTCAGCCTCGGCTCGAGCTCGAGCTTCCGCCTCTTCGCGATTCTTGGCGACAACTGCTAGAACATCTAATTCTTCCTTCACTTTCTTTTTTGCACCCTTGGTCTCTGCCGCTTCGACCACATCTTCATCAGGTTGGGGCGATGGTGCGGCAAAATTGTCACCCCTCTCAAGACGTTGCCGCTTGAACTTTGCCACAGACGGTGCCAAGCCTTCCATCAAATCACTTTCTGGTATGGGCGATGGCGGTCTCTTTCTGTGGGATCGAACTTGGACATCCTGGCCGTCAGGCATGAAAGGTTCATCTGGCTCTTGTGAGACAAATAACCCACCCTCATCCTCATGCGGTAACGTCTGATGCTTCGCCGGCTCAAAGGGAGGAGGCGGGGGTTCATCTGTTGCTATATCATCGTCATCATCGAAGCCCGCGAATCGCCTCTTGACAGGTTTCCGCATTCTACCCCCTCGCCTTGGGATTGGCTGGGAGTCTTCTTGTTGCGATGGTTCCGTCAGTATCGGTGATTCTGTTATGCTGGCCCTGCTCTGTTGAGCCATGGGTTCTTGTAAAGAAGCCTCAGCAGGCCGTGAATTTTGAGACCTGTTTGACGATTCGACTTCCAAAGGTCGTCGTAATTTGCTTGCATCGTTGATTAAAATTGCTTCTAGGAATTCATTTTGCTCAATGGGTCTGTGGTCCAATAACAGTGATACTGCGGTGATGAACTCGGTATACCAGCCAACAAGCTCTCCTTTGGCCGGGAGAAATCTCACGAGGACAACCCCTTTACCTTCGCTACCATCATTAAATGACCCTGTTCCTTTCTCTCCGGCAACTCCCTTTACATATCGGACAAAGTCATCAACTTGTGTCTCCTCTGGCTCGATGGGGTGCAGCATGGCCTTCCCACCGCCATTGGTAATGGGTGCCATAAGGTTATCGTACTGCAGCTGACTGTAGAATATAAAAGTATATCCTTCAAATACGTCTTTCCTACTGTCATCTGGCGTATATAGCTCATCTGGATGCTGTATTGGTTCATTACCTCGCGGAGGCAGATGTTCCATGGCCTTGGGCCAATATTCGTCAAAGTCCCTTTCCAAATAGCTCGATTCTTGCCCATCTCCGTCGTCTGGCGGCTCTGTGACAGAGGAGATTGCGTCGAGAAAGGTTTCAGTCACAATGTATTTGCCATTTATGAGAGCCTGTAGGCCTTTGGCCGTATTTCGCTTCTTCGATATGACGTGCGTCGTGTGTTTGACGCTGTAGTCGGTCAGCAGCTTGATATCTAACTGCTCAAATCGTTCTTTGAGGGATGTCAAGGGCTGAGTCTGTAGCTCTTTGGTCGTGAAGGAGAAAGTAAAGACTGCTGGATGCCATTTTAGCCTAACCTGTATGTCAGTGAAAACCCAGAATACAACCACATCTATATTAGTCGTGTAGGCCTAGATACCTGAATTTGCTGGGACTCTTGCCCAGTATGATCTCGTACTCTTCAACTTGGGTATCATAAATGCTTCCTTTAATTTTTTGTCCGTTGACAATTGTCCCTATCTTTGTCGCCAGATCCTCAATCTTAATGTGTGACCGGCTCGATAGATTATGTGCATGCCCCTCTGCGACGCTTTGGACGGTGATTGTCAGGTGTTTGCGCGAGATGGTATTATGTGAGATTGCAAGCTGTCCAGCTGATGTCGCCTCAGTTAGTACATGTCTCAAGTCCCAATGCCTCGAAAGCTGCAGCTTACGCTCTGCTGCAGTCCTCCCAAAGAGGTACGTTTTGCCCGGACGCAGCCATAGTCGACGGCCTGCATGAAGTCTGGTCAGCACAAATATGGCGCCACAGCGACTCCAGGCCCAGCACACAGGCCTCTCGCTTACCTTCAAAGGCCTCTTCGTTTTCTAGCAGCCACATCGCCTCAGGCTGCTATTCATTCTATGCCAGGGCCCATCTCTTGACGCGCATCTACTGCGATGACGTTGGTCGATTGGCGTCGTGAACTTTTTGCGGGGCGGCGCGTCAGCACAGGCGTTGTCTTCAACGCCAATTCACGTGCTTCTTTAGGATGGCTGCCTGCACTACTTCAACGACATTTCAATACTAGGGGCAACACAGCAGATCTCGGGAGAGCAGCTATTTGCATATTGATTGTATTTGTAAATTGCCATGGATATCGCACCTCTACGTATTAAAATACCAGAATTCTTTAGCAGTAACTGCTGGTGACTGCACGCTGCTCAGGCCTAAATCTGGTTATGGTGTAAATCGCATGTAAAGGTTTCACACCTGGAACAAAACTCTCAAATCCAAGACATACATGCTTGATCGAAACAAAGGGTAATCGATCAATATTCCAAACTTTCGTACAAGAAAGTCCAATAGCATATTAAGTTGCCGCTTAACAACGCTCGCTGTGATGATATATAAACATTCCTTTCCCCAGCTTCTTTTCTCTTTTCATTTGGTGTGGAACGTCATCTCGTGAACTCGTCAACTTGTAACAAGCTGAAAGAATTAGTATAATCGCATCAATGAATTACAACCCTCGAACCCCAAAACCAAAATCGACACTCAGACCTTCCCCCGCCTATAGAATTCAACCAGCATTCGCTTTCGTCCAGCCTTTCTGCCTTGCTCAACTGATTCGTCTTCGTTACTCGTCGAATACGGATCAAAATCTTCCGGTTTCTCATTATTTATCTTGGAGAGCTCGTCGATCTCGCCAATCTTCCATCCGCGAAGCATGACCATGCAGAGTGCAGCAGCAATATACGTCAGCCCTGTCCATAGCTGAGTACCAAGATAATTTCCCGTTCCGGTGACAATCTGCAGAGCAAGTGGCTCGCTAAACGTGCAAGGGAGTACAATTCCCAGCCACATGATGTTGAGGGCAGATGGCACATCTGCCAACCCCACGATTTCAGCGGCCACTGGACCAACAACAGTCCAGAATGTGCCGCCAACCATGCCGCAGATGATGGAGTAGAAAATGAGCACACCGTATACTTTGGTGTTGATCCAGATCGCCAACGCAAATATCCCGGCTAGGAAACTTCCGATGGCAGCCATGTTCATTCGTCCGGTTCGATCGCTAAAGTAGCCCATTATAGGCCGACCAATGCTTTGGCCCAGGTTGAAGAAAGCACTGATCAGAGCTGCTTGAGAGGACTGAAGGCCAATGACGTTTGCGTAGTTGGCGAGACTGTAGATAACAACAGAGTAACCAAAGATACTAAACCACCCGAATGCGATGAACAGCAGAAACTCGGGTCTCAACAGAAGAGACCCCTTGAAAGCGAGATGGGTCGATCCAATAATCTTATTGCGGTCCTTGACTAGGAAACAGCAGGTAAAGTTGACAACAAAGGCGACGATGCCCAGTATTCTGAAAGCCCAAGCAAGTCCCAGGTTTTGAATCATGGCGCCACTAGCAAACGAGTAGATGAGGCCACCCAGACCCGAGCCAGCGGCTGCAATGCCGTTCGCCAAAGAACGATGTGTCGTAAACCATTGGGGGATGATGCCAACCGTGGCTGTAAACAAGACGCCTATGCCGAGACCGAAGAGGACACCTTGAGTGAGGAAGATGTGCCACACCTTGGAGGCAAAGCTTGCTGCAATCCAACTAGCCGTTTCGAGGACAACACCAAGCAGCATGACTTGTCTTGTACCAAAGTTCTTAACGGCTATTGTCGCAAATGGAGAAATGCCCATTGCGCAGCCCAGGCAAAGAGATCCTATAAAGGCGTATTGGAGGGTGGTGGCTCCGTTGAAAGTGTTGTTTTGTATATAATGAGCCAAGAACACGGCGTAGCTGGAACTCATTCCCCATGTGTGAGCATTAATAATGCAAACAGCAATGGTAACAATCCATCCATATCCCCCATTCGGCGGCGGTGGGGGAGATGCGACATTGGCGGGTTGCTGGTCTTGGCTCTCGATCATAGATTCATAATTTTCTTTTTCTGTCTCGTCTCTCAGGGCACTCTGATCGTTGCCGTTTGACTCGGGCTCGGAAGCCAAGAAAAGATGCTCCTTGTCATGATGTTTGTCGGCGTGTGTAGGCAATTGGTTTTTATTCATCTTATCCGCACGAAATTCTTCTCAGCAAACGTCGAAGCGAACCACAGGATGGACGAGTCAAACTGACCTGGTGAGGGAAAACAACAAGCTAGCAACGATGCGTGAGATATATAAATGAGAAAAAAAGAAGACAAATACATATGAAAGGAGGGGCTGAACATGACTCTCAGCTTGGCAGTACAAGTGAGACTACCGTCGTATTCCATATCGAACTAGGAAGCATTATCCAACTCTTCCAATGGCTCAAGATCGGGGCTGAACCGGGCTTAACCGGCATCGTCCCATATAAAACAGCTCTATGGCGAGCCGATTCGTCCCCACCATTTCCTATTCTGTCAATTTGGGAAAAGGTTAAAAGTAAGATCTTGGCTTTATTTTTACGCATCTATATTTCTTCTTCTTGAGTTCTTGAGCTGGGAATACGTGCCCGAGGGATATCGGAGCTCGATATTGGAAAAATTCACCTAGATGTTTCTTTCAATTGGTTATTTAGATATGAGGTTCAATATACTGTCGGCGATATGCTTTGCGATGCAGAGCGAGGTCACAAGGAGCGGCTGCATTAGCGGCCGAGGTTGAATATCACCGCGTATACAGAGACGGGCTGGAAATTGATCCAATACTAGCAGCTTTCTAATAATGACAGACTTTCTTTCCACTTTCGAATGCAACTAAGAAGAAAATGTTGATAAAACTAATTCGTCTATTTGTCTGAAAAAAAATATTTCGTAAATAGTATGACTCAATTGCACAAGTTATAGGGGCTGAATTAGAAATTCTCTATCCAAGTAGAGCTCTCGAGTACTCTAGTATTCGGGAGCTAGTCAGCAGCCCCCGCAATTTCTGTATTTTTTGATGACAAGCGCATTAATACCATCTGCTTGTAATGATATATAGGTAGTAACCAGGTAGATATCAACGGTGCATTGTGGCCCTGGGACACGAGTAAGATTATTATTACCGTTATTTACCCCTTTTAAGAAGTCCAAGAATCAAGAATCTTTCTCGCTTTAGTTTCATTTCCCCAATATTCTTCTATACTTTTTAGAAAGACGAAAATGAGTTTATCTCACGAATCCTGCTCAACTCAGAAAGGGCTGATATAGCGGCAGGTTCTGTTTTGATACTCTAGACTAGACAAGATGAGTGGAAATGAAGCAGATGGGGGGTTTGCCATAGGGCTGCCAAGCTTGCCCAACAGCTACTAGAGGGTCACCAGATGGAAATACTAGATCCATCTCTACGCTAAAGAACGAAACGTTTGAAGCTTGGCTCGGAGCCCTACAACATCTGCCGAACGTCCATCCGTAGATGCTCCAGAGAGCATAATTCTCGGTAACCATCCACAAACTCGTTCACAACACAGTCCTCCGTGATGCAAATAGCAACTTCATGAACCTGGGCCAGCAGTCCAACAATGTAACTCTTGCCTTCAATCAGAGACAATTTCCCGTCATCTGCAAGCATTACCGAGACGGGATGCGAGTGTAGATCAAGGCAATATAAAACGCAAATCCACGGATGGATGATGTGCATTGCCAGGCAGCCTTATTACGCCGCATGGTGAAACGCCGTTGGAGCAAACACTAATGTTTGATGAGGATGTTCTGGATAGCGCCTGCTAAAAAGACCTAAGTCGGCAATCTGAGACAAGACCGTTGGAGTTATTAATAGACGATGCACTAGGTAGTGAAACTAAAAGCCAGTGTATGGAGAACGCAATTTCGACTACTCAAATGCCGGTAGATCATACAAGAAACGTTGCATGCAATTGGTGAGATAGAGCTAGCAAGGTAGAATCATGAGCATACATTAAGATATCAAGAGGAAGAGAGAGGGAACAGCTAAGCTGGGCAAAGGACGTAAACGTCAATTTTCATTAATAGGTATATAGATTAGTAGCTGCGATGGAGCTTTCCTGCATTACATTTCAATACGTATGGGTGAACCAGAACAAAATAAAAAATAAAAAAACAGGCCCAGTAATCATTTTCTAATCGCAGCCCAGCCTGCTAGGAACCACGCTCTTTGCTTCTTTCCCGCCAGGTATCATTCCTTTAAACCCCCACCAACATCGCTCATAACCGACCAAGAACACGTACTTTTCCTGATAAAAAGGAAAACACTTTATGCCTGAGCGCGCTCAGACTTGGAGGCACGGCGCTCACGGGCGGCCTCAGACCAGGGGAAGTGGATGACGGGAACCTGGAAGAAGGAGTTGCTGCGGGGGTTGTTAGCAATTGTAGGAGTAAAAGAAAGATGTTGGGTTTACTAACCTGCTGTCCTGAATACCAGCCAGGGCGTTGTACCAGGCAAGGAAAGCGGCCAGGAAGCCGAAAAGACCACCAGTCTTCTGGAGAGCAAGAGAGGCGGTGGCGTTGCCCAGGTCGGCGGCGTACTGCTCGCAAGCAAGGAACAGGAAGGCCAAGTCAAGGGTGAAGAAGAGGAGGAAGAAAGCCAGGGTGGATCGCAGAGTGCAGAGGAGGAGAATGGTGGTGAAGATAAACCAGCCAGTCAGGAAGAATCCGAGCACACTGGCGACGTTGCCGGCGTAAGGGCCGTCAGGAGCGGTGATGCCCCATTCGGGAGTCAAGAGAATACCGTATGAGATCCAGAAACCACCGTATGAACCAAGAGCGGTAGCACCGAAGGTGTTACCAGCAGCAACCTCCCTGCGGAAAAGATGTACAGTCAGCCTTGTTGCAATTTACGTCAGAAAGGTAGCACAGAGCTCGTAACATACCACATGCCGGCACACAGCTGAACAAGGCCACCATAGCCAAAAGCGAGAGAAACGACAACGTTGGGAGCCGCGACGCCTCGAGCGTGCATGTTGATGCAAGACAGAACGAAAGTGGTCAGGGCGAAAGCAGAGAGACCCAGAGGGGCCGGGTTGGCGAGCTTGCGGTGCTCATAGGGCCTCCAAGCACCGGGCTGGAGGGCACCACCAAAGGCCTGGGCGTACTGGCCGATGGTCATCTCACTGAAATCTCCATGGTGGTTGTGGCTGAAGCCGTGGCGAGACGGGCTCTGGGGGTTGACGTTCTGCTGGACACCGTTGGTCTCCTTCTCGTTGGGAGCGACGTTGAGTTCGTCAGACATTGTGATGTTGTCGGACGAAAAAGATCGATCGAAAGGCAATTGTAGATGATGGGGTATTGAGCCGTCCAGATAACAGATGGATAAGAAGCAATTACTATTTTAATAAATCAAGGATGGCCAAAGAAAGAAGAGGAGGAGGAGAGCAGGCTATGCCTTGGGTGGGGAGCGACGAGAAAGACTCTTATATATTGACGAGAGGGCAGAGCTTCTGCTTGAGGCAGCTACCTGCACGAGTAAACAGGGTCGGGCAAAATGAGACCGATGGCTGAGACTTTCTTTTTGGGGCGCACACCCGACGTCCGTCCCCAAAAGCCTTTCTGGGTGCCACAACAGCCGACCTACTTTTTGGCTCCGTAACGCCTTCGTACCGCACCGGGGGAAGAAAAAAGGGACAAGGGGGGGGGGATCCGGTGGTCGCGAGTCAATCAACAACGTGCGACAGATCTAGCAAGTGGAGAAGGAGAGAAAAGGGTTGCAATGAGTGACACGCTGGCGACGGACGTGTCCCCGTAGGCCGCGGGAGGAACTGCTATAGTGTTGTTGTAGAATTGTCTGTGATGGACACGCTCAGGACAAGGTGCTGCCTTGAGTTGGTTTAGTTTGACGATAACACTGCCTACATGTACCTACCTACTGCTGCTACTACATACTGCAAGTGTAAATGTGATGCAACCGTAGTCATATATAGTAATATGCACTCGCACATACATGGAAAGGTTTTTTTTTTTTTTTTTTTTTTTTTTTAGCTTGGGCTCGAGTGTGTGTGCAATGAGGCTCTCGTCCTCTCTTCTTCCTCTGCTTCTTCTTCTTCTTCTTCTCCCTCACCCTATCTCCCAAAGAGCAAGTCGACGGTATCTCCAAGTTTGCTTGCTCCATATGATGTGCAAATACGTCAATCCCATTCGTCATCTCTGCTCCTTCGCCCCCCGGACCGCAGAGGAGAAGAATTGGCTCCAGCCGAGGGACAGGTTCCCGCAATCATGTCTATATCCAGCCCAAGCTCAAAAGCTAGCCGAGCGAGACGCAAGACGAGGCGTGCTTTACCGCCCATCACAGCCGGATCTCCCACTACTGTACAAAGCCACGGGTCACTCCGTAAACGAACTTGCCGTTTGAGCTTGCGGAAGGCTTGCCTACGTACTAAAAATGGACGAAGGGAACCCTCAGACATTTGCAGCCACGCGCCGATTGATGAAAGGAAGAAGCTATGGCCAAGCTATAATGGCGATTGGGGTAAAGGCGAGTGGGGAGGCCTTGGAGTTCCAGATCCTTGCCCTTGGGGGACAAGCCTGACAAATTAGACCGTGGATTGGGGTAGTATTGGCCCACATCCTCCCTGAGCTGACGATGGGCCTTATTGCCGAAGAGGCGCTGCTTTGGGGCTTGATCTCATGCATGGGCGACGGGTCGTGGGCCGCGTTTGTCGTGTTTGTAAAATGAAGCACACCACAGACGACGCAGAAAGATGCTGAAGGGCCATTGCAGGAAAAAACCTCCTTAGCCCCGGCGTAGCCGCCACAAGCAAATAAGGTCAAGCCCGGCCAGCCACTTTTGTCCAGACCTTTCTGGAAATTTTTCAGTTTAGGCTATTTAGCCCTTCCAATCCCAGGAAAAGGCATAATAGCCAATCATCTACGGATCAATTGGACCTGGGAGGGATCCGGAAATGGACTTGTCTGGGATTAACGAAGAAAGGAAAAAAAAAGAAGAAGAAGAAGAAAACAAAAAGTCCATGCGCAAACGAGCAAGGTATTGGATTGATTGAGGTTGACTGTCGCACGAAGAAGAAAAGCGACATCCATGTTATTCCGTAGGTATAGTCCGCCCGTAAGGCTAGGCCACTAAAACATACTGCCCAGTACTCACCGACCGGGCCAGTGCCGTCCAAGTATACCGGCTAGCCAGCAGTAGTGGTCTCTCGCTGGATCCGCGATGGATGAGAAGAGTGAAAATAGTTCTACCGCTTGAGCCAGTAGTGGGTGAGATATGACAGCCCCCCTTCTCTTTCCTACGGGGTCTGGCCCTGAACTTGGGCAAATACGCCGCCATCGTGACTTTGAGGCCATTGGCTCATGGGTCAGCCACCACCACGGCAACCTAAACGGCATCAAACTTTTGCCAGTGGGATGTTCCGAGGCCGTACACATGCGCTGCTGCTACTGCGCCAGAAAAGCCCTGGTCGTCAAATCTCCTGATGAGGGCATATATTGATTGGGCTCATTGTGACGCGGCCCGGAAATGGAGATGAGTAACCAACAGCATAAGGATGTGCCCGAGCGCATATTAACCAAGCACACGTAGGTATACGAAGTGCTTCAAAGTTGCAGATTTCAGAACCGTGCTTGCTGATACTGCGTCCAACGCTCACTCATAACAGGCACGATAACGGCCATCGCTAAAGAAATACCACCGAGCCATCCCAAGAGCCCATGGCCGGGGTCCACTCCCGGCTCAGAGTCTGACCAGCCGCCTTGATTCGCCCATCCACTGGCAAGCCTGGGAAAGGGACAGCCTAGCGCCATGCGGTGACGGACCCTGGCGTCTCTTCACAACAGGCCTTGGGGGATCGCCAGAGAGCCGACCTGCTGCCCTATCTCAATCTGGACAAGACCTCCGCGCGCGAGTCAAGGCTGGTGGCCGCTGTCTGGGTCGCTAATCAAATGCTACAGCAGCAGGCTTTCCGCATCGTCGAGCCAGGGTTGTTGTTGCGAAGAGCACAGAGCTTTTTTTTTTTTTTTTTTTTCTTCCCTTGTTGGTGCTGCTACTCTGTGTTGGGTGCACTCCCGCTGCAGAAATCCTGTATCAAATTGAGCCGTTATGCCTTTTATTAGCTCTAGTAGCTTTTCGGGAGTGACTTGCGAGGTTGTATTACTCCGGCCGAAACGATACAAGTATAGCTCGAAACAGAGATGCTGCAGGTTTGATTAGGCTTTGATGCTTCTGGATCATCTAATCCTTTGGGAGCCTCTCTTCTCTATTTTTCCATTTATTGTTTTATCTGCATATATTGGTTTGATTTTTTTTTCTGACCTGTCTCATTTGTGGAGCGGCACACAGGAAAGGGGGCTGCAGAGATCTGTCCCCAGTTGGGCCACGAACGCTGTGGAGCAGAGAAACGCACATGAAATTTGCTCCATATTACCTGCTACATACCAGATTTCGAAGCTGCTTTGCTGCCTCCCAGTATATCGTCATTTTGGCTCAGCAAGGAGGTGATCGCAGGACGAACAATGGGACAATGAGGAAAAGATTGTTGCTTCTAAAATCTGCCAGGATCCAGACTAATGCATCATCACACGCCCCCGTTAAGCAATCAGCGCTCTATTGCGGACCTTCGGCAGAAAGCTGTGCCAATGTCCATGGAGAGCACGACGGAGAAAAAACAGAACAAAGTCCGGCTGAGCGGCTCGCCAACTGTGACTGCCTGCCTAGGCACCGTACAATAATGCACGTAAATGCGTAGGTACATGCAAAAGGGTAGGGCTTGTAGAGCAACCGTAGGTACCCGTAGTAGAGCCTGAATCAAGCAAGACAAGCTCCCTCAATGTCTTGGAGCCCCCTCACCTTCTCCTCACGCAAGCTTCATCTGAGCTGCGACTTACTACTGCATTCGTTCATTGCTGCAGTGCAGAGCATTGTCTACCTATCTTGCCACCGCCAATCTTCTTTGTCTCAACTCCATCTCTTTCTCGCCTGCTTTTTTTTTACCCACTCAATGGCAACTCCATCGACTACCAGAGCCCCGTTTGCCTTTTCGCCGGCCTAGAACCAGCCAAGAAACTCAAAGGCCCAAGTCCCAGTCAGACGCGGCTTTTCGTTTTTTCCTCTTAAATCCGTTGGAAGTCTTAGCATCTTGGCAAATCATACTATACTCCGCTCAGGCGCCGAGTACGAAGTTCAACGAAGTCTCAATGCGAGCGGTCGGAAATTGGAGAAATCTACCCAGATGCCTACTGCGCCCAGCCAGCCACCGTGGCACCGCGCGCGGTACTGGGTAGTGCTGGCGGTGGCTATGTCAGCTTTCCCCTGGTGCGAAGCCCGGTCCGTGTTCTGATTATCGCACATCGATCACACGATGTCATCAATCCAGTATGGACAGAATCGCACCATGTGGCTTAGGCGGCTGGGCCGAGCCAAAAAGACGACAAGCTTTTGATTCAAAGAAGTGCCTTACTCGTGAATCCATGCTGACACAACAGCCACGCGCCGACGGCCGACGATTGCAAATCCGGAAACAAAGACGCTCATCAAGTTCCGCTTACAGCAGCGAGCTACCTATTATTGGTGTTCGTGACCTGCTTAGTCTTTGCGACCGAACTCTCCATTAGGATGCCTAAAAGTTGACGTTTGGGGGGCACTACCGCAGATCCGTCAACGTGCCAGATCCAGATCAACTAGGCCGCTATTAAACAGCCGCCTTTTTATTTTATTAACATGGAAGGGCTAATAGCTGCTTCTTCAGAATTACCATGTCATGACCCCAGATTCCCCCGCAGATGGCAGTCGGCTATCAAGTCTAGCGCGTTGCGACCTAAGCATCTTATTCCCCCAGAAACTCGGCGTTCGGGATCTCTGTTAATCTCAAAGATTTCATCTCCAAACCCGCTTCCCCAGCATTTTATCTCCCCCGCACGAAACACTCAGCTACTGAAGCTCCATACGGGGTAGTTTAGATTTACTTTGCTACCCGCAATAAGACCCAGGCGGATGGTTTTGTCGATGGAGTCGGGGTCGGCTGAGGGAAATGGGCTGTTCATCGAACTATACTAGCCAAAACGTGGGGTTTTGGCCACCCTCATACGACTACGATTAAAGATTGCTTCCCCCAGATAGATTCGAAAGCCAAGACTGCCTAGAGGCGTTCTAAAGTACCACTCGGACGTCAATTAATTTCCGGCGCCCAGGCTTTTCTAGCCACCTTCTTGATACACGCCGCGTGGAGTGCAAGTCTAAAAGCATCACCGTCGTTTACACTGAAGATGACGGTTTTTTGCGATTGTTTTACTTCGTATCTTCGAATTTGCATTCAACCTGCATCCAGATCACACTGGAGAGATGCCGTTATCCGGTCGGGAGCCAAAATATGTTTCCGACGCGCATGTGGTCGTGGGGTCTTATGACACTGTCTTTGCGCAGACAGGGCTCCATGTCTCTCTCTCACGCGCATCGAGCACCTCGCTCTATGCGGATCGACTATCATCGCCGAGCGGAGCAGTGGCGGCGGTGATTTGTTTAGCCTTCAAGCCCGGCGATGTTCTATTTCGCAGCTACCCCAAAAATGATGACGACGATGATGCAAAAGAGTTAGTGTTCCTGGATCGCAGAGTTGGCGGGCGAGCCATTGATACGCTTGGCTTATATATGGAGTACTAAACATGCTGCTCCTTTAGGCCGAGCAGCGTGGACCTCGGTTATCACTCGACTCGTGCTTTCAACAGCCGCGCCCATTGTCTTACCCTGTAGCGCGTCGCTCCGGGGCGTCGGTGGTAAACATTGTCACGTATTTACTCCAAGACTTTGGCTTGTGTCTTAGCATGTGTTTTTTTCTTCACCGTAACTCTTTTTCCGGGCCAAGAAGCTTGTTGGATGCACCAGTCACAAGGGATGCTGTGTAAGATGTGACCGGGCCTACGGAATTGTTAGCGCCAGCTACAGGGTAGGTCTAAGTTGCTTGGCAAAAAGGAAGGCATATCTTTCTACCGCTGCCATTTCACATCACCATGACCAATAGAGATGCTGAAATTTGGCTTTGAGTAACGTTTGGATTATGCGGGAATTTATTTATAAAATTAAAGTGTGTTGACAAAGTTTGTCGCAGTCGGGAGCGCGCAGCAGCCACCGCGACAGTGACACCAGCCCGATAATTCGGGTCGTGATACCCCAGTCCCACCGAAAACACTACCCCAACAACAAAGTGAGACGGATCACATTCCCCGAAAAAATGCTACTCAAAGTGTGGGAAATGATTTAGTTCTAGCAGTGATAGGTCACGGCTCCCACTCGGCACATTCCATCCCGCCAAGACAGATTATGCAGTATCTCTGGAGTTGGGGGTTAATCTCCCCTCACTCTCCTCTCCCTCCCTTAGCCTGGGTCACTGCCACACCACGACAAATACCAATCGAAAAGCATCATAAATCAACCCCTCACACCCATTAATGGTGCCGGCCGCAGTGCTTACGAATATGACTTGGAGCACTCCGTAGTGCGGAGTAAACAAAGCGTGTATCTTTGCCCAGACAAGGGAATACCCGGACTGATGTCTGGATACTCGGTATCTACCTTGTGTATAGGTACTCTTGCCTGGTGTGTGATTAGGCGTGAGTACTACTCTGAATCAGAGGGTAATTGTCTTGCTTTGACGAAAGACGGCATTTCCCGTGACTCATAAAAGCAAACCATTGAAATAATTCCCATTTTTTTTTCTCTTTCTCGCAAATCGGTAGATAATTCGAAAACTTGTATGTCTTCGAAATGAACTTCCCTGTATATCAAATCTCCTTTGTCTTTCAAAGAATATCAAATCTTTGGATCCACCATGCCTTTTGAACTGATTACTTTCCAATATTCAGTGCTATTTTCATGAATACTCCTTGGAAACTGTATTGTAGACTTTGGTAACCAACTCAAGTATATCGTTTAATACATAGTAGCCAGCACTAGCCCATGGGCATCATAGAGCGTGACTAACGCTACCCTAGATTTTCATCTCGCCGAGTTTGCCTATTTGTGCTAAAGCACATAATAATAATAATAATGCCCATATCAGAAAGGGACACCTTTTAGTTCTTCCCTATGTTATACTTACTTGTAATGATAGAGGCGACAGGCGATTGTGAAACGGCGAGATGAAACCCAATACCAAATATATTACTGTGTTGTAAACACTGGAATGATTTCACAGAAAATGTTGTAATAATGCGATTAGATAAAGTAAATCTACCATATGCCATCAACTGGTATACCATATGTATCATGTTCTCCTTCAAAATCATGATCGATCAGAAACAACGCAGTAAATGAATGAAGCATAAAAGGTTTCCTATCTCAAACACCCTGGCCACCGCTGTAAAACTAGAGTTATTAATCAATAATTGACACAATTCAACCTCATCTTGCAATAGCAATCATTGATGCGTTATGCAACACCGTAAAGACGCTGGTGGTCTGTCTTTCCTCTGCTACCCTTCAAGTTTGACAGGAACCGAAACACGAAGCCCCCAACAGGACCTCCAGATGGCTCTTGAGAAGATTCCCCTTTGTCTGAGCATATAAAAACATCGATAGCCCAGCTGCCGCCACAAAGCTCAGTTGGTTGGCCTTGATAAGGTCTTCCACATTGAGATTCGGGAAGTCGCACTGCATCATCTCGAATAGACGTCCCACACCAACATTCTCTTCCATTCTCTGTTCCAGCAAATTTATATCCACCAGAGATACAGTGATCAACGCATTCTTTGGATGACATATCCCCCCGAAGATAATCTACGGGCTTGGCGCCAAGCAATATCCGAGAAATAGCATCTTGAAAGCATCCCAGATGACTCCAATCTGTCGGAAGGTTCTTATTCTTGGACGTCTTCGTTGGAGCTGCACCGCTACTTGTGCTTGTGCTTCCTATTCCCTTGGATGGAGATCTTGCCGTAGAGCTTGGAGGAGACGTTGGACTGGATGTTTCCGTCAGTTCGCAAAACCAGCCCGCTGAACAGTGGTAGCACGGCCATCCAAGCCCACACGGCACAACCTGGGCTGGTGTCTCCTGTGGTGGGCAGAACCATCCATCAAGGCATTCATCACATTTGAAGCCCCTTCCGGGACACGGCCCTATCGAAGCATCAGGTGGTTGGTGGACACTCGGGCTCTCAGGGCCCTTGACTGAGCAGATTTTAAGGGGACACTGATCACAAGATGGGCAAGTTGGACAAGATGAATGAGCTCCCTCGTTTTCCCCATCTGTGGGCGCTGGATTGCTCGTTTTGGTGGGACTTTCGTCTATCGGAGTAGATGGCGGAGTTGGGTTCGGGGGTGATGCTGGATTCTCCGAGGATAGGTAAGGCTTAGGGGCCGCAGGTGTGGCTATGCCTTCGGAGTCAGAAGCTCTGGTTGCTGATTCAGGGATACCAGGCGTAGCTAGTGTTGCGATTTGACCAGTTGAAGTAAGCGATCCGGTTTCAACCTTACCACAAGGTACCACTTCTTCAAAAGAGGTTCCATCCAAGACCTGATCAATAGCGCAAAGAGGCTTTTTCAAGTAGCTAGCAACAGCGCTCACAATCAAAGCCAACTGATTGACAACCTCTAGGAGAGCCGGATCAGTGATATCTTCCAAGGCTCTGCTGAGATCATTGATGACAGTTGTTCCTTGTTGGAGGACTTTGTTTAACGTTTCTACCATATCCAGCGTACTCACAGGAGGTTCTAGAGGCAGAGGTTGGTTCATGGCCTTGGCGACAGCAGGTATGACCAGGGGGAGTAGATCAGCAACTGCAACAGCAGCTTCGTTTGCTACCTTTGGGATAGCTGCAGCAACGGCGGATGAGTCCACATGAAGAGCATTCAGCACAGTATCCGTGAGCCTGGCAGCTGCCGCGGGGTCGATACCTGATATTTCCGCAACGATTTTTGATAAATCTCCCAGAAAAGAAGCACCATTAGCGGAAGAGTCTGGCATAGGATCCTCTGTGGCTGCTCTCGCGTTGTGGATTCGCAGTGTTAAGCTGTCTCCCCAGAATCCGCCGAGGAGCCCAACCGAAGGCGTTGGCAGATTCTGCGTAGAACTTGGACGGGGCGTTTTAAGAAAGGGAAGCAACGAAGAATCTTCCGAGAGCGCCAAGGCGTTTAAGTCGCCTCCAATGATATCAGACAAAACGGTTTGACGATGTCTCGCTGCGGAGGCCAACGGTTGACCCGATGTCATGATTGCCTCTTTTACTGCATCTGCCAATGTTTCCAGAAGTGAATTGGGGCTGCTGATAGAGGGATTTGACGCCACTGTATCGTTGATTTGTGTTGTTTCGGGCACACTGTTTGCAGTTATTGCTGCCTCAGTCACACGACTTGGTGTCGTAGCAAACTCTTGCTCTGTAGTGTGTGCTATAGGTGAAGCTATGGCGGCTGTAGTATCGACTACCTTTCGGTTATTTAGTAAACGAGTGTTATAGCCAGTTTCTATTAGATAGCTGTTTGATACGCAACAGGAATGAAATATCCTCTTACCTCTCGAAATACACCCCCTAGAAATCCACCCAGCTGGAATTGTCGCTCAGCTATAGATCGTCGTTCAAGCTTCACCGTCTCGATAGTAGCTATCTCGACAAAGACAATTACAGAAAAAGCGACAAGAACTAAGCTCGCGAGCACCAAACCTCGCCTCTGGATTCGCGGCGGCCAGTTGAGGCCGCTGCCTTCGTGTTGCTGATTCGTCATTTCTTGAAAGACTCTTGTTGGTAACTTAGTCAAAAGAGTGTTAAAATGCTTCCAAAAGAGCAACCAAAAAAGGGGACCCCAAAAAGAAGCTCAAAGAATTGTCGTTGTTATGGAACGCAGATCGACTGAGTTTTGGAGGGTAGAATAGGAGGAGAGGGCCTGAATGAGGTTGAAGAAAGGATATGGGTATTGGATTGGTCTCGCTAGCTGGCCGCTCTTTCTCATTCATGGAAGAGGCTTCGTTTGTGAGAAAATTATCTTGCGAAACCACTTTCCAAATGTATAAATGAGAGGCTCTAAGAAGGAGTAAGGAAGACGAGCAAATGGGCTCATGCCATCCTTGCCGCTGCATTTCTGGGCTTGACAAATTCATTCTATACCATTTTGTTTGTCAAAATTGGTTGGATAATGCCTCAATACTATACTTCGTATGTGGGTAGGTATTCTAGTACTATAGTTTAGGCAACCTTCGACCTCTCATCAAGAGACATAAGTTTGCTCTGCTTGGGACACACATGTAATTCTTAGAGCCATATACATCATTATGTCTATTGCTCTGCTCAGCGTCTTGTTGTTTTAAAGAATACCATAGTCCTTTATGATGAAGGACATTGGGATGCGATGAGGCTGTCCAAATAAGCATTAAAAGTACTAGGTTAAGAGTAGGTACATACAAAAACCAAGACATGTCTAAAGCTGGATCGACAAGCACACGCACCAGCTTAGCGACATCAATTCTGCGCCGCCTTACTTTTCTAGGCGTTGAAAGTGCCCTGGCCGCTGACAAGGCGCCGCTGGGGTCGATTTTTGGGTGGGGTGGAGGGGCAGCCGTGCATGGGCCGCTGCTTAATTCGCCAGTTCAAAAAAATTTCTGGACGAGGCTGGCACTTTTTTTTTTCTTGCAGCATCATTTCTGTCTTTGCGCAGCTTCGGCGGATTTCGGTGTCGGAAAACGCGTCAGACGCTGGAAGTTGATTCAGTCGCCTGTGAGAGACGAGACAACGGCGAATTGGATCTGTTGCCATTATGGATATCCACCGCTGTCGGTTTGTGCCCTACAAGCCCTCGGCAGTCAATGCGGTAGCCTTCTCACACCCCAAGACGAAGTCCGCAAAGCAAGGCTCTGTTGCGCGATTGGCTGTTGGGCGAGCAAACGGCGATATTGAGATATGGAACCCTTCAAGCGGTGCGTGGCACCAAGAGCTTGTGATTCGTGGCGGCCGGGATCGCAGCATTGATGGCCTTGTCTGGGTCAATGAGCCTGATCAGGACCTTGGCGATGGCAAGATCGCTGTGGGCAAATCGCGCCTCTTCAGCATTGGATATACATCCACGGTGACCGAGTGGGATCTCGAAAAGGGAAAACCCAAGCGACATGCGAGCGGGCAGCACGGCGACATCTGGTGCCTCGCGGTTCAGCCTCCAGCCCTGAGCGGAGCCTCGGATGACCTTCACTCCAACAAGCTGATTGCTGGAACGATTGACGGTGAACTTGCCATGTACTCGATCGAGGATGATGACCTCCGCTTCCAACGAGTTGTTGTTCGATCCCCCACGAAGAAGGCGCAGATGGTCAGCATCACGTTCCAGTCACGCAAGATTGCTGTTGTGGGCTGCTCGGATAGCACCATTCGAATCTACGATGTTACAAAGGGACACATGCTCCGCCATATGACTCTCGGCGCAGACCTGGCTGGGGGCGCAAAAGATATCATTGTGTGGTCGGTCAAGTGCCTGCCTAACGGTAATATTGTATCGGCCGACTCTACAGGCCAAGTCTGCATCTGGGATGGCAGAACCTACACTCAATCTCAGAGACTGCAGAGCCACAAACAGGACGTCCTCAGTCTCGCGATTAGCGCCGATGGATCGGCGATTATCAGTGGTGGAATGGACCGCCGTACCGTTCTCTACAAGCAGAATGCTGGGCCAGGCAACCGCTGGTCCAAGGTTTGGGGACGAAGATATCACGACCACGATGTCAAGGCTATTGCTTCATTTGAGAACGGCCGCACCAGCGTCGTAGTAACTGGAGGTGAGATAACTTTATTCAAGATGAAAAACTGCTTGGTAGATGCGGACTAGCTAACATTTGACGAAGGACCCGATTCGAACCTCATGTTGGTCCCCTTAAGAGAAATGGGCCGTGAAAACCACCGAACGATTAGCAATCTTCCACAGCAACCACCCATCTTGAGCGCACAAAAGGCTAGGTTCATTACTAGCTGGTGGGATAGAGAGGTTCACATTTGGGCTCTGCGAAAACCCGCTACGGAAATATTCAACCAGACTGGAGAAGACGAAGAAGAAGATGTCGACATCAACAAGAATCGCAAACTCCTCAAGACAATTGTAGTCAAGGGTGACTCCAATATCAGCTCTGCTACAATCAACCCAGAAGGAACCTTACTCATTGTGTCTACATCAACAGACATTAAGGCCTTCCGGCTGGAGCATCAGGATCCTATCAAACCCTCCGACGTCAAGCTATCTGCCATTGAGCTCCCAGAGAAGCTGAAAACCGCCGGAGCCTCACAGGTGCAGTTGTCACCTGATGGTAAATGGCTCTGCGCTATCAAAGAAGGCTCTCGTGTTATCATGGCTAGCCTCGAAGAGACCAACGGGCCGTCACAATTTACCGTTACCTTGCAGCGACTTCCCCGCCTCCGGCGCCATATTCCACGATACGTCAAAAATGGAGGATTGAGGAGCTACGAAAGGAATATTACTCACATCTCATTCACCGCTGACTCCAAGGTGGTTGCGGTAGCTGATATTGCTGGTTACATCGACACCTGGGTATTACGTGGCCCGGATGATAAGTTGCAGAACAAGATCGAAGGTGACGGAGAAAATGACGCGGCACCATCATCTGAGAGCGAAAGCGACAGTGATAGTGACCAGTCGGATGACGAGGAGGACCCAACTAGCAGCGTCAAAACCCGTTGGATTCGCAATCCAAGCGCAAACCAGCTACCCAAGCTGCCATCGGCCCCCGTCGTTCTATCATTCTCGGGATTTGTACCCAGTGAAGCTACGAGCGGAGTGGATGTTGCCAAAGATTACACCCTCGCGGTAGTAACAGCCTCGTGGAATGTGTTGACCTTCCATCCTCTCCAAGGCCTTCTCACACCATGGTCTCGCAGACACCCCCGGAAAGCTCTTCCAGCGGCCGTTCAAGACCTACTCGACTTGGCTAAAGGTGCCCTATGGCAGGGATCCCGCCTTTGGATCTACGGCATTTCGTTCCTGCTGATGCTTGACATTGCCCAGGACTTGCCGAAACCTGTCTCAGAGAGTGATGCTGTCGTCAGCCATGGAGCTCAGCCCGGCATGAAGCGCAAGCGAACAGGCCATGCCAGTGGTGCTGGAGGCAAGATGACCCGCGAAAACCTCGCACCGCACCGTATTGGCAAGTATGTAGACGGACAGTGGGTGAATATCGACGTGGATACTGCCTCTCCCCACGAAGACGGCAGTGACAGTGACGACGACATGCCTGATGCTCCCGAGGGTGACTTGGCGCAACTTCGCAACCCCAACGGCAACAGCAACAACGCAGGGGCTCTCGAAACCGAGACTGACCGCAAGAGCTGGTGGATAACTTACAAGTACCGCCCCGTCCTTGGTATCGTATCCCTCAACGCTGCGGAACAGCCTTTGGAGGTCGCACTAGTGGAGAGACCAACATGGGATGTGGAGAAGCCCGAGAGATACTATGCTGGGGAGGAATGGGAGAGGTGAAAATTTTTTCATCTTTTCTTTTAATGGTAGGAGGATGTCACGATACAAAAAAAAAAGGAAGATGGCCGAGCAACGTGGTTGGCGAAAAGTCTTCTTTTTTGGGTACTGCGTACATATAAGTGTGGTTTTAGAGCTGAGTATTATCTGGCTGATATTTACAAAAGTGCCAGCTGCGGCTTGTAGCATATAGGAAGGAGTTGAAATGTTAATTTATTTCGTTTAAAAATAATTGTTTATTTCCTAGTTACAAGTGAATTGTCACGTAGCAGCACATTATAAGCATATGAAGTTGGCTTGGTGGAGCGTTTTGGGGGGTTAGGAGTCGATGGATAATGCTTCCATTTGCACGAAACGGGCAGCTAAACGTATAAAATTTACGAATACGCCTATAAACATCTTATTGAAACATTACTGGCAAGATGGGAGGAAACTATCATCAGTATTGGCGGAGTAACTGCGGAGTGTTCCACACGCAACTTCTTGCATGGCATCCATCCATGAGCAAACCACTAGCCACATGAACACGTCACAACGAAAGATTTACTAATAATTGGCTTAACGGATTGGGAACAGTAGAGACGCTACGTGCCTTGGTAATTTGATCCTGGGGCATGTCATGAACCGACGTACGTCTGCGAGTGAGACGACGACGACGACGACTACGATGTCTGGGTAAGGCAGGGGGGCGGGAGATCCAGTTTAACGCGCGTCCCTTCTTATTTTCTCTTCCCACGCCATGGCCAAGGCTGTTCTAGCCCTACGGTAGCCTTGTCATACCAGGTAACTAGGTAATGTAATGGGTACAGTACATGTGCTCTAATTAATGCTAGTTATATGCACCGGTGCCTTGTATGGTTGTCGATATATAGGGAGTCATATGAGCGAAGCACTGTGGAGAATGTTGGGTATTAAGCAACATCTCGTGGACTGGGCACATGTTATTATAATGTAGTCGATGGGCTTTTGGGCTTCCTAAGCTGGTTTGTCATACAATAGAGTTTGATTAAGGTGGTCATGAATCGTGGGTATGTCTGGGATACCTTATATGTGTTAGTGATTGTGGACAACTGGAGTAAGCATATTAGAGCCGTACTGTACAGTACGAATCCTAGCCGCACATGCATCCGAATGTCTCAAATCAGCAGGTAGCACAATCCCGTTTGGACGGATGGTGGAAGGACTTGGGTTGTGAGCCATCATGGCGTGCACGTTAGCGTTTGTACGAAGATATCTGCGTGCCATATTAGTCACCTCCTCGCTCCATGGGGCTTTTTGCGAGTCCGGCTGCAGTGGACCAAGATCGGCTGCAGGCTTTTGCTGTAACGATGAGGGAGATTCCAAGTTTGGTTTTGGGGCCGTCAAGCTTTGCAACGGCGCAGCCTCAATAGATAGAAAAACGCCTCTTCACGTGCATCGACGGCATCGACAGACGGGATCTAAGCCGCAAAGCTTTAAGGCAGCTTTGGCAGCAGAATAATCCCTACCCAAGCTACTCTGCGAGAGCCTTTTTGCCTTGGTTCATGTCCGGTTACCAAGCCAAGCACATCACACAGACCTCAATATAAATCGATATCCCGCCAGTTTGGGACATGCAGTCGCCGCGGCTTTATGCCCTCTGCAAACCGAGCGTTAGCGGTGTAGTATATCACCACCAGTAAGCTAAAGGGGGTTAATCCAAGCATTCTCTCTCTCTCAACTACCTACTATTAGCGGGAAGATTATTCTCACCTCCAGGCTGGCTTGCTTGCCAATATGTTCTGTAGGCGTGGAGTGGCGATTGGACGTTGTAGTACGCAAGCCCCCATAGAGCGCAAAAAGCGGATGACGCGGCCTCGCACCCGCACCCCCTAATACCACGCCCCAGCTGTGGGCGTAGAGACGAAATTTGGTCTGCCGAGCATCTGATTGGGTGGAAGAGACCAAGACATTGGATTTTTTGGGCGTGTTCTCGTTTTTGGAGGCCCTTTCTCGACTAGCCTTGAAGCTTTGGGTGGCTGGATCCGACGTTGATTGAGCTGGAAATGGCGATGAGATTTTGGGCTCACAGATCGCAGAGTGCGGTGATGGAAAGATTCTGTTTATTTCCTGGCTTTGAAATGTGTTCACGTATCATGTCCAAGTTGCCAGATTAATACTGGACGGAATGAGCAACGAGAAAGAAGCGTTCTTCAGCAGCGCTAATTGTGTAAGTGGTGAAGAGAGGAGTCAGAGCCTCACATGTCTCTGCTGGCGTGGGCGGGCGGTACTTCGTAATGCTTGCATTGTAGCAGTGAGTATGATGTATCCATGCAATATCCCATCCATGCAACTCTCAGCCTGCAGTTCCCGATCGAGGGCCATGTGGAATTGATCTCGGCGCCAGACACTGCCGGCGTATAAGTCGACCGCTGCCACTGCTACGAGGCACTGCTACGCTGCGTCTATCTGCGATGGAGAAGAGGGGCCGAGCTTGTACAGCTGAAAGGGCCAGGAACCGAAAACGCAAGGCTGATTCGAGACGCTTCTTGAAGAGCGACGAGAGACGCCCGTAGCCGCGGTGCGCCATCGCAGCATCGTTTCAACTTTGCACGGAGCACATCTCGTAATGGACAGGACAGTATCGATATATCCCTCTGCACTGTCCAGGCGCAGATGCTCCGTCGGACTAGGCCACCTGCGTCTGACAATTTACCGTGCAAGCAGAACTAACGCTGCCGCGGATTCCCGCTGCGTTAGGCCATCATTACGGAGGACTGGCACCAAGGATGCTGCTCGTCCTGCCGAGCCGAGCACATGCACGGGATATTCGTCTTATTATAGATGAGGTCTAGAACTGGACGGGTAAACAGTACCTGGGTACCTCTGCAGCGTGCTTGCCTGTGGCTTTCGATCTCGCTGGCAGTGTGGCGCGTGCTTGGCGGTGCTGCCGATCAGGGCCCTATCCGACTTCTGAGCCGCAAGCTAGGAAGCAAAAGAAGAGGAGCGCAGAGGCAAAGCGTGCGAAACGGAGCGCTGCCGTATGCCAGGACTCGTAATGCCTGCAGATCACAATCGCACATGTTTACACGGAGTCGACAGACCTACTTGTCCTTACTCGTACTCGTACGGAAGTGCTAGAAATAGTTCGGCGTGGAGGTTGAGCAACGGGGGAGACGTTGGCGGTTTAGCGGCTGCAGAAGTGACAAGGATGGCACTAGCTGGTGTTTCGCAGCCGCAGAGGACAAGGTGGATTGAGAAGAAAGGGAGCAAAAAGCGAACAATACTAAGAAAAGGAAGAAACAAAAATAACAAAACGGAGGCCACCGTTTCTCTGCGCCGTAGCCTATCAAGAAGCTTGGATGCTAGATTTGGCCCTCTTCAACTGGTAATGGCTTGCAGTGCGTGTTTTCCACCCGTAGCTGTACAGTGCGCGCAGCTGGCGGCGCTAGCATCTTGGCATCGGCTGTGCCACAGCAGAAACGGGAAAGGCGCATCATGCGCTGCGTGCCTCGTCATCGCCTCTCGATGGCGCTGCGCAGGTTCCGGTACCTGCGGGCCGCTGGGGGAGGGACACGCGGTACCTCTGGCCATTTTTGCGGTGCACGAGGCGTCCCAGCACCTGGCGTTTGCCGTCATTCTGTCTGATTCTCAGCGGCCGGCTGCAGTACCCACCACCAGAAACAGCGACAGGGTACCTTGGACATCTACTCCAGAGGGACATCCCATGGATTGTTGCTATACCAATGTGTGTACTTGCATATTCTTCATTTTCTTACAGCTTGTTTTTTGGCTGCTTTTCTTAATTTCTTCCCTCTCTCTTTAAGTATTACTTTCTTTTACTCGTCATCTCCTCTGGCGTGCGCGCAGAGCCCTCGGGGTCTGGAGATGGGGCATTCTCGTAATTGCAGTCGGTACCACTGTCCGCGGACATGCACAAGCAACCTGGCTGAAACCGGGAAACATAAACCCCGGTTCTCAGCCTGTTGATAAGGGAAAAAAGCTTAGAGGAACAAGAAAAGAAGATTGCCAAACATTCAAGAATCTGGGGGGGAAAAAAAGAGAGAAGGGAAAAAAAAAAAAAAAAAAAAAAAAAAAAAAAAAAAAAAAAAAAANGGTCTGGAGATGGGGCATTCTCGTAATTGCAGTCGGTACCACTGTCCGCGGACATGCACAAGCAACCTGGCTGAAACCGGGAAACATAAACCCCGCTTCTCTGCCTGTTGATAAGTGAACAGAGGTTAGAGGCCCAAGTCATGAAGATTGCCAAACTTTCAAGAGTGTTGGGGGGAAAAAAAGAGAAAAGGGAAAGAAAAAAAAAAAAAAAAAAAAAAAAAAAAAAAAAAAAAAAAACCAAAGACAGACATAAAAATTGAATAGGAACATCTCGAGCGGTATAGCGAGAGCACTGCGTGACAGACTTCACTTGTCAAAACAAGCACACACTCAAAGGCCCACTGCCGCGCGCAAATAAAGTAAAGCAGTAATTTAAACTCGCAAAACTAGCACTACTACGAATATTTGATATTTGATAGCTTTGATGGCCCATCAGCGTCATACCGGCGCTCTGCCTCGGTCTCTTGTTCGCTCTTGAGTCTCGTCTGCCATCCACGCACAAGGTAGACGGCGAGGCGCCATGGACCAAGTACCCGGACATGTACCCAGGCTTGGCCGCCTTGTAGCGGTACCCGAGCCGGGCCCTCTCACCGAGCACAGCAAATCCTGGTGCTGGGGCGGGCGGCGCCCATGATTGGCTGCGTCTGCCAGCTGACGCGTAAACCGGCATCAATTGCTCTTTGCAGCGCCAGCGGCACGCCCCTCTATCAACTAGCAGTGCTACCACTGCCACTGCCAGGCCTAGTCCCTTTTATTTCCCCCCTGTACGGATTACTCTGCCAGCGCTGCGTGGCCGGCCTCTCAGAGCACTCGGCCCCCCAAGAGGCCCATTCCCATTACATACATCCTCCACAACCCCCCCGTCCGCTGCCTTTTTGCTTCAACCCTCATTTTTTTTTCTCTCCCGGCGACGGCTCGAGGCATGACAAGAGCCTCTTGATTCTGCAGCGTCGACCAGCAGCAAGCTTCCCAGGCGAGCCCCCAACGGCCGATGCACGTTTTCTAGACGGGCGACGATCCGGCGCAGCGACAAAAGCGGCTCGAAAATTCGACTCCACGAAGCCAAGCGCGTTGACGCAACGCTGAGGGGTGGCCTCAAAGTCACTGTGGCAATTTCAGCGGCCTACGCATCCCCCAGCTGACGACGCTGTGGCCTACGACCAGACTCCAGCCTAGCCGCGACATCAACGACGACGCAATCGCCTCTTCAACGCTGTCACCTCCAACCATCTCGACCCTTATTTCAGATCACTCGTTCTTTTCTTTTCTCTTTTCTTTTGCTGGATAATTAATTGAAGAGAAAAGAAAGAAGAGACTCACCAATCCCGACCACAGCAACTCCAGCACCCATCGATCGACCCGCTTCACTCGTTCACCACCTGCACCTAACACTTTCCTCTACAGCTTCCATCCACAATGGAGGACCGAGGCACCCCTTTCGGCTCAGGGTCCTCGTCGCAAGGCGACTACGGGGAGGAATGGGCTCACGACCTTCGGATCCGCTTCGAGGGCCTGCTGCGCGATAAGCGCATGAACGACCTCCGGGCTCAGCACATGTCGTCAAGCTCACGAGAACGGTCGCCGGGCGCCTATCGCGACGCCCCTTCACCTGCTGGCAGCGGCCAGTACAGCCCATCGCCCGCAGCGACGACTCCTCCCTCCTACTCAGCTCTCCGACATCTCCCCAAGATCCCAACACCGCCCGCTGCCGCAGATCGCGACTCACAAAAATTCCGAAACCTCCTTCTCAGCCTTTCACTTACACCCACAAAGTACGAGAACCCTGGCTTGTTGGATGAGGCTCTCCAGACCATTCCTCTGGATCGCATATATAGCGAGGCGGAGGAAGAGAGTCAGGTTCTGCAGGCACAGGCAGAGAGTATGGGCGACGGTCGGAAACCGGAATGGGGATATCAGGACTGTGTCATTCGAGCTCTTCTTCGGTAGGTTTGATGCTGACGAAGCCCATCGTCTTCCTCTCTGTGTGTTAGCATGGTTCTAACTTTTTTTCTCTCTCGCACAGATGGTACCGGCGGTCATTCTTTACCTGGGTAAATAACCCCCCATGCCCAGTTTGCTTGTCTCCCACGATCGCTCAGGGTATGACGGCACCCACACCTGAGGAGAGTGCCTGTGGCGCCCTTCGAGTCGAGCTCTATCGTTGCTCTGCCGAAAGCTGCGGTACCTACGAGCGCTTCCCGCGCTACGGCGATGTGTGGCGACTCCTGCAAACCCGCAGAGGCCGCGTTGGAGAGTGGGCCAACTGCTTTAGCATGCTCTGCCGTGCATTGGGCGGCCGTGTTCGGTGGGTTTGGAATGCCGAGGACCATGTCTGGACCGAAATCTACTCGGACCAGCAGAAGCGATGGATCCATGTCGACGCATGCGAAGAAGCTTGGGACAACCCGCGACTCTACACCGAAGGCTGGGGGAAGAAGATGTCGTATTGCGTGGCCTTTTCTACTGATGGTGCCACCGACGTGACTCGGCGATACGTGCGTAAAAGCGAAGCTGCCAATGAGCGCAACCGATGCCCCGAGGAGGTCATGCTCTACATCATGCAAGAAATCAAAAACCTCCGCCGGGCCAACATGTCCAAGGAGGAGCGCTTCCGACTTGAGAAGGAAGACCAGGCAGAGGACCACGAACTTCGGACATATGTCGTGGAATCTATTGCTCAAGCCGTCACAGATCTTGTGCCTGGATCATCCGCTTCTGGCAGTGGCAGCAATGGCAGCAGCAGCGGTGCCGGCCAAGATGCCAAGTTGCCAGCCGAAAACCCAGCTCGCCAGCCCGGGTCTGCTCAGTGGTTAGCTGCTCAGCAGCGCCAGCATGACAGACAATGCCAGCCCCGCGATCCTAGCCATAGGCGCGGCCTGCCTTGAATATATCATACCCACTATCATCATCCCCTTACTGGATGATGCATCCGTTCACACTTTTCTTTACATCATGCCCTCTACAAGCATGAATCAAACCAACCATCTATAAAAGAGGTCGACGACCTTATTATATACCACACGAGACATCATGTCACGTCGATACCCAACGACTAACAATGACACCTGACTACGTTCCGCTTTGCCGACGACAGCCCAATATGAGATATACTTATATTCTTACAATTATTACCGCAAGCGATCACTACTTGTCCCCTCTTTATCAAACATTTCACTCATATAATTTTCCTATCTAAGCATAGACGGCGTTTTCTCGTTGGCCGAAGAAAAAAAAAATTCTGTCGCCTTTTTCATCCTCCCAAATAGGAAGGGGCTATGGCCCTGTATCTATCACTTACATTTTTCCTCTATTCTTCTTACTCTTCTAACCTTTTCTTCTACATTTCCTTTGTTGTTTTGGTACAGGAAGAGACGGGCGCATCTGGAGGGAGGACCGGAACGAAATATTTTTCACACCAGCGTGACCCCACCGTTTTTTTATATTTTTTTCTGATTTTTTTTTCCCGTGGGAACTGGGAAAGGGGGTAATACCCGAAATCCCCTGGGGCGTACGGTTGTTTTGGGATAGCATATTTGCTAAGGAGGAGATGGGAATGGCATGAAGAGATGTGGAAAAAAACACATGGAGACTCTTTTGGAGGTAGATTCGAGCGTATAGGAATAGTAGATGTAGCGAATAGCATGTCTAATCTACAGAGGAAAGATGGCGATTTTTTGTGTGATTTCAAATGATTAGCATAAAAGAGGGCTGGATACCCTGATTCTCTTTACATTCGCATTTAACTTGATCATGATCGTCTCGTTATACACCTTGGTGGATATTTTTGAAGACTACCGAAGACACTTTTCACTCACTTGCTAGTATGGTGAATTGTCTTCGGATCTCAACTCATTTCGCCTCACCAGCCTTCATCACCTTAATAGTCATTAGTGTCTAATGATACCGTGGTCTTTCATCATCTAAAACTCCGCTCACTGCGGAGATTTCTGAGCAAAACAGCCCGCTCGATAGGCCCACAAGGTGGCAGCAGATCCAAAAGAAGGGACCGGGTAAGGGCTTCCCGCTTCGGCGGCCCACAGTTCGGGGGGACCCACCGAACGCCGAGTCCGCCGCCGAACTCTCGGTGCGTTTTGCTGTACCTGCATGATAAACTGCTAAGCTGTACGGAGTATACATGTAGGGGTTTTTATAAATAGGCCGAGTGCGTGCTTTTCCCCTTTCCCTTTCGTTGTCTCTCTTCAAGACTATTTATAAGAGCAAGTCGGTTTACTCGTTTGCCCTTCTTTTATCGCCCATTATCCAATCCACCACATTCGTGTCTTTTCTCTTTTTTGCTTGCTTGCTCGCCATGGCGATCCCGACGACGATGCGCGCGCTCGTGGCACCGCGCAAGTGTGGACCAGAAGGCTACGAGGTGATGGAGCTGCCGGTGCCGAGCATCACGCTGCCGACGCATGTGCTGTTGAAGATGCATGCGGCGGCGATGAACACGGGAGAGCTGCAGTCGTTTGATGGGCGGTTTGGGTTGATTTACACTCCCAAGTAAGCTTGTCTACACCCTCCCCGGCCTTAATGATATAACGGCTTTTCTCTTCCCCTCCTTTTTTTTTCCTTTTTTCACTGACTTCTGTATTCTTTGTTAAGATACCCGGCTCCAATCGGCCTTGAAGGCTCCGGCGTCGTAATAGCTGTCGGAGCCGCAGTCAAGAACCTCAAGGTCGGCGACCAAGTCTACGGCGCGTACATCGAAAAGCCCATGTTCCGCAAGCCCCCCGCCGGATTCGCCGCCGAGTACGCCCTTGCGGAGGAGCAATATCTGCTGCCCAAGCCGGCGCACCTGTCCTGGGAGGAGGCCGCGTCGATGACCTCGGTGGTGGTGACGTCGTATCAGACCTGGCGCCGGGGCATGCAGCTCATGGGCGTGCAGAACCTGGAGGGCAAGACGGTGTATATCCCCGCCGGGCTGAGCAGCACGGGGTCGATGGCGGCGCAGGTGGCGAGGAATGTGCTTGGTGCGAAGAGGGTGATTACGACGGTGTCGACGCCCAAGATGGACCTGGTGGAGAGGTATCTGCCGGGGGTGTACGACCAGGTGATTGATTATAAGACGCAGAGGCCGCGGGACCAGGTTCCGCGAGGTAGTGTGGATATCATGTATAACACGCAGTGGGATAGCATGGACGAGGGCATTCCGATGATTAATCCCAAGACTGGTGTGCTGGTGTCCATTGCGAGCGCGCCGCAGAAGGAGGTGATGAGGAAGATCTTTGGCCCGGAGCGGTTCCCCTGGTGGATGGGCGTGCTGCTGGATCTGGCGGGTCTGTTTTATAAGTGGAAGCTCCGGGGCACGAACATCCCGCATGAGTTTGTGTCTGGCGGCGTCGAGATCCGGGAGGACCTGGAGGCGGCCGGGGAGATTGTGGCGCTGGGGAAGGTGAGGTCGGTGATGAGGGTGGTGGAGCTTGGGGATCTGGAGGCGGTTAGGAAGGCCTGCGGGGAGGTGTATTCGGGAAAGGGGGGGATAGGCAAGTTGGTGGTGAAGATTGTATGATTGATGAGGGAATGAGGAACTTGTGGCTTTGAGATGTAGTTTGTTTCATATCGTTTGATCTAGTTGGGGTCGAGATACTGCCTAGATGCATGAGCGAAAGGCCTAAGGTGTGTTTAATATGGGTAGTTTATACATTTTTTTTTATTACATTCTAGATTATTATAGTTTGTGTGTATATCTTTATTTTTTGGGGGAGTTGTCTTGATATCCCTTACATGTTTTATGTATGCTACTTCATGTCTTGTACTACTTCACTTGTTTCTCTCTTTGTATATATAAAACAGTTTCACTCTCATTCATGGCATCTTTGCTATCTGGAATTACACGATGAAGGATGCTAGACTTGAAATATGGGGTGATTGACTTGCATCAGACTTACTCTGTGGTTTAGAGCGTACCCGGCAAGGTTGATCTTTGTGACTGTTTTAGCTATCGTATGAAGAGATATGCTTTCTCAAGAGTACACCAAAATTTCCATGTCCTTTACGAATTTTGACGACTTGAAGGCTTGACCCTTTTCTCTGCCTTGAAGACAAATTAATTTGGCTTGATTGTACCGTGGCCTCCTTTTATGCCGCGAGCTAACCACCTATTCCGCCAATACAGGTAGCTACTAAGTAGGTATGCAGATCAAGCGTTTATCGCAAGATAACCTTTTACTAGGAGTTGCCACATTCTAGATACTGTAGATTGAGTGAAATACTAGAGGCAACTAATATGCGGCACCCCCAATAGCACCAAACACCGGCTAAAGACCGTTCCTGCAAATCAATAGCGCAGGCACAGCAATCGTTAGCTGCCAGTGGGGAAGACTATTTGTCGCGCGACCAGGCTTGAAAAAGAAAAGGAAAAAAAAAAAAGAACAGCCACTCTACGCGGTTGCGCGCAACGCACAGGACCGACGCGCCATGCTCTTGCGCAGGCCATTTTTTCCTTTTCCTCAGCTCCAATGCCAGCCAGGGATCAGCCCGTCCTCGTCGGTTACCTGAACGACCGGCGCCAGTCCGTCTCACTCAGCATCCCATAAACCCAATTCGTCCGCCTTTTCCTTCTTCCTCTTTCTCTTTTGACTTTGCATCGTGCCAATTGGTTGATCATCCATCCTGACGATTTATTTTTTTTTCTCAAGGAGCACTGCGAAGAGCGTGCGTGCTATTCTTTGGATTCTGTTTCGATTCTGCTTCTTTTTTTCTTCTTCTCTTCTTCCGCTCTAGTTTTTCTTGGTATCCATCTCTTGCTTCTCTCATTCTTAGACGAAGACGCCATTGTTCCAGCTCTACAGCGTACAGAACTCCCGCCAATACACGCCGAAGCAATCTCAAACTCCCATCCTATTTTTTTTTTTTTTTTTTTTCCCATCAGCCATGGCAACGCTCCTCAAGCGCAAGCGCTCCGCCTCCGAGCTCTGCTCGCCCGGCGCCGCCAACTCTATGATGGACGCCTCCGTGCCGGCGAACCTGCACAGCCGCACCCTCAAGCGCTACCGCGACAACAGGCCGTCGGACGACGAGGTCCATCGTAAGTTCTACGAATGGCGCGCCCACCACCACTTGAGCATCCCCAACTCATCATCTTGCGCGCCCGCAGAGCACACCCTGGGCCTGCTGTACTCGGCTCAGCAGCGGCCCCAGCAGCAGCAGTTCCGCGACGAAGCCCCGACCGCTGCCGCGCCGCCCGTCGCTGCGTCGTCGTCGTCGAACCACCAGCAGTCGCTGCACCGCTTCTGGAGCATCGGCTCCGAGCCCAGCTCGGCGAGCTCGTCGCCCGGCATTGAGAACCCCCCCGCGCCGCTGCCCACCAGCTGCGACGACTGCGGCGCCGCCCTGGCCGGCGGGAGCCGCGGCGACGAGATGGACGTGGACAGCAGCGATGCCGTCGAGGATACAGCCTGTGGCGCCTGCGGCAAGCACGTCTGCTTCAGCTGCTCGGTGAGCAATCTGGGCGAGCAGAAGCGCTGCTTGCAGTGCGCGGGACGGAGAGTCTGGATTGGCGGCATTGGCTGGACCACTGCTGGTTTCGGTCTGCTAAAGCAGGTTGTGAGCTCCCAATTAGGGTCATGATTATTTCATTTCTTCATTTTATTTCTTTCTCCTTTTTTTTCACACCCGTTGCGGCTTCTTTGATCGAGCCTTGGAGCGGCTTATGCTTGCTTATGATTTGGGTCGGCTGGCGTTATGGACAAAATGTGCCCAAGTGTTGGCTGTATTGCTGGTATGCTTAGCGAGCATCAATGTAGACTTGTACAATGAGCTTTTTGAATAACACATCTGCATCAGTCTTGGCTTCCGTTGAATGCATGGCGACGTGTATCCTATACTTGTCACTTGTGCTCAGAACTCCTTTTGAGAGTAGAAAGTAATAGTAATAGATGGTAGCTGCAGCTGCAATTACATACATAATAGGTCAAGAATACCAGATGGCGAGCATACCACGAGTAAATTAGGCGTTTCCACCTCCTTTTTTTTTATTAGCATATTCCTCCGCTAGTAACCTGATCCCAACCTGTGCACCAGCATCCCAATAAAGACCAAAGCAAAATAAAACGAAACTCTATAGAATTCTAGCTAACCACGGCGACGAGTAGTAGGCCCCTTCTTGGGCACGGCCGTTGAGCTTCCGCGGGCCTCGACGGGGACAACTTCCTTCCGCTTGCCCCGAGCCTTTGCAGATGGAGCGTTCCAGTAGTACACCATCTGTAGAGCGAGGATGGCGTTGAGGGCGAAGCCGGAGATGAAACCGTACAGTATCAGTTTGTCGTCGACTTCCTGGAGCGTGGTGAAGATGCGAGACAGCGAGCCGGCCAAGTAGTTGAAGACCTAGATATCATTGAGTCAGCTATCATGTTAGTCTGACAGCATATGGAGAAATACGAACCGCAAAAGCACTGAGCTGGCCGGTACCTCCCTCCTGCCAGATGGCCAGGATCTGGGGAACCTTGCTGGCGACGCCGAGAACACCAGCGCCAGCCTGCAGGTAGCTCAGAGCCTGCATGTCCAGCACGTTGTCGGCAAACAGCGCGGCCGCACCAATGGCCAGCGCGGCGACAAACAGAGCCGCCATGGCAGGCCTGCCGCTGTAGTTCAGGACGAGGATGGAGATGACGACGTTCTGGCCCATGATGAAGGCGGTCTCGCCAAAGGTGCTGAAGGGGAAGCCATTGCGCACGTTGTACGCCAGCGAGATGAGGTACGCGCTCGTCTCGAGCAGGTACGACAGGAACGACACGCCCTCGGCCGACTTGGACTTTAGCAGCTTGAGGATCTGCGGCACCTTGACGACGGCTGAGGCGCCGACGATGCCAATGCCCAGGCCCTTGCTGACGGCGAGCTTGATGCACTCGGTGTTTTCAACGTCCACGTCGAGCAGCAGCGCCTTGTAGCAGGTCTCGCCGACGATGGAGACGCCGAGGTCCCGGATGGGAGCCGGCAGGTTGTGCGTGATGGGCTGGACGAGAGACCGGACGGCATCCATGGCTGCGGTGCTTCGATCAGGCCGAGAACGGTTGGTTGGGATGGAGGAAGAGTTGTGGTCTGATCTGAATCCGCTACTTCGAAATTTTTCGGGTTAGGAATCGCGCCTCGTTCAGCCTCGTCTCGGAGTGGAGCTCGAAATCGAGAATTGCTCGGGGCCCTTCTTCGAAAAGGCTGCGTTGCGCGTCGCGTCGCAAAATATCAGGCTATTCAAACCAATACCTTTCGTCCCTTTTTTTTCCGATGCAGAATGCGACGCTTCTTTTTTTTTTTTCCCGTCCGTGATGCCCTTGTCTGGATTCAGGCCAGATTGCGCTTGTGCCTGGGGCATGACATCAGGCAAGGCGGGGGGGTCTTTTTTTTCCGCTGTGGCTCAGCAGGGCGCTCTAGCTTTGACGCCTGAGCCAAGGGCGGGGAATTTTGGATTTGGAGGGCAGAGCTGGAGAGGCGATCGGCCGCCAGGAGGGCCAGCAGCGGGCTTAGCGCCGGGCTGTAGCTGCCAGGATCAACACTGACGATTGATTACAGCGCCATCTGCCTTGTAGTCGTGGATGGCTGAGGCTGAGGCTATAGCATGACGATCATCTGGATGCTGATTGACGCTCGCCTTTGTCGCAGTTTGGTGCCTGAGCAGCTGTTGACTGAGTGCAATGCCCATCCTGGAGCGTCTCGAGTCTTCAATGTTTCCTTTCGTCTTGGGGCTCTGGCTCGGCCTTTGTTTATGACATCATCCGCTGCCTCCATCTTCGTTTCTTTCTCGTCTCTTCGAAACATGCACAAGCACATGCATGCAGAGGCACAGCACACGCAAGCACTAGTTCCGTTGCACCAACACAAAGAATCTGCTGGCAGCACTGACGGCTGGGCTGGACTGGGCCCCAGCAGCCAAGGCAAAAACAACCGGCCGGCCAGGCTCCATCCATCCATCCTCTGTCCATCGCCCGCCGGCCTCCAGCCACGCTTCAAGGCTGCAGCCAGGACGCACGTGTCAGCCCGTGAGGGGCCGTTTGCGCCATCGGTTTGGTCACCTCAGCAGGCTGGAGCCCTGACCTTGCGGCATGATCCATGATTGACGGCGGCGTCGAAGGCCATCTTTCTGCGTGGAATCCAATGGCCAGCCTGCGCCGGGCCTCGCCTATCACTTCTCTTCTCCAGGGCAGATCAGATGCTGCAGCAGCCGGACCGTCTTTGTCGCCTGCTCTCGCTCTCTTTCTTCCTTGTCTCGTCCTTTTGTGTGGCGCACAGCTCGCTCGCCGTGCCATTTTAAACGCTTGAACCAACGCCCACCCCATTCCGACTCCAGCCTCCAGGCCCGGGCCCTGCCGCAGCTAGTGACATCAATTCCCTTTGCCGCCCGCGCAGCCTCTACCTACTATTTACCTCCAGCGCCTTTTATTTTTCTGGTTCCTTTATTCCTGGAAAACGCCCGCAAACCGTCTTGAATGCCAGACTTATTCGCTGCCCGTCGCCGTCCAGAATGGCCGTCCCTCGATCTAATGGCTCGACGCCGCCCGAGGCCATCCAGTACGCCTACATGTTCGAATCGGACAGGAGCCCGACCAAGCAGTTTGATGCGCTACTAAGAGCAATCGCGCGCTTTATCGTATGCCTCCAGATGTGGCCTGACAGCAGCAACGAGACAAAATGGCTGGTGACTAACGCGCTTGACAACAGGTAGCTGAGCTTGGTGACAAAAACGATACACATCTCACCCCCAAGAAACTCGCTGCGTTTTACAAAGCCGTCGGCGGTGACTATGATTGTAAGCTAGTGGCATGCGAGCCACAAGGCCTGTTACCTCGTATGTTAACCTCGAAATCGCAGCCTTATTCCTTGAGACGCCTCACTCGACCATCTCCTACATGTGGCATGTGACTGGCTGCCAGCATAGTTTGCAACCCACCGAGAATGACTACGACCCGCCTTCTATTCCGGCTCTGACACCTCGAGGCTTCTCCCGATGGGAAGCGGTAGAGGTCCTTCTCGGGCCTGAAGAGCATGTCCCCTTTCTCCAGTATGCTGTCAAACATTGGGACCTAAGACACCCCGAGACGGGCCAAGTCTTCCCGCCTGATCTACCCGCCAGCGTCTTTCCCTCACAGCCAGATCAGGAAGTTGACCGCTGGCACAAGAGTTGCGCCGATCAGATGCGTGACGATGCGACCAGGGAGGAAGAGAAAGCAAGCATGCCTAGCTCCAGTTCTGCACCGAAGCCCGAACCGTCTCCGGAACCTGCCGCACCAAGGTTTGCCTACTTTCACCCACCGGATCCTTTTCATCCAGCAAACCGTTTCTATCCATCGGATCCGTTCCGCGCGACCTCTCCCCCTCGACCGAGAGCTGCTGATCCGAATCAGTCCGAAAGGTTTTATTACGTCCATGTTGGCGATAGATATGGGGCTAATTTTGGCCAAAGGCCTCCTGTGCGTTCTCCGGAAAGGCCTCGCCGCCAGAGACCTGCCGATGACGCCGGAAGGCGTCGAAGTCTCTCCGACTATGCTTCCAACCGCCAGCCAAACCCCGACTCCATCCGCCACAGCTATTCCGGCACGTACCTCAACCCAGATTCCACGCGAACGACACCCAGTCGACCTTCACAGGGTCGCCGGCATAGCCACTTGCCGCGTACATCTGACTCGTCAGATGATGAATCTGAAGACAACACCATGCACATGAGGGCTAGACGGCGACAACGAACCGTCTCTCCACATTCAGGCATTCGCAGGGTCGTCCCGCCGTCATCAGGTCCTCCACCGCCGTCGGCGGGGTCCAGTGTCCCTTCTTTCCGGACCCATCGAAGCGACAGTCGAGCTGAGGAAGCGAGAAGAAGAGGTAGTCCCCTCGGCTCCCTCAGAGAAAAGTTTACCGAAACCGTTTCCAACATTTTCCCAGGTAACCAAAGCCGAGGTAGCTCAAGACAGAGCTCCGTCAACAACCCCATCCGCGTGCGTAGGAGTCGCGAGAGCATACCTCCATCACGCCTAAATCAGAATCATTCAGATCTTTCCGATTGCGTATCAGAAGGATCCAGCGAAGAGGAAATCCGCCATCGCCACAGATTACGCCAGCAGCGAGAACGCTCATACCGCGCTGACGACCAAGATAGAGAGCGGCAGCATCTGCACCGAACAGATTCACAACGCCGGGCTAGCAGCCACACCGACACCGATAGACGGCGGGACGCAGGATGGGATGTGCGAGATAGAGATCATATTAGGGGAGAAAGAAAATGGGATAGACGATCCATGGAAGATGACATACCAAGTTCAGGCATACCGAGTAGGCGATACCAGGAGTCGACTTACACTTGAAAAAAAAGAAAGGAAGGAAGGAAGAAAGAAAGAAAGTAGTACTCATGATTTATGATGACGCGATGAAGACATTAAACCATTTGGTGGAGTTTTAGCGATTGGAAATATTTCTGTTATCTTGTTCAAAGAAGATGTTATTGCTTATATACACACGGCGATCAACGCTCAGATATGTATCTTTCTACGCGGGCTCTATATAAGGAGAGCGATTCTAACAAGTTCCGATACCCAAGTACCTCTCTCAGGAGAGGGAAAGTGCCTGTCTGATAATGCATACTCAGCGTCCATGCAGTGATGTCTGAGGACTTAGCAAAGTGTTTGGTATTGGGGGGAGGGGGGCATATCAGGGGGGCATTGGTGATTGGCTTCCACTATTCAAAACCAATGTGCCCGTTGTATTTCGGCTTTTCCGTTTTTCATAACTCCCTCTTTGCTCTTTTTTCTTGTCTCTTTCTCTCTCCATATGTTTCTTCTCGATATCAAAAATATCTCTGCATCATTATCTAGACAGACATGTTCATAGGAATTGACTTATGGGGTTCATATCCCTTGACCACAAAGTCTTCTACTTTCCAGCCGTCGATACTGCCACCCTTTTCCCGTGTGATTTCCAGCTCGGGGAAAGGTCGCGGCTCGCGCTCTAGCTGTGTTCGAAGAGCGTCGATATGGTCAATGTAGACATGTGCGTCGCCCATGACGTGGGTAAAGGTTCCTGGGACAAGATCGCAAACGTGAGCGAGCATATGTGTCAGCAATGCGTAGCTCGCAATGTTGAACGGGATGCCCAGACCCATGTCGCAGGATCGCTGGTATAGCTGGCAGTGGAGGTGGCCCTTTGGCTTGCCCTCCTCTGTCGGTTCCTCGGCGCCCTGTCCCCGTCCTCGTCCGGGGTAGGAGACGTAGAACTGGGCAAACATGTGGCAGGGCGGCAGGGCCATGCTCTTGAAGTCTTTTGGGTTCCATGCGCTGAGGATCATTCTGCGATCATAGGGGTTGTTGCGGAGCTTGTGGATGATCTCGGCCAGCTGGTCGACGCCCTTGCCGGCGTAATCTGCCTTTGCATCGACATAGTCGGCGCCAAAGTGCCGCCACTGGAAGCCGTAGACGGGGCCCAGGTCGCCGACGTCGCGGTGCGTGAGCCCGACGCTGTCGAGGAACTCGCGGGACCCGTTGCCGTCCCAGATCTTGACGCCGACGTCGCTGAGGGCGGTGGAGGAGGTGTTGCCCTCGATGAACCAGAGCAGCTCGGCGATGACGGCGCGGAGGAAGACTCGCTTGGTGGTGAGGAGGGGAAGGATGGGGCGGCCGTTGTCGTTGAGCTGGAACTTGAAGCTTGGGGGTGCGAAAATGGACAGGGTACCGGTGCCAGTGCTGCGGGTGTGGGAAAGACTTATCAGTATTTTTTTTTTCTTTCTGAAGTGGCATGGTGGTGGTTCACTACCGCTGTGCTGGGCTGTCTTACCGATCGGGTCTTCGCTCACCCTGGTCCAGGATCTCGCGGACCAGGTTGAGGTACTGGTGCTCTTCGTGCACTGGCGTTGACCCCATTGTTTGTTTCTGAGGCTGTGTGTGGATGTGGGTGAATGAAGGGTAATGAAAGAAACAGAGGCAGTGGAACAAAAAGACGTAAAACAGAGAGGATAGAAAAGACGAAGAGAGACAATGGAGGGGTGTGTTGACGTCTGTGAGTGACGCGCTGGACGCGTCGAACTAATTACCAAAGAGCTTGAGCGGGCATGAAAATGTATGGGGCACGTGATTTCGCGCAACCACTTTAAGTGCTTCTGAATGGGGTGGGTACTGTTTTCTACAGATAAGAGCTTGAAAACCTACTTGACTCAGTGTCTTAAATTGTAATATATATGTATATATGCAAGATACAATATCCCAATAAGTCATCGTAAGAGTCATTATGTTTATACTAAAATCTTTGGAAGCAATGTGATTATCCTCTTCGCGTCCAAACGTAGTCACTCATCACGCTCACAAGATCCTGAATTCAATCCGAGATAGTGTAAAAACCTTTTTATAGGAACTTCTTTCCCCCCTCAACTCAACTGACTTCTATCCTTTTCCACAATGAAAGTAAAAATCATTCAGGAAGAATTCAGCTGCTCTCCTTCAATGGAGCCGCCATTGAGAACCCAAGCACTATAACATCCTGGCCAAAGGAAGCCTCGCGATTATCTACCCCTTTCCATTCCATGAATTTATTGAATTTGGTCTTCTCCAGCACCTTGACGCTTCCCACATTCTTGGCATCTGTTATAGCCGTGAGAAGCTCGACGATTGTCGGAGTGCTGCCGGCCTCGGCGTCTACGCTCTTCGGATCAACCTCAATCTCAATTTCTTTGCGAGGCAAGCTCCACCAGCTCTCAAGGAACCCCGTCATGAACTCGGTTGCGTATCCTTTCCCCCATGCTGCCTGCTTGAAGGAGTAGCCGACTTCTGGCCACCCGAAGCGCCGGCTTAGGAGGCTGTGCATGCCGCCTTTGCCGACCAGCTCGCCCGTGTCCCGCTCGAAGATGAGGAAGTGGTAGTTTTTGGTGTCGTTGGGAGGCAGCGAGTCGTCCAGGCTCCGGATGGTGTCTTCCAGGGTCTTGTCGACGCCTTGTACCGAGTGCTTCATGACTTCATGCTCGGTGCGGAGTAGGTGCAGAGCAGGGACGTCGGAGAGGCGAGGTGCGCGGAGCAGGAGGCGAGGAGTGAGTATCTCGTCTCTGGAGCTGATGGGTGGGATAAGTGGCAGCGTTGTGCGGACCTTGATAGTCTCTGTGTACTCCATTATTACTGGAAATAGTTCTAGTAATGTTTATGTTATTTCTGTAGATAGTTGGTTGTCTCCTTTTTTTTTCATAAGTTGAGTTTCTGTCTTCCAGACAATCACCAGATACGTAGGTTATCGATCTCAACAATGGCAAATCTCAGTGCGGTCACGCTGAGATAACGTTGGTACTTTGCCCTTTGGTACGAAAGGTTTAGAAATTCTGTCGTCTCTTTCAAATTCACTTGATGAAAAGCTGATAGAACGACGTAGATAATCTAATTTATACATGTTGCGATGCCAACATATACGATGTATACGAAACGACTCTTGTGAGTCACCCCAGACGGTGCTCCATGTTCGGCATATATGGGCACTTTTGTACCAACTCAATCCTTTAAAGAATCAGACTGTGGGTCTTTTTATATAAGTGCCAGATTCCCTAACTATTCCTGGTAAATGCTTTTTGACTGATTGTAGTAAATAGTGGTGGGACTTTGATTGCCTAGAATCCGTAGTTCAACTATTCGAGGGAATGCGTTACAATAAGTGTCAAATGGCGCCATGTCTAAGCAGCAGAAATATGGACCTCTGCTTGTCATCAAGAGTCAAAATGCTCAACTATGTATCTGCATATGAAATGTTAAAAAGCCACAACAATCCCGGGCATTTATCACATGGAAATTCAAAGGAATTATCTCTTCAAGGTACATGTAATTGGCAGCGTTTACTTCGCTTATTACGTGGCCCTCTCTACCAGCTGGTGCTGTTTTTAAGCCCCTGGTTATTAAACACCGATTGATGTTTTCATTACTACTGTGTACTAGGCACGTGTGAAAGCGATGACAACACATCAGGCACCGATCTCCACCTATGTACATTATGCATACATACATGTAGGTATTCCTCATCAATAACATGCGTGTCTTTGCAGGTGTTCCGTGCGTATAACCAGCAGCATTTGCAGGAGGTTGAGTGTCGACATGCTGAGTGCAGCCACTGCTGGTGCTGTGCCGCGCACCCCAGAAAACCCGCCGATGACGAAGAGCTGAAATCGGGAAGATGTTACTGCAAGTGGTAGGTCGTCTGCTCCACTGCAGCGTGCTACAGGGGTCGCATCTCGCTGAAGATTCCTCCCTGCAGTACTGCAGCACCAGCGCCATGCTTGTCGCAGCGGTCATCATACCCTCTTTCCTGCCTGGCCCAATCATCCATCGGCCCATCTCACATCCGCCAGCGATCAGCATCTGCTGCTTTGAACCAAGCGCCGAACCCCGTTCCATCTCACCTGGCCAGGCTTACAGCACAGTACGATGCAGAACTGGCATCAGGCTGTGCTTCCCCGGCCTTCCATTGCGTTCCCCTGCACGAGGTGACACTCAACCACCGGTCCATGCACAAGCAGCGTCGCACTCACTCGCGCATTGCCTACCTGGGCAGCAGTGACCATTCGCCATACACACCTCGTATTGTCTTCGGCCGTGATACGCCGCTGACGGACGACGACGACATCTCCAGCTGTGCAACATCCATTGCGTCTTCTCCACGTGAACCGAGCCCAAGCGTCTTCTTTCTTTTCTTTTGTGCTGTGCACGGCCACTCTCTCGGACGCTCCCCGGCAGAAGGGACAAAAAAAAATAATTTGGGGGAGGCATTGTTTTCATTCCTAGCACAACTTTTAGCCAGGATAGCCCGAATCCACCCGCCGGCTTTCCGAGACAGCTGCCTCTTGAACCCTGGGCTTTCGCTCCCGAGACTTTTGCTGACTTCCCTCGTGCAAACCAAACGGCATCGACAGGCCTCACTGTTTCTCATCCCCTCTAGCAGCTTTCCTGACGCCCTCATTTAACCAACACTTCTATCAACTCTCCAACGGCCGCTCTCCGCTAGCAGGACCAGCCACGTTGTCACTCTCGCCATTAGACGACCCAGTGACGCCTCCGTTATTTTTGCGCAACTCGATCTAGGCCTCCTCCTCTCAATCTTGTCTGGGTGAACGTGTCATCTAAAAGCCGCCATAGCCATGAGAGGCCGACCTGTCGAAGTACTCGTATACGAGTACATGTTTCCCAAGCCCAAGACGTTCGACCCCCAAGACTTCCAAGCTCTGCTCCAGCGCAGCCTGATTCCCGAAGTTCGTCAGGAGACCCATGCCTTCTATGGCCATCTTGAGACACAGGAAGCCAAGTACCCCGGACTGGACTATACTCATCCGACTCACCGCATCCGACTCAGCCGCTGGTCATGGCATCGCCGACTCTTCAGAGCTTTCGACGGCTTAGGCCTCACGCACGCCGAGATTTCTGCTCTCACGAAGTGGGAGGGAACCAAGTGGGCTAAAGAAAAATTCGAAAAGGAACAGGGCATCATCATCAGAGACACCGCGGCCGATGGATTCCCAGACTGGACAGAGCCTGCTAGTCGGGCGTCCGCTCAGCAAGGCCGATCTGTCAGAATACACACCATTGACATTTCGAGTCTGGACGACGACGAAAATATGGAGACGGAAGAGAGCGACGAAGAACTGGCGAGCGTTGGCGTTTCGTTAAATCAGCATCTGCGCGCGCAGGCAGCCAGGCGTGAGGCTGGCGACACATCCGTCGTCCTGGACGAGGAATGGGAGCAGTGGCTTAAGAATGCGATTGAGAGCGGCGAGCTGGCACTTCTTACGGAGAGGATGACCGAGGAAATGTTGGGCCAGTCTCGCTCGTCCAACCCCATGGTCGCCAGCCTCCTCCCCGATGGCATGCTCCATATGGCACGCGCTGGCCAGTGGTCAGAGATCCCCGAGTTCCTCCAGCCTTTGCTTCGGCGCACAGTGGATAACGAGAATTCTACCCGTAACGAGCCGATTCTGACCTCAGCAACGCGATCTACACTGCAGTCGACCCCTGGTCGTTTGCCACCGCCCTGGATTCGACGCACCTATTCAGATCTCCGACTGCCAGCAGGAGACTCTGCCACCAGCCAATCCGGCACTCAAACCTAGGGAGCGCGCAAAGAAAAAAAAAATCGGAAACACACTGTGAATCATTTCAATTGAGCCTTTTTATAGAGGCTCTTTGCAAGTAGTGTAGGTATACCTGTCACTGACTGGTTCTTACCTTCTACTTCTTTTTTTATCTCTGCTTTCTTAGAACTCCCAAAATCACTATAGATAGATGTTCCTGTTACTTTTTCCCTGCCGTTTATTTTCTCAGGGTGGACTTTGCGCAAATGGCTCGCAGATTGTCAAACATGCAGGAAAAATCTCCTCGCAATTTCATTTTTGTTACAGCCACCAGTTATATGGATCGGAGTTTAGGCGGGCAAGCGCGGTTTAATGGATCTATTTCCCTCACTTTGTTACTCTTTTATGCTTTTTTTTATTTTTATTTTTATTTTATTTTTTCTTTTTTTATTTGAGAGATTTGTTCTTTATTTCTCCCCGTCAGTCTTTTCTCCCATACTTCACCAGCAATCGGTACACATACCTAGGAGACAGGAAAGACATAGTGGCACTTTTTGTTCGAATTTGTTATTCTATCCTTGTGGATTACAAGGGAAACAAAAGTGTTCTTAGTCTCTAGCTCCAAGTGAGGGAAATGGGAGACGGGAAGATTATTATTCGCTCTGAGAGTCTGATTTAAGATTGAAATTCACAGAAAAAGCTTTGATGAGAGGTGAAGAAGTATAGATAGATGATACAATAACAATGAGATGAGGCGTATAAACACATCTGGAATGTGTCCGTCTCTTCACTTTTATTAATTCTAAAGGTTCCTTTACGTATTTATACAATGCGGTAGCAATTCTCAGCTACCAGTGAAAATGCAAATAGCGGTTTTATTGCGTCTTATAAACTGATTACTATGACTGAAAAGCCCGACTCTGATTGTTATATACCCAGACACACTGTATTCCAGGAACGATCAAGTTGGAGTTGATATTTGACTCTTCTGCTACACCAAACGCCATTGCTCTTTAAAGCTCAAGAAGAACACCAAAAAAAAAAAAGTCAAGCCACCGCCAAGACTGGTCAATTTCACAATCTTTTGAAAACGCCGATTTTCCAACAACTCCCTTCCGAATGCGCATTACTCGTAAAATATGATGAATAGCAGCCGAGGGCTAGAATGTATGTATACCCTGGCTAAAGTGTAGACGTAGAGGCTCGCTGCATGCCCTTTTTAGTATCTTTTGGGAAGTTCTATTTCTCCGGTTCGAGATGCGACCATTCAGGCACGGCCTTGATCTGCTGCCACATAAATCGTTCGAGTTTGTTGGCGGACTTGGCGTAGGGCGTGCTCTCGTTGTTGTATTTGCGGCAGTTGTCGAAGATGAGCTTGGCGTCCTTGATGAAGTCCTCTGGGGTGGCATATTGGTCTGCCTCGAGCTTGCTCTCCATGGTGCTAAGATCCATGGGCTCCTTAATCACGTCGTAGTAGTCCGCCACATCATCTCTATTAACCGGGACAAGGAACGGCCATGCAGAATTATGGTTTTGGAGGTCATTGAGCAAGTGAAGAAGCTGGTTGTAGTTCGGTCCGTGACGTGGCTGGCGAGCAAGCTCGTCCATATCAGGAGACCATCCAGACGCCCGGATGGCAGGGATATCAAGAGGATTGATCTCACGGATGCCATTCTTCCACTCTTTTGGTGGCGGGTGGATGTTGTGCGACTTGGAGTAGGCTCGAATCTTGGCCTGGACGCATTCCTTCTGCTTAAGGAGCATGCGGCCCATTTCCAGATATCGAATGCGCGGCAGCATGGAGCACTGCATGATAGTTCCACCCTCGTAATCTTTGATATATCCCATCCAAACGTGTTTGGGGAGAGTAATTTCCTTGGTGAAGCCTTGTTTCTTGAAATAACCAATCGCATAGTTGTCGGCATACGTTAAGAAGTGCATGACGTCGCTTGTGGCCTTGACGTAGTCTTTCAAGTGGGACATGAGATGCGCACCGTATCCCTTGACTTGTTGGTCGGAGCTGATGGCGCAAAAGACGATTTCGGCAAACTGGCGGCCTTTGAAGGGTCGATAGGTGATGCCGCCCACGACTTCGAGGGGCTTCTTGACGATGGCGATGGACAAATGGGTTCGATCGTAGACGAGTCGCGCGATGTAGTCTTTGGGCATTTTGGGGAGCTGCTTCTGGAAGATGCACTTGAGGCCTGTGAGGATGATGAGCGACTCGCGCTCGTTGTCATTGTTGACGACGCGAAACTCTATTTCGCCATTGCGCTCCTCGAGGACGGCGGGCTAGAGAAGATTAGCATTTTGAAAGTCAACGTAGAAGGTAACATATAAAGTGTGAGTAGGGGGGCTGCTGGGAGACATCGCATACCTTTTCAGGAAACGGGATCAGCTTCAATTCGGCGGGCTTCTCTTCTGCTTCTTCCTCAACGCTGTCTTCATCTTGCTTGACTCGCTTAGATGCGGCGGGAGACGAGAGTTCGTCCTCAGCTTTGCGCTTGCCACCTAAACAGATGCGTTAGTAATGCAATAACTGTGCGGACAGGCAGCGCGTGAATCGCCTCACCCTCTTCTTTGATGTCAGTCATGTTGGCGATATGCGCAGCGGCGGCTCAGCCTCGGGAGGCTGCTCGACGCGAGACGCTGGTTGGGCAGTATGGCGAAGTTGAAGATGGTATGCAGATACAGGTACGGAGCATGTGTGACGCTACGCGGCTTTGAAGGGCGATGGCCCAAGCGTCTTGCAGCTGGCTTAGGTAAGACGAGAGCCGCAGTGGGAACCGTGGAGGTGCAGCACCTTGGTACTAATAGCTATTTGTATTTTTCTCCTAGAGAGGAATGCGCATATTGTTGTAGGGTTATTATAATGGGTGAAAAAATAGAAGAATTATCAGCATTAGATTAGTTCAGTCACAACAGATTTGACACTGCATCACAGCGCTCTCACTCCTCTTTAAATATTGGCTGCCGTATATCTCTAGGTACTCAATAACATGGTACCCCATATCCTGCTTACCTCATCCCCGCCCAGGCTGGTGCCGCTAAACCCCTTTGGCATTCGGCCAGATATCAAACACGAACAGCTGCGTGCATTGGACAAGCTCTCTCAAGCTCCATCAGTCTCGCAACCACGGCGCGATTAGCTGACAGCAGTACTCCAACGAGGCCCAATTGCATCAAGTTCCTCTCTGCAATCATTCGTGAGAAGCAGCCCGGAACCTCAATCCCTCGTTCTCCAACGTACAGCACATGGATTCCTCATTGCATCAAGTCTGGCAAGCTGCTGCTGGCAGTCCATTCCTCCCTGCTGTTGGCAAGGAAAGCCAATTCATCATCGCATTTGTTCTTCTCACACTGAGTCTGGCAATTACTGGTGTCTTTGCACTAAGTAAGTTGTTTGAAGACCCAAAAAACTGAGATACATGTCTAATTATCGGCCGTGATAGATCGTTCATTGGTCAGCGTCATTGCACTTGGAGTGCCAGCTTCTCTAGCAATTGCGTATGCGGCCCCATGATATTCATCAATTGTCAATTGAGTACTAACAAGCAACAGCTTTGGAACCGTTTATATGTTCTGTGCGGTCGGAGTTTATGTCTGAGGTAGCCATTGTATTCTAGTTGGCAAGGGCACTCAAAAAGGGTGCTTTTGAGCGAGTTATCGTGTCTTGTGCTGTTTTCTCATTTTTTAACCTTTTTACCGATTATAAGAGTTGTTCTCATCTGTTCCATTTTCCTCTTCCCCGGCATCTAATCTCTACTTTTCGACATGGCCACCGAAGTGAAGCCTCTCTTTCGAGCCGTCTCGACGTCTCCGCGGCCGCTCTATCAACTCCTTCGTTGTATAGACTTTGCACAAAGGGTTCACGTCCAGATTACCGAAGATGGGATCCGATTTGCGGCCGACAATTCACGGGTCATGCAAGGTGCGATGGCTGCGTCTTTGAGAGTGTAGCTGGCAATACTAACAGGGAGTATAGGGGTTGCATTTTTAGACAAGGCTCTGTTTTCTGCATACACTGTGAACTTCCCCCCTTCGGAAGATGGCGAGACTCCTGATTATCCTAATTTCCAAATCCCACTGTCGACATTTCTTGAAGTACTGCAAATCTTTGGATCGGTGGATGTGGCCGCTCGGGCTCAAAAGGCCGACCAAGACCCATACCGAAGTAACATTCGCAATTACAGGCCAAATGCGTTTAGCAACCACACTCTTGGCATAGCTGGAACTTGCACTTTGTTATATGCGGAAGAGGGCGATCCTTTCAAAATCATCCTCGAAGAGTCCGGCACCAAGACCACCGCAGGCCTGACAACCTACCTTCCCGAAATGCCAGAAGACATCCCTTTTGATCGTAACGACCTGACGTTCAAAATCATCATGTCATCTCGCACCTTGTTTGACTGCATCGCCGAAATCATACCCGCGGGACCCGTCAAGTTGACTATAACGGCCACTAAGACTTCACCGTTCTTGACCCTATCCTGTGCAGGAGATATAGGCAGCTCCAGCGTGGACTTTGCACGAGGAAAGGATCTCCTTGAAACGTTCAGCATCAACGACCGCTGGTCACAAGCGTACAAGTTTGACTTTATCAGACATGCCAGCGAGGCAATGCGTATTGCGAGCAAAGTCAGTCTTCGAGGGGACAGTCAGGGCGTCCTGAGCTTGCAATTTATGGTGGATGTGGAAGGAGGGAAAAGGAGCTTTTTGGACTTTCGCTTTGTTCCGTTCGCCACGCATGATGACGGTGATGAAGATGATGTTGAAGCAGAAGAGTATGATTAAGATTGTTGTTCCTAGGATAGAGAGTAATTGACCATGCGATGTGCAACTACGGATTCCGAACTACTACTACTACTACTACTACAACTGCTGCCGCTGCTAACATAAGCCCAGGAGTGACGCCCTCATAGAGATGATGCAAGGTCTATCATACGCCTCCCTTTAGAACTTGACCGCGGAGTGATACGTCACTCAGGTTCGCCACATCACACGGTATGGAGGCTTTATCACATGTGTGAGACATCAATTAACCCAAGACCAAAAGCTCGCTATTCCTCACATGCTTTTGCGTGCCTCCCTTGCGCTCAGATACGAACAAGGCCCACTCGTGTGAGACTTTTCAAAGCGAAATGAGGTGGTCGCCTAGGAAGTCTGTGGAATGCATGCCAATTGATGTATGGCGCTATTGAGTAGGTAAATAGGGGAATGTCAACAAGGCTGTGATTCCTTTATATATAACCTCATGTCGAGCGAACAAAGGTCTTTTTATTCTGTTTCCTTAATTTGTAGGAGACACAGTACATCCGTTGTATCCCCTTATTCATCGTTACTCACTTGTCAAAGACACTTATCATTATCATCCACTTTAGAAAGACACTCTTTTTAAGATATTGATCCATCCAACCACAGATAAAATGCCCCATTCGAAAGGCATCCAAGTCACTTCAGAACCGGAAAAGTTCCCCCCTCTCCCCTTTTACACCCACAGGCCTCCCACAACGTGGCGTTCAGACATGATGCAGTCCATCAAAAGGTGGCTCACCATGTGCTGTAGCAGCCGTGCAGCCCATAAGACGAGCGACGCCGCGGTTTGGAAACTAGAAGAAGGAAGTGACAAGATAGACGAGGACTGTGAACCGCTGATTGAAGGGGAGAGTCTGTCTAATACGACGGGGTGGGAGACGGCAAAGGTAACGTTTCCGAAGCATGCGGCTGCGTCGTTTATGATGACGGGGACATCGAAGGCGATGAGAGAGGCAAATTATGTGTTGTGAGAGTGAAGAAAAGAGGAAGAACGGGTTGGAGAATATATCTACGAAGATGGAAGATGGGAATTAATGTTATTTAAAAGGCGATGGTGGGAATAATTGGCATTTACATCGGTTATGTTTTAGAATACGGACTTTTTTTTTTAAAAAAAAAAATACCACGAACAAGAACGAGATGTCTTTCTTTTTGCTCCTCTTACTCATTTGATCTTTCAAGAAAGGAATATTGTAGAAAACAAGATAGAATTTCATTGGGAGATAAGCATGAAACGTCCGTATAGCATAGCATAGATGGACAATTACAACAGCTTTCAATGCGACTTGGTCAGCAATTGTTCAGATTGGCAACTTGGTCGTGTGTCCACAAGTCTGGATATATTAAAACTGCCGCGCATAGCCATTGGCTGGTGGCATAGCTCGGGGATGTATGGAGTGTTAATTACATGCATTTAGGATGATACCACGGTACAGGGCTAAAAGGTTAAGATGGGCTTTTGCGACGTTTCACCAGTCCAAACACCCCATCATGACATATCAATCAATGCAGCTAAATTTAGCAAGAAAGTGGTTTCATCGGCGAAACAAACGGGGGGGGGGTGTTGCAACTCTTTTAGCTAAAGCGGGGGAAAAGAAAGGAAAAGCCAGAGGTGGAAAGAAGGGAACAAAAAAAAGACAGAGAGAGAGAGAGGCTTGTTAATAACAAGTAGCTGCCTCTCTTTGACAAGGCCAGTTTGCAAAAGATGATGATAAAGAGGGTCTGAAGCGGCTTTTCTGCCGTCGGTCATGCAGCCAATATAGCCGCCCCGATTTGGACCCCGGCTATGAGAAAAGAGTAAGGGAAGAGAAGAGAAGAGACTAGAGAGGCAGGCGGGCATAATTCTCAACGATTTTATCCATGGATGCGACCTGGCATCGGCGGAGGAGAACCTGTCATTCCGGCGATGAAAGGATGGGAAAAAAAAAAAAAAAAAAAAAAAAAAGGCGTGGCAATCAATAGTTACTATGTACATACAAAAGGTCATGATCCTGGGCGAAAAGCGATTCAATTTGCGTCTAACGCAGTCCGTGTCTAGGCAAATGCTATCGGACCACCCTGCGACTGTCACCTACTGTAGAGGGAAATAATGACGGCTTTGCGTGATGTCAGAGTAATGGCAAATGTTGGGCACTTGACCTCGAGCTGTGTGTGTCAAGGCAGGCTCGGCGCTTTGCTGCTTACTCGTACTGAATGAAGTTTGTTTCATCGTGTCAGCAAGCAGGGCGACGCCGTTGCGCTGGCTGCCTGTAATTATACACAACGGCTGCTACAGTATCTTGTGTGTCTTTCTCGGTTGAGAGAGATTACGGGCTGACTACAGTACAGGGTGCATGGGCAAGCATGTGCGTCCAAGTGTGTACAAGTAGAGTAATCCGGCACAGTCGATATCTGCGTGGATACATACATAGATTCACGGGCATACATAGTCTAAGGATGCCAACTATCACTGACTGGGCCATGTCCTCCGAACCTTTTGCAGCAAAGATGTTCAGGCCCCGCTACGCGCTGCCGATCGGCTTCCTGCCCGCTGGAGAAATAAAGCCTTGCAGCGTGTGGTGTGGCGAGCGAGCCTCTGTGCTTTGCGTCTTGCCTCGGGATCCAGAACTGGGTTCTCGAACTGCGTCTTGGGGACGTGCATGTGGGCATGTTGGTGGTGCGGTATTGACGTGAGGGGTAACAATAGGAATGGCACCTACTGTCTCTGGGTAGTTGGCTGTATGTAGGGATGCTAATATCTAGGCAGCGAGCAATTGAGATGCTAAGCTGCAAGTAGGGCTTGCAGAAGCGAGCGAGGGTGATGGCACCGTCTATCAAACAGGCTGTCTGTTCTTGTAATCTGCACAAGTACTATCTGACGGGCGATGCAGTCTCCGGGCGAGGTATTGGAGCCATGCAAAACCAGATGGAAGCTTGGATTATGATGTTCCCAAGGTAGTTACTATCACAATTACAATTACAATTACTATTGCTGCTACTGTCCTATTACTCTGTTATTCCGTGCAAAGCAGCAGCAGACAGAAAGTGCCATTGTCAGTAGTAGTGGCTACTAGGTGCGTATTATCCGTTATCTGCCGAATCGCCACTACCGCTCACGATTCACAGCTGGCTGGTGGTGTGGAATTTGACATTTGACATTTGTCCGACAAGGATTCGCTGCTGTCGACTGCACTCGCTATACACGTGCATGAGCTTCATCCGATGGCGCCGCTGGAGCCCGCCTACCATGAATATCATTTGCTGTTGGCTGCTGGATTTCCGAAGGATGCGACGCCTGTCCGGTATAACAGCCTTGCTTGCCTGTGGTACAATCCTCCGATGTAGTCAGTCGGCAGTGGCGGGATGCGTTGATGGAGGTGAAATGCCGAGTGTCGGGATATTTTACGTGTAATGACTCTTTCTCGCTTTTCTTTCTTTTTTCCTTCTTTTCGCTCCTGTTTCTCTTCGTCCTCTTGCATAATGCAGATGCGGCAAATACCTACCTGCTGTACTACTGTACTACTGCTACTCCCAACTCCTAAGAACCGTGCCCCCCCGTAGGATACCCCGTAGGTCCTTGCGTGCTTCATGCATGTCAGGATAGCATGCACCCATTGATGACGGCGTCTCGTCTCGCCTCGCCTCGTTCCAAATGCCTCAGCACATGTTTTTCGTGACTCGCACTTTCACCGGCCAGCTGTCGGGCATCTATCTGCGTACTCTGCTGTGCGGCAATGGCCCGATGCAGCTAGGCGGCGGTGTTGGAGCATGTGTTAGCGGACTCACCGAGAGCGGATGAGGATAGAGCACAACGAAGAATGGCCTCTGGATGGATTCAATATCGCGGGGACCGCGCGCCATCTTCGGAGCGCTGTCGCTAGCGCTCTTGGCTGGACGCCACCACCAGGTCAGCCGGGATGGACCGTAGGGATGGATGGCTGCCAGATCTGGGCCTGAACCTTGCGGCATTGTTTGCTGCTAACGAGGCGTGTTCTGCCATGTTGAGGCAAACTTAGATGGTGAAGCCCCAAAAAGCTTGTGTGGCATAAAGTCGCCTCCTGGCTTTGGCTTTCCTTCTAGAAACAAGAACAAAAATAGAAGTGGCTGCATCGCTCAACCACGCCTTGGCACAGTTACAGACTGCTCCATCCCTGTGGGTACGTACCCCGCGATGAGGCAGCTCGGGGCCATTCTGGCGGGCACAGCATCAAGTGGCATCGGCCCGTAGCCTCTCAGCGTCTGGCACAAACCGGCCAAGTGGTGCGCATCTTGGCTGTTGTACCGAGCATAGCACCGCTGGATAGTATCCATATCGCTGCAGACCGGTGTGAGAGGAGGGGGGAGACCTGGACGAACAGTAGGGAGGAGACGCAAGTGTGCAGAGACGGAGGGAAGACTTACGGTGAAGAAAAGGTCTGGGTACCTTTGTGCTTGATACGGACCCAATCCATGGATTAGATTAGATCACTTTTTCTGCCATCAGCGTGACCACCGTAAGGGTCTCTGCGGTGTGCGAACAGAAACTCCGTCCCATAATTCGGGTCATGCGAGAGAGCCGTTTTTTACTTTCGCAGAGTGTTAGGTAGTTAGGTACTAGATATGTGTGCGATAACTTTTTGGGCATGTATTCCAGAAAACTACTACCCACTCAGGTATATATCACCAAAAGCTTGTCGTCGTTACTGATAGCGCTATCGAAGCTACCCTGCCTTATGTTGTCATTGATACGGAATGCTCTTTTCGACTTGATGTGAGTTGGATCAAGTTACGGAGTGCCTTTACGCCAGATCCACAGCATGCATGGCATGGCAAGGTCTCCCTTGCTGCTCATTACTCGTTGCCTAGGAGCTCCCTGGTGCACGTTGAGCTAATTCTACCTCTACTACAGTGAAACTCTGAATCTACCGACATCCATGCAATTACGTACTACTGCCTCTATGTACAGCAGGTGCTTCTCTCACGATGCAACTTTTCATTCTGTCGTCTCTCCGTCCCGCAACGCAAATGCGGGGAGCCGTCCTGTCTTGGGATGGACGGTAGCATCAGCCAAAGACGCTTCCCAATGCGGCCCATGCACTCTCGGCGAGATGGCGATACCCAGAGACTCAACGTAGCAGCAGCTGACAAGTCTCGGGGCCTTTTTGGGGGTCTGTGTGGGGAGGATGCGGCATCTGAAAACCCCCCAGCAGCGAATTAGTGGCGGTTTGCGCACATCGCTTTATGCCCGCCCGGGCCTAGGCTGGCGTCTTTGCAGTAGGGGGCGCCTCTGCAATGGCCGCCATCGCTAACGAATCAACAGCGCCATTACCGCCTATTACTCCGTTACTCGCGTGCAATGGCATTTGAGTTTCGACCAGCACGAGGCCAGGCGGTCCGCGCGGCCAAGCTTTTGTCACTAGGAGAGTCAGTCCAGTGGTGCTTTGAGTCTTTTATTCTTCTCGTCGCTACAGCAGAGACGCTACAACAGAGACGCTACAACAGAGAGAGAGAGGTAGAGCGGGATTTGCCTACGGCCATTCCGTCGTAGCCGTGTGCAGTGAGCTGAGCACTCATGACACGACGCTATTGGATTCCTCCGAGCGGCACCACCACAATATATTGCCTGGCCTAGTATACTTTATCGAATATTTGGCCTCTACTCTATTAAGATGATGACGGAGAATCGGGCCTCTGCTAGTGGTGGATCGTGAGGTTGAGCTGAAGATGCACCGTAAATGATGTCCCCGATTAGCCAAATTGCAGTTGAGAAAAGAAAAAAAAGAGAGCCAGAAACTACTTCCTTGCTGGGACTGGTCTGGCGGGTCGGAGCACTCGGTTAGGCTTGGCCTTGCATGCTAGAAGCAGCCCCGAAGTGGCTCCAGCTTGCCCTGTGCCTGCCCTTTCCCCCAAAGCCGCCACTGAGACGCTGGCCCCCATTGGCTCTGCAGGGAGCATTAGTGCCATTAGCCCCCGTAATAAGCCCCGTCATGCCCACACCACGCTGCACTACAGGCACTACAGGCACTACACGCGCTACAGGCACCTTGCTGCAAAGTACCTCCGCCTGCGTGTACGAGTACGATTTAGCACAAGGGACCATTGTTGCAGAGGAAGCAAGGAAGGAACTTGCCAGGCCATGCATGGCCGGGATCAAAGGATGATGGGCATGGCACGATATGGTTGGACTTGCCTTTTAAGTCGACGATGATCCCCACGCCGAGCGCGAAGCCTCACTCCTGCCAGCTTTTCTTCTTGTATACAATTGCTCTCATTCCCGCCTCGCTCCAAGAGGCTTTTTTCTTATTTTCTTTTCGCTTTTGCTTCTTCGACGGCTGGCTTTTGCCACCAGAACGCCAAAACGCCAAAGGTATTTTAGCTTCTCTTAGCTTGTCCTCTATTACCGCCAACAGCCCGGCGAGTCGAAGCAAGACGGACGGCAAGCGCAGACAAAGCCTGAGCAAATAAAGCAAACTGAAAGACCCTTTTACTTCCTGCCGACTCGCCCAACACAACAACCCCAACAACAATAGCAACAACACTGTGTGATACTACAATGTATACCGACAAATCTACATTTCCTATCGCTCGCGCCTGGTAGGACACCAGATTCTTCTGCGCAATCAAAGCTCGGCCCTCAGCACTGCGGTCTCAGGTCTTGCTCGTCGATTCTTCTTCTCTTTGATACCCAGCGCAGTTGGCTTTCGCGCTACTCTTAATTATTTCTTTCAACATACTATCCCTTACTTCAAACCTGTCTCCAGCTGTTTGCTTTCGGAGATGACTAAATTAACAAAGCGGCTTGAACTCCAGATGGAGTCGAGCAGACTAGGACTGCTGCGGTCTCACTCCCGGGCCAGGTCTAGCAAGCTAGCCGGCCCTCAGAGCAAGGCGGATGGGCCTCCTGCTGAACCCGAAGACGCAGCCAAGGATGCAGCCAAGGAGGAGAAGCAAGAAAAGTCACGATCATGGTTTTCCCCCCGAAGGAAGGATTCTGTGGCCTCTACCATTCTCCGAAGTAGCAAGAGCTTTCGCCGCCTATCCGCAGTCTCATCGGCAGCTTCATCACAGGCCGCTATCTCGACGCCCACCACCCCATCCTTCTCGCGAGGAAGCTATGAGAGCGATGCGGCCTTCCACCACAGGAAACTCTCCTCTGTGGAAAGCGGCGAGGCACCGTTATCAGAACCTGCGCCGACAGATCCTCCTTCGATCCCCTATCCTCCACACCGACCCGAACGCCCCCAAGGAGACTTATTCGAGGGAACACCTCTCGAGAAGGCAAATCAGCTTGAGAAGGCGAACCAGTTTGAAAAGGCAAATCAGCTTGAAAAGGCGAACCAGCCCAGTCACCGCCCTAGCCGGAGCCGCAGCATCCTGCGACCCTTTTCCCCTTTCCCTGGCCCGTCCATAAGAGACTTGCGACGCCTTAGCCAACATTCTGAACACAAACCGCAGGCAAACAATGCAGCCGACACCGCTACTACCACCGCTACTACCACCACCAGCAAGGCCAATCGGCTTTCAGAAGAAGCCGAACAGGTGCACGAACCTGCACATGTAGCAATGACTCCGGCTTCGCCAAAGCCGTCTACGTACTCGGTTCTCTCCGCGCCAGCACCAATTGTCCCTAACCGTCGTGCCAGCCTTAGGCCCAGTAGCAAGGGTTCTGAAACTGGCCTTGCGCGCAAATCCTCCATTGCCAGCTCATTCCATTTCTCCATCCATCGACGACCGAGCCATGTCACTGCTGAAATAGAGTCGCGGAAACATGCACGGTCCTCCAGGTGGACACTGACAGAAAACATGGCCGAAATGTTCAAAGGGCAGCATATAAAGACGGACAAACAGGCCATGACGCCAGCCCAAATCGAGGCCATCTGGAATGGTCAAGACAACGGCGGCGCCGCAGCAGCAGCAGCCAAAGAAAAACAAAAGAAGAGCAAAGAAAGGAGGATGAAAGCGGCATCAGATACTTCTGCGAGCATACCACGTTCATTTGGAGGCCCGCTTACGGAACAACAAGCCAATATGTTTAGCGAACCCTTTCAATGGCCTGATAAAATGTCTTCACCCGTCCCGATGAGCAGAGCTGATATAAAAATGAGAGCTCTTCCCTTTGAGATCACTGTCCCGCCGCCCCCTTCAACGATACTTGTTTCCCCAGAGATCATCCACGGCGACGTTTCACCAAAATCGCCTACAAAGATTGACAGGAGATACATGGAGAGGCAGTCAGTGCCACAGTTGGTGTTGCCAGATACTGAAGACGCCGCCATTGAAGATGACGACGACGCAGCGTCAGGTAGCTCGATACCCATCCCCCCCAAGAATCCAGCCAGATTTGTTGCGAGAGCGCCGACAATGCCGCTTCTGCCTCCCATTTTGGAAGGCTTCAGATCTCCTCCGGGCAGCAACAGGAGCTCAAACATCTCATCCCACCGCCGAAGCCGAAGCTGCAATCATGCCTCTGAAGTAAAGGATGACATGATTACTTTCACCAGCACCCCTTACACTATGGCTAGTCCGTCTTTCCGGCACGGACCCATTGTCCTAAGTGATGCCGGCAGCCGTGACTCAGTAGTGACAGCAGAGGTAGTCGAAGAAGAACCACGCGACGTTGATTGGACGGCATTCCAGACCGCGATCTTGGGCGGTTCCAACGGAGATTTAGAAGGGCTATTCCCAGAAGAGCCAATCCCAGCAGACGAAGAGGAAGGCAAGATGGCCGAAGACGTTACTACTTGGTTTGAGGGATTCGGATTCGAGACTCATGGCGAGCTCATCGCAGCTTCAGAGAAGTCGTCGGAGAAGAAGTCGGATCGGTCAACACAGCGGGACTCGGCGGGCAGCATGACATCGGCTGCATCAACACCATCGACGGTACAAACGGAGGCTGAAGCAGAGCTGCAGACCCCCGTGACTATCCCGCAACACCAAAATATCTTTGACACTATTAAACAACTTCGCGACCGCTGTGAGAGCACTTACAGCGCTAGCATATACACCACGGACAGCGCCGAAGGCCCATGGGCAGCGGCGGGAGCCGACGCTGAGAACGGCCACAAAGAAATTGACGAATTAGCACCTACATCCGTAGCCTCGAAGCAGGGTATGGAGCACGGACTTGAAGCTTTCCTTGGGTTCACCATTGATGACTCTTATTGAAATATCGCATGAGAAAGATGTATTGAAAGAGGGATTTCTTTTTTTTTTTTTTTTATGTATATAAAGGTTTTTGTTTTGCATGATGTGATGGCTTGGGATATCGTTGGATTACGTGCCAGACGCCGCATTTCATTTCATTTGTCAAAGTGAGGATATATACCATGGCAGGGATTTTGAAGTCGGAGACGCCGAGTCGGTCTTTATGGATACAGACAGATACCAAGTTGAATGATACCACAACGCGAACAGCGTTTATTTTGTCTAAATCTTCCGTGTGTTATCTCATGCCCTTTATTTGTGTAAGATTAGCTGCGATTAAAATCGTAATATTAATTGAGTTGGTCCATATGAGGAGGTGGTGCTGCGTTTGGTTGCTGCGTTGTGTGAGTGAAAGTCGCGCCACTGTAACTGTGGCTGCAGCTGTGGCGGGTTTACAGGCGGGATCTTTCCTTGACTCGTGCATCTCACTTACCTTATCCCATCTCACACGCATAGTCATATTCCAAAAGAATTCAGACCCTCTCTTCTCTACGATAACTACCTTTGAAAATTCATACATCATAACAAGTGAAATTTTCTCTCATTTCATTTACAGTTTATTTCACACAGGATAAACAAAAGGCAGGGGGTAGCATAAAGGGAACAACAACGCCTCAGAGGTAATACGAAAAGGAAGGGGGGCACTCATCAAGCAAGGCTTACGACCAGCCAAGACGGATTGAAAGGAAAGGCACCCTAAAGCTTTTCAAATCATTTTAGTGGCCGCTAGATTAAAGAAAACCAAGAAGAAGAAGAAGAAGAAAGTTCTCATTCGACTCAGACAGAAAGGGGGGAAACAAAACAAAGGACAGAAAGAAGAAGAAAAAGAAAAAAAGAAAAAACATGCTCCGCCGTCCACCGACAACCCTCCAAATCACAGCCGAAGACATCGCCGCCTACGAGGACCGTCGCGCCAGCGAAGCTCTCCTCGCGGCTCAACAGGCTCGTGCTGCGGAGGTCGCTGCGAGGGCTACGGCTGCTGCTGCTGCTGCAGCAGCTTCTTCTTCTTCTGCTGGGGCAACGGGGTCGAACGCGGGTGGTGCTGGGGAGGCGGCAACGCAGCAGACGACGGCTGCTATGGGGGGGCTTGGGTTGGGGGCGCAGGCGATGGAGGGGGTGCAGGATGATGGGGAGGGGAGGACGAGGAGGACGAGGGAGGAGAGGATTGGGGTTGGGAGGAGGGCGAGGTGAGGTGAGTTGGATTTGTTTGTTTGTCGTGATATGCTGTGGGGGAACGAAACGTGGGTTTACAACATTTTTATAAGCTTTTAATTTTGGTGAAATGGATAATGATAAATAAGAAAGTCCGGTATTATTTTAATGCTGTGGTATGAACCTGTTCTAGCCAGCCGTGATCCTGATTCAATGCTAATGTCTCCAGTTGCTAACATGCTTTCCTCCCCCCATACATATCAATAGGTAATTACGAGTGGTAGTGGTGGTGGTGGTGGTAGTAGTAGTAGTACGTAAAAAGTAACAGTAGCATCGGCAAGCCTTCCATATACAGAAAAGAAAAGAAAAGAAAAGAAAAGAAAAGAAAAGAAAAGAAAAACAAACACAGCTGATGCACACCCGTTCTTTGTGCCAACGAAGCTATTTTCTGAACTAACCGTTCCGTATCAAGTAGATCCAAATCAACACTGCTATCCAAGTCACTCGCCACGCTGTCGTCCACATCTCCGTGGCCATTACTTTGACGGAAAATCTCTCTCCCCTGCCCGTTGTCGTCTTCCAAGCCTTACCGCCGTCGTAGTAGTCTTGGTTTATCTTGATTCGCGGCCCATCGGCCATGCTCCATCGTTGCCTGTGTTTGCCCTTCTTACCGGCCCAGCGCATGCTGCTGCCACCACCGTTGCTTGAGCTAGACGACGGCGTGATTGGTGGTTCGACTTTTTCTTTGTAGACGGGAAGGAACGTATTCCTTCGCTCAGGCGGTAGCGCAAATGGGGTGAGGTTGAGGACAGGGACGAAGAACGCCCTGACGGCTAGGATAATGAGGGAGAAGAGGGTAAAGGCGATATAATTCATGTACTTGACGAGTTGGTTTGGTAGTAGGCAAAGATGGGTCTGAACCGTCTGCCCGGGCGAGTCTGGTAGGGGCTTGCCGTCTTTGTCGATTGGGTTGTAGAGACTAACCATGAGGAAACCCGGAGTTGGCACACCCTGAGACATGCTCATCGTCTTAACAGTGATCTCCCGTACGTTCTCCTTGGCGTCGGAGTGAACGAGCTCACAGTAATCATGATCATCGCCGGAGAACACATTGACGACATTGCCGACACTCTTGACCAGCTTGACTGAATCTTCTTCTGAAAGCACGTTCTGGTACTGATATCCAGCCACCACCGAGATGGAGTTGCTGGTGTCCAAGCTACCGTCGGGGTTGGGCGTTTTCTTCGGCGGCCAGTGCTCACGCTGTGGCCCACAGGGAGTCCCAGGAGGACGGTAGAGAGGAACATGTGTAAGGAGCAGCGTGGGGAAGTCAGCAGCCCCCGGCCCAGGGTCTCTCGACCACCGGGTCAAGTCTGCGTGTTCCAGGTCCTCAACGTGATGCTTGAACTTGGGCCCCATGTCCACACCGTACCAAAAGTTCAGTTCTTTCTTCGCCATCTTTCGCTTTGTAGATTGGACTCCGTCGAGGAATTCGTGCACGGGTTTGTAGATGGAGCTTAGATCGTGTTTGTCTTTCTGCTCAGACGTCCCCGCACTTAGAGAGACGGCATCGACCGAGACAATGGTGTGGTTGCCTACGACGTCGACTCGGTTTCCTTCTCCGAAATATGCCTGGTAGCGATCCCTCACGGACTCCTGAACCATGGCGCCAAAGCCGAGGTCATGGTTCCCAGGCAAACTCGCCACGAACTTCCGGCCTCTCTGCCATGGACCTGGCTTGCTCCCCGCTACATTCCAATCGTTGAAGAAGATATTCCCGAAGCGCTGGTATTCTTGCAGCCAAAACTCGTCGCCATACTTGCGATGCCACGTCTTGACCCATCTCTGTTCCTTTGCCGTGCGTGAACGGACCCCCCATTTGGGATCGACGAAGCTGCCTTGCCTCGTCTTCCATTCTCGCCCGCCCTCCAGCATGTCGCCTAGGAAGAACAGGCTATCCGGGTGCAGCTTGTGCAGCAGCGCATTGTAACTTTGCTTGAGATAGCGATCGGTAACGGCTACGACGACAGCGAGTTCCGCCCACGGCCAGTCGGGGTTGGTATGAGGATCGAGGATTTGCGGATCGGCGATGAGGACGAGATGATGGGGAGTTGCGCCTTTGGGCTGTTGTTGTTAGAGTTAGCGATTGGCCTTTTTTGCCTCTGCTACACTGCAGAAGTCCCGAGGGCAATGGAGGCAGCAAAAACTCACCCATTTCTCCCAGCTCTTCCAGTCACAGACGTTGACATGGTTGGTGTAGATCCAGCGCTCGCCCCAGAGCAGCAGGATCATCCAGAAAAAGGCCAGCAGGTGCGGGAAGCTCAGGAGCCTCCTGGCCGTCAGATTTCTCTTGATCTGGTGCAGCACTCTGGCGACCAAGACGGCGGCCTTGTGCAAGCCCGGCCCTTTGAACCATTTCCACAGCAGACGCAGCAGGCCCGCGGCGCCCCTGTATATCTCCTCGGCTACCGAGAGGTCTGAGGGGGGCATTTTCGAGCCCAATTGCTGCTCTCCCGCACGCAGAGGAAGGCGTTAGATTGCGCGGCCTTTGTTGTGGCAGCAAACTGGGCTGGAACAGAGTCGAGGGAGATGGTCATGCAGACAAGACGAGGTGGTGGGATATAATTGCAGCAGCAGTAGATGATGACAGCAATTGCCACGCCAAATGGCCGTAGTTGGCCTAGTATGGTGGTAGTGAGTATTAGGAGGTCGGTACCTATAATCCGCGCCTAAATAGTCTGGGGAGCAGCGATTTAGAGTCTAGGAAAATTAAAAGCCACCCGCAAGCCTTGCCAATGAAGCTTGTGCCTGATGAAAATTGAATAAAACAAATAAGATGCGGCTTCAATTAAAGAGCCTGCATAACAAGCACAGCATCTGCATCTGCATCTGGCATCAATGGGAGGTTTTGCCATGTACCAGAGGTACGGGCCTATTCCGTCCAGATGGGGGGCGACAATTCAATTCAATTACCCCGAAATAACGTACTTCCATGCAACGGGGCACTGCTGCAGCGATCGGCCGTCTGAGCGGATCGCGCTAATTCGCCTCAGCTCGCTCCCTAATAGCGCCCTGAAGCTGCAATCGATAGCGAGTACAGGAGGCCGTGGATGGAGCCTTTGAGAGCGATCAGCGGAAATGAGGGCACGTCTCATTTGCTCTGTGTTGTATCTCGTGCATACTGCCAAAGCTGCCGATGACGCATATTTCGTACACTACAGTATAAAGCGGCACTACACTACATACTACCCCAGGTTCTACATCTATTCCTTTTCCCCTCTTGTTCCCGTCAATTTTTTACCTGTCTAGGCAGGTCGTTCCACGCCGGATAATCGCTACGGACGCTCGCAACAAATTTTAGCATTGTGTTTTCCATTTATGTACCCTAAACTGCGAGGGCCCTTCAACAACAGCTCAAATTGCCCGCTTGGCTAAGCGGTATAGCGTGTCACTAGTACTAACTTGACATGACAAGGTGATCAGTTCGACTCTGATAGTGGGCATTTATTTTTGCTTTTTTCTTCAGTATGTAATTAATTACATTGATAGGAATGTATCTGTCTTTTTTTCTTCTCTGTCACTTTGACAACGTTGTTCAATAACTCATCAAATGATTGTGTATATATGTGTGTCTGGGCAATGACTCTAAACTCATGCAGCGTCATGTCAATTGGCAAATCTTATAACAAACGAAGCAACTTTGCTTTTTCGCCTCTCCTCTGTACACCTATCTAGTGTCGTTCAATAGTTAGATGTGTCGTACGAAGTATATCCGCTTTCTTTAAATCTCGATCCCCTCTTCGTTTCGTTTCACTTGCTCTATTCCTCTCCGCTGTTGGCCTTTTCTCTTCCGGGCCGTCAAGATGCTCTGGAACCTATTTATTGCTGGGTCTGGGGTCTGTTGTAATATGCCGAGCCAGTCCTCCGGGCGATCCTCAGGACGCTTGCACATCATTTCATAGACCCGAATCATGAAGTAGAGCTGTTGAGCATCGACAATGGCACAGTGGTTGCGGTTGAAGAGACGTTGCCGCGAAGTCCTTAGCAACTTCCATGCTAGTATGCTTACTCTTTCGTGGTAATTTAAGACATGAGGCCTCAATCCGCAAGTGCTTGTGAGGGTTTTGTCACAGCTGTCGTACTTATGATCGCGCTGTTCGTCACTCGTTCTAAACCGCCCTGGGCACTCGTCACACGCATACCTGGGAAAATCTGGATACCATTTCTGCAGATGCCGAAGTACTACAGACTTGCTTTTCGCAGCCGCCAACTGGACAAGGTTCTCTGGCACGAGAAATCATCGGGCGCTTCGAGAGCGAATCGGCCATTTTAGTGCGTGTTTCACCGGATTTTGCGTTGCTTCAGTTGTTAATAGGTACTACACGTAGTTCTGAGCATCAACCTTAACTACTACTAATATACCAGGTAAATAGGTAGGTACCTATAAGTGGCTAACCCAAGAATTGAGAGCTTGCTCTTACTGGGGTTGGCCTTGTTTATCAACCTCTTATACCACACCTCATCTCACCGCCTAATTTTCCTGTTGGCCAACTTTATCAAGCCTGAGTAAGAATATAATCATCTTAAACCAACGACAACAATAATACTAATGACGATGATGGTGACGGTGATGATGATAATCAACGTAAAGTATGGAGATATCAACTATAAATAGAGCAAAACTTTTTTTTTTCCACATCTGGCTTTCATCCTCTTTTTTATACACCTCTTGCTTTTTCCTCTAAGACAGAGATGAAATTGGGTATATCTTGAGGAGCAGCGGCTGTGCTGGGCTTCAGGATAGGGCTGCCGCGCCGGCTCGTAATGAACTATAAATTGAAGAGTCTCATCGTTAGCTGTCGAGTCTTTACCGCTGTCCCTCTCTTTCACCACCCATGAGGATTTCAGACTTACATTGCTTGCCGCGCTTAGCAGAGCGAGGAGCGAGCTCTGCACCACGTCCTCGTGGATGCCGACGCCCCAGACTGTCTGCTTGCTGCCTGCAGGCTTGCACTCGATATACGAGGCCGCCTTCACGCTTTTACCTTCACCGATGGCATGTTCCTTGTAGTCGTGAACGTCAAGGTCGATGCCGACATCCTTGAGCGCAGCCGCCATGCTAGAGATTGGTCCATTGCCTCGGCCACGCAGCTTGAACTCTTGTCCGTCCAGAAGGATGACGCCCTCAAAGATACGGATGAAACTCTTCGTATCCTGGGTCCTGCCTGGCGCAGAGGGCATGGGAGAATGTGATCGGTCGGGGGTGATGCTATAGTCAACGAGACCAAAGCGGGGATTCTCATGGAGGAAGTAAGTTGTCTCGAAGAGGTCAGTGATCTCGGTCGCAAGCAGTTCACGTCCAAGCTCTTCGGCACGGCGCTGGACAATGCTGGAGAAGGCGATCTGGAGGCTGCGAGGGAGGTCAAGCTGTAATTTCGAATGCAAAATAAATGCGCTCCCTCCTTTTCCAGACTGCGAATTGACGCGGATAATAGCCTCGTAATTGCGCCCGATATCTTGGGGATCCAGCGGTAAGTAGGGCATTCCAAGCCATGGGTCCTCGCTAGATAGGCCGAGGCGCTGGCGGTTCTGGAATCCTTTCTTGATTGCATCTTGATGGCTGCCTGAGAAGGCCGCACATACGAGACTTCCGCCGTAGGGGGCACGCTGATGGACGGGAATCTTGGTGCAAGATTCAACTACGTCGATGACCGAGTTCAGATCGGAGAAGTCAATCTTTGGGCTCACTCCCTGTGTGTAAAGGTTTAGAGCCAGTGTCACAAGATCAACGTTGCCCGTTCTCTCTCCGTTGCTACTAGATTTAGCATCGCCTCCTGAATTACAGTGATAAAGATGGGAGAAAATACGAACCCGAACAAGCAGCCCTCGACACGATCAGCTCCCGCCATCTGAGCCAGTTCTGCTGCCGCAACACCTGTACCACGTTAGTGACTTGACAACGGCGCTGGAATTGGAGACACTTACTGCATCCACGATCGTTGTGGGGATGCTGCCCAAATGATTAGCATGGTCACGATGAAGACATGAGGGACGTGAATGGTGTGACTTACCAGAGACACACACACTTTCTCCCTATCCCCAATGTTGTTACAGAAGTATTCTACCAAGTCCGCGTATACGTTGGGTGTTGACAGCTCGACCGTAGCGGGCAAATTGAAAATGATTGGGTCTTCATTTGCTTGGGGCTCCCACGCCGCCTTCACTGCGCGGCATACCCTCACGGCGTAATCGGGATCTGTGTCAGAGAAACACTCCGGCGAGAACTCGAACTGCCACCGGGTTCCAGAAGCTTCGGGGTTGTCCTTGGTCAGGGACCTGACAAGCTTGGTGCATTCGACGGCGAGCTCCAGGGTTTGCTCCTCGGTATATCCAAAGACGACCTGCCGGAAGCACTCGCTTGTGGCGAGGTAGATGTGAATGATGGCGTTCTTCGCCCCGCGAACGGACTCTACAGTCTTGCGGATGAGGTCGGGCCGGCAAGGTGAAAGGACCTGCAAGAACACATCGTCCGGCACGGCTCCCGGGGTTTCGATCAAGCGGCGGGTGAAGTCAAAGTCGATCTGGGATGCGGAAGGGAAAGAGACCTCAATCTCCTTGTAGCCAAGGCCGCATAGCATCTGGAAGTAGCGCCACTTCTCTTCGCCGCTCTGTATGGTGATGGGCCCATGTCAGTCTCAGACAGCAGATATGCCAGCTCGCGTAAGACGGCCAATTGGGGCATGGAGGAACGTACCATTGGATCGGGAAGACTCTGGTTGCCATCGCGGAGACAAGAGCTTCGATACAATTAGCAAATATCCTATGCCCTGAAGGTGTAGATCGCGGAACATACGACAACCAACGGGGGGCCTTGTCGATGACCTTGTCGGGCCACTGTCGGTTAGGCAGATGCAGCGGCTGGCCAGGTTAGCTAAAAGATAAAAGGCGAGAAGCATTGGAGGCACAAAGTTTACCTTGAATGGCTTATACTTCTTCCACGGTTCCTTGAGGCTACAAGAAAGTCAGCCGGAATGCGTCGAATTGCTCAATTGAGCGTTCACAGGTAGTTGGCGCAACCTACATCGGCATCTTGGTGGCGACTTTGTCTGTCTGGAGTCGGGCGGAACAGGTGCTGAGTATGGACAGAGAAAGGCGAGGAGAGGGGATGGATGAGTCGCTTTTAGAGGGAGCGAGAGAGCCGCGGACAGAAAATCACACACAGGGCGTAGCGGGATAGATCAGGAAGGTTTGAGTCATCAGAGCGAGATGCTGCCCATTATTTCTTGTACCGTGCCTCTACACCATCACTGCCCGCTCCCCAGTTCGTGGGGTGGTCCCACTGAAATTTTGCTGCCTCTCCGAGTGCGGACGGCCGGAGTGGCAACCAGACCGGTGGCCGGACCCGTTCTGCGCATGGCACGTCATAAAAACACTCATGCAGTCTAGCGCTGTGAGCATCTCAGCTGTCCGACGTTTGCCCGCGGCGTTGGCCAGGCATTGGTCATTGGCTTGGCACCGAGGTTCTTTGGCTCCTCGCACAAGCAGGCCGTCGTTGTGGAGTATAAGTTGACTCAAGCAGAAGAATCAAGCTTGTCTTGCCGGTTGACAGGCTTCTAGAATTGGTTTATGGAGGCCCACGATGGACTGCACTTTGGTGTATACGGATAGAGTTTAAGCCTCGCGCATGGCATGACGCAGCATGACATCTTCATGGCGGAGTCGCAAGAATATGACTGGGGGCTACACAGTCAACTACAACAACTTCCATATACTGCTGCTGTAGCTTAATTGTCAGACAGGCACCATTGTGGTTGTAAAGCAGCACTAGGGGCATATAGATGTAGTCAGCGAGGAAGATCTAAACGCTAGCAAGCGCTTTATTTCGCCATTCACAGTCCTGTGCTGCTTAGTCTAAATAGGTAATCTAATATCAACAAAAGCTGGTATCCAGTCTGTGTTCTCGATAACCAGTAATCGCAAGCTAGATATAAACACGCCAGAAAAGAAAAGGAAAGGGTGTATTACAAGATCATGATGCCCTTCGAGGCCATTTTAAGAAACCATAAACAAGAAGAGCCGCATATTGCCACATAAATATATCAAAACGTCTTCCACTCTCATGTATATAAAACCCCCCGGTATATACTTCTTTTAGTATCTTTCGTCGTCAACTTCATCGTCGTCATATCCCATCTCATCAGTCGGCTCCGGTTCCGGTTCCAGCTCTGGCCCCGCGGCGGGGCCCTTGGGCTTCTTCCTAAAGCTGAGGAACTTTTTGATTCCCGTTGGTTCTGCCGCCTGGAACAGATCGTCCTGGGAAGAATATTCATAGAACAGCTTGGGGACCAAAATTCGATATGGCACGGTAATTCCGGTAGGATCCTTGGCGTTTACTTCCATGTTCAAAGCAATGTCCAATGCACCTTCTAGATTAACTTCGAGTCTGTCGGCCTGTTTCATATCTTTGGGTGATAGTCCCGTAGGCGTTCGGTGGTACGGACGGACTGCTGCCGGGTCCTCAACTTCATGGCCAGAAGGGCCTCCGGCATGATAGTTCACAGTCTGTGCCCGTCGAGGCGCTTGTGATGTGAAATAAGCCTCATCGCCCGCTGAGAACTCATCATAATCGCTACCGCCGCCGCCCCGGAGGCCCGAGGGACGAGGCTGCCCTTGAGCTCGGTGATCTGCGTATCCGCCGTCAAACTCGCCGCTCCATTGGCCACTCATATTGCTCTCATCAAATCGGCTCTGGCTACCATGTTGTCCGTAGTACGCCATATCAGCACTCTGCTGCGCTGACTCTCCGCGTCCAAGGGACATGGTTCGAGTCACTCCTCCTCCTACAGGGCGTTGTTGATCGACCGAGTTCCGTCGCCCAAAGTTCTTGAAAAGACCTCCTCCTCCTGAAATGGGAGGCCGAGGCCCTCTCACGGATTCACGTGAGACATCAAAAGGCTGTTGCGAGGTAGACCTGCGGCGTCTAGACGAAAGCCTCCGAAGCAAACTTCCGCCTCCCGGGCTTCGACTCCTTCCTCGGTCGGACATGGGAGGCGATGGTGGCGGCGTGCTGCCCGGCGTCCACAGGCGAATAGAGCACCAGTTTCGGTGAGGAAGCAAGTTATTGTTGTTCCTAGGCTTACCATCAACACCGTTTTGGAAGATGGGAATCATGGCTTCGTCTGTCTGTTTGTCAAAGTGGTGGACTTTGTTGCGCTTATTCAGCAGATCGGCGACGATGTCTGCAGGTGGGCGATTGACAATAGCGGAAGATATGATATTCGGCATGTACCTAGGATCATTGTGTTTAGCCAAGCCGAGCTTGGGGTTAGAATAAAACTGGCCAACAGCGCCAAGGTGAACGTCGCCGCTCAGGATTGTGATTCGCACAGACCGGTCGATAGCCAAGTCTTGTAAATCTTCAATTATAACGGTGCGCTCCCTTTTATGGTTCTTGGCAGTCCAATGATCATTGAGATCATCCAGAATCTCATAGTTATCATTGATATTGTTCAGAGTCTTGCCGAGCACGCCTGTCTTGCCGATTGCTTTAACGGGGCTCATCAGTTTTGAGGTCAATCTGCGAGATGTTAGTAAGAAAAGATATACAAAGAGTCAAAGATGGAAAGTATCAGTCACTTACATATTTTCCAGCCAAACAAGGCGGGGGTAGGCAATTGGAACTCCGAGAAGGACGAGCAGATGTTCTACTTGCCCCTTCCTGATCTCCGCATACATCCTGCTTGTAATCTTGTCCCATGTCTTTTCGCTTAGCACGACGTCTTCAGTCCTCTCTGTGCGAGTATCCACGGCAAGCAAAGCAACCTTTCCACCCATAGACATGTAGAGACTGCGGCTGACTTCTTGGATGTATGGGCCTGGCTGCTCACCCAAAATCCAGCTTGGCTCAGAATTCTCCGTCTCGGTTACAATACTTTGATGCTGGAAGAGCATGTAATATTTGAAAGCCACCCACCCCAAGCCTGAAAATACTGGTGAGCTCATATCGGCATGAGCATAAGAGCCATATCCATCAAAAATATCATGATCATCATACATATTGACCATGGGAATTTGTGAAGTGGCCAGCCCGAACAAGCCCTGGGAAAACCAGGCACAGTATCGTTCCAAGTAAAAGTGCTCTAATTCAGTCTGCAACTCGAATGTGAACGGGGCGTTGAGCTTCTTTTCAGGAACAGTGATCTGGAGCCATTGGTCAAATAGTGGACTATCGTAGGCTACACAGTCGTTGTAAATCTGATCACCGCCACCTATCATGGCGTGGAATGGCTGTGTCTGGTGCGAGTTGAGTACGTCGCGCCACATGGGATCAGGTCCGCTCATCTCATGAGGGTTGACGCTGATGCTGAAACCATTGCATGAATAGAACATCATATTCATTGCTTGTCCGCGCCCAGGAACCCAGAAAGCCATAGCTGGACCACGATTAATGCGATATGCGATCCGTTGTTGCTGCTCGCGAAGCTCAACCTCAATATTGAAACGCCAAAACGTACATCCCTGTTCGGCGTGAAGGCGGAAACCCCTCACATCCTTGTACTTTTGCAACTTCTCACCATCAACGTTTGCTCGCGCTCGGCGGCTAGCAAACGATCCCGGATAGTCTTGGAGCCCGTGTGGCAGAGGTTCATCTGGCGGGCTTCTTGATTTCTCAAATAGCCCTTCTTCAGACTCATCATGAGATAGATCTCTGCCTTCTTCAAGATGGTCCACGGGTCGAACATACAGGGTCTCACCACTGCGGCCCAGCTTGGGATGTCCGGCGATTGGGTCCACATATTCGGGAGAGAGCTCACCGTTAACCTGGTGGGGAGGCGGAGGCAACAGCTCGATATCTTGCACGAATAGCCGAAGCGTCGGCGCAATGTCATAGGACGACTGGGCATCGTTGGTTACAATCATAACACTTCCTCTCCAGATTTCACGATCTTGCATGGCCGCTGGCCCTCGAGGTCTGGGTGGAACCTGTTCGTAACGCAGGCCGCAGTATCTTAGAAGCGGGCCACATTTCAAGTATAACTGCGGTTTGAATCGAGTGGGCGCGCCACTGGTATCATCGTACTCTCCATCGAATGCTTCAGCCTTGCGTGGCCTCGAAGTAATGCTGCTAATTCTCCGGTGATGGCCTCCCTGCTCTCGGTCCAAGCGAGCGTTGTTCTTCTCCATCGATCCGGCCGGCTGGTCACCACTAAGGTCGAGAAGGGTCCCAGATAAGGTACCGACTGTGCCTTTCCGCCACTCATTCAGCCACCGGGACGAGTTATTCAAGCCATCGCCGGAATGTAGCCCCTCCGGGTTCTTGGATGCGAATCGCGACTCGAGCCGCTCCTGTGATTGCTGCAGCTTCGGCGGCTCAAGTGATTCCTGTGGTTGTTGTGGTTGTTGTGGTTCCTGTGTCTCCGCTATTAGACCATGATTCGTCTGATCTTCCAAACTCTTTACTGCAGAGTTTAGCTGTGGAAAGGCTCCCCGGTTCTTTTGACTCGCCTCGTAAATGATCCTGCCAATGGCAGCCGCGGGGGCATATTCAGCATTCAGCCCTCTCTCCTCTCGAGCATAAATGGGTTCAGTGGCCCGCCGCTGCATAGCCTGAATTTCAGTCTCGGCAGCAGACGTAGACGCCTTCTTTGCCTCTGGCCGGACATTTATCTGGTCATTCACAGCTAAAGGCAAAGGAGGCAGTTCTTTATTGCGCGCCTGTTGTTGTGCTCCTACTGGTAATCCTCGTGGGGACCCTTGCGGAGACCCCATTGGATCATCAAACTGAGCTTGAGCAGGCTGTGGCTCCGGCGGCAATCGTCGTTCTGCTTCGGCGCGTATGCGACGCCAGACATCTGCAGGGGGTTCTTTTCTTAGCTTGTTACTTCCGCTGCGTGTAAGGGAAAAGCCGCTGGATCCTTTCGAAGGCTGGTTTGAATCTGCATCGAGAGGTTTCGCCTCACGCCAGACATCGCGCTCGCGGAAGCTGAGATTGCGCTTAGGAATATCCCCTCCTGAGGTAGGCTGCCACTGATCAGGGCTGGCCTGAGGATACTGAAGAGCTGCTTGGCTAGAATATCGGCGCTGATCATCAGGACGAGAGGCTTCTTGAGGATGAATTCTGCGTTGATCATCACGTATGGGCGGTTGGGGCAACTGTCTTGGTTGCTGATCTTCGCGTACAGGTGGCTGAGGTAGCTGCCTCGGCCGCTGTTCTTCACGGATGGGCGGCTGTGGTAGCTGCCTTGGTTGGTGTTCAGCCGTCGTTTTTGATCGGCGAAGGCCATCCTGGCTCTGGCGATAATATTGGTCTTCGGGTACTCGCTGTCCGGGCTGTACTGATTGTGTAGCTGAGGATTTAGGTGAGGTGATGTCTCGTAGTGTTACTGATCTTGATATTGTCGCAGCAGTAGGCGACTCGACTGCCGTAGGGCGGTGGCTTTGTCGTTGGGTAGGAGTTGAGAGCGGAGACGGGTTTTGGTTTTCGGCAGCTTCAGCGGCAGCTCTTTTGGCAGCCCTCGCTCTGGCCCGCTGCTCTGCTGCTTCCACTCGCGCTCTCTTTTCCTCCTTGGTCATGCTGTCGAGCGTCAGCTCAAGCCTCTGGAGGGGTGATCGGTTGTCTGCCAACTTTTTTCGCCGCTCATTCTGCCCAATCGTTGGGGTTCTCTGAAGTTGAGCAGAAGCAATGCTATCTGTTCGGGCGAGCCCACCATCGACAAACGGCTGCGGTGCGCCATATTGACTATCTCGTTGAGGTGTGGTGTGTTCGCCGTAGCCCATGCTCTCTGCCTGAGCCGCAGATTTCCGCACAGGCTGTGACGATGTCGACTGATGGGGGTAGTTGTATGGTTCATCTGCGTAAGGGTCGCGATAATTTGTTGGCGGGCCTCGAATTATAGTATCCGTGACTGATGGCGGAGCTGGTGAGATGCTTTCGAATTCGTCAGGGACTCGGTTTGATCGTCGATCTTGCCTATCATATCTTTCAAATGCTTGCTCTTGAGGGAACCCACGATATGAGGCTGGTCTAGGGGCCAGGCCTTGATAGTCAGCTGCTGATGTCGGCGAGTTGGGACTGAATGTCGTGTCGGTGGGAGCTTCGGTGTAAGTTGTTTGGACTGAGGCGCGATTGGCTTTGCGCGTACGCTCGACATCCAACGAACGCCTCTGGTCATTTTGCGCGAATTCATGGGTGTAATCTGCTGAAACTCGCCGGCTTCGAACACCTTTTGGCTGAGGCAGCGCGCCCCAATACGGTGCAGACATGGCTGCGCCCTGGTGGTTATGATGTGATGGCAGCTGCTAGCAGTGGCACCAAGAATGGGCTGGTGCCTGAGACAGCGCTCCGAATGCTCGAGGTCGATCGTACGCCGAACCCAAGCGAGCACAACGAGAGGACGGGTGTAATGTTATGCCGCAGTGACAACGAAACAGAACAGATGCCAAACCAGGACTCGAGTCGCCCGGGAGCAAGCAGTAGCGTAAGGGGGAGCTTGTGACGAGCTGTCACCGGAGGATAGGCTGTGCAGTGCAGAAGCGCGCGCGCGGCCAAGAGATGCGGGCGGATTGCTGTCGCCGGGTCTTTGCGTTTGGGCCGAATACCAGCTCAAGAAGGGGAAAAAAGATTTCCGTCGTTTTGTTGGCACACAAGCTGCTGCTAGTCGGCAGTATATTACCCAAAGACCCGTTCACGGACCAGGGTGCCAAGCGGCCTGGGTGTCTGGGTGTGAGATGATGTTCTGGCCAGGGTCTGCGCTTGCGATTGGAGCCCAATTGATCGCGCGCCGGGGCGAATGGACGCAGAGCCTGCGATCGAGCAAAGAGGCGGTCGGGAGCTGCAGGTCTGGGTGGAGGAACAAGTGGAGGCAACGAGGAGCTCTCAAGAATCTGGGTGGCTGGAGACGAAGCTTGAGCAGCGGTAAGATCAAATGCAAGGCACCAAGGCGGACGGGCCACGCATTTGCGCTGCGGCTGAGGGACCAGGGGAATATGATCAATGGGGCAGGGCTAACTGGATGATATGGTCAGTTTATGAGCTACCGCAGCAACAGCATCAGTCGCCATGTACTCTTCCACGCTCTCTATGGCCATAGATGGTGATGAGAGCGGAGTTGGATTTGGAAATGGGTTCATCAAAGCGTTTTTAGTGGCGAGACTGCCTGCAAGAGTTGTTCTCTCTGCTTTCTCTCTCTCTTTTCTTCATGACGGCATCTCGCCACAGCTTGACCACCAGCGCTGAGTCCAATTAGCTTGTCTGTACCCCATGTCTGTCCTCTTGTTGTTTCTCCCCTCTCCCAGGAGCCAAGCCTAGTTTCGAATGCAGCCACTCATTTACTTACTCAATTGCTAGCATCCGCGGGCTGGGCCGAACAAGAACTACTCCACAGTGGCCTCAAGTGGCTAGGTGCCATCTTGATTCTGTCATATTAGCAAGCATGCGGATTTAATCATCCTGGCTTTCTTTGTTCTTTCAGTCGCCAGCCACCTGGTAAAAAGACCGTGTTGACCAACCTCCTTAATAAATACTGCTGGGTAATATCTAAAAGAGTAAGTAGCACTACCACTTTTGATTCTTCTTCCCGGCAATATACAAAGCAGCGTAAAGTCGGTGCTCTAATACCTTATAGTCCTCTTATTCCCACTCCAACGGGGTTACAGCTACGGAGTACCCGCTGCAGTAAAAGGCACCAAAAAAAGACTGTATCTGGCAAAAAGATCCCCTTGTGCAGCGTCTAGGACTGCTCCCGGCAGGGCTTGAACCTGCGACCTCCGCATTACCAACACTAGCTTGAAGCTGGAGTATTAGTACGAAGCTCTAACCAACTGAGCTACGGAAGCTGCTCTTGGGGTTAAGGCTCATCCGACATTTAACCATTATAACCTCTTACTTTTGCTCTCCGTCTTAAATGGTAGTTATATAGCCCACACTTACCGGTGCTCTCTGTTTTCGACAGTAGCTGCATGGCCCACACTTTGCCGCCAATGCAGTTCCGATTTTTAATTATAAAGCGCCGTGACGTAAATAAAGCTATTTATTATCAGTCCTTACCAGGGCTAATCTAATTATATATAAAATTGCTTAATTGTAGTCCTTTTATTAATTTAAATATATTATTTTATACTATATTTTATATTTACTTTTACTTTTTTTTTATAAATAATTATATTTATATTTATATTATAAATTTTTTAATAAAATATTTTATTATAATAGCCTTTATTGCGCTTATAAATAGTAAAAATTTACTTTTTAATATATCTATAATAATTAAAGGTAATTTAAAATAGCTACTTAATATACTATAAAAGCGTTTTTGTCACGATCCGGGTCTTGCAAGAAGAGTGATAGAGGATCAAGTGGGGCTAGGTGCGTCTTTGTTGCTGGATAGCTGCTAGGTATCATCAAAAGACTATATTTATCTCTGCCCTTTCTTTGTTTTTTACAAAAGAAAGTCCTTTCCTTTTATACCTTCTTTCTTTGTGGCAATTAGCTTCTAGCTAGTTGCGTCAGGCCTTCTATCTTGTATCCTCGGCTGAAGACTTAAAGTTCATCAGCACGGCATGGAATATCTGTTTGAGCTTGGAGGACGATAGCTAATTTCTAGCTAGTTGTATCCCAGCTTCTTTGTCGCCTGACAGTTTTATAAACTTGAAGAATTTTTTTACACTATATAAGGGCATAGACTTTAATAAAGGGTATAGCAGTAAAAATAATAGAAAAAAATAAAATAAAAGCATTTTATAAAATAGTAAATAGTTAATATAAGGTTTTCTTTTAGTAATAAAAATACATATTTTAATTATATTATTTAAGTACTGCAAGGCTATAGAAAAAGACCTTAAAAAGTTTTAATAGACTTAAGCTTAAATAAATAAAATATAAAATAAATTTATAAAGCATTCCTAGAATACTATATTATAAACTTAATAGTTTAGCAACCCTGCTTAAGGGTAAAAGAGTAAGAAGAAGTCTAAATAGTAATATATGCTGTTACTGTTATGCTCTTTCTATAACTAGTATTTATAGTAAAAATAATACTAAATAAAATACTAGGTTAATTTTTTAATTTTTTTAATAATTTCTAGATATTATAGTGCTAAAATAGCGTTAATTAAATAATATAGTAATTTTTTTATAATTTTTTAAAGTTAATAGTTATGTTAAAGTTATTCGCAAAAACGCATTGTAGAGTCACTAAAAACGCGTTTGTACCTAGACTTTTGACACCCCACTGTATATGTAGTTAGCAAGGTCAGATTTGCAGTACTGCAGTACTGCAACTCACACTTCTAACAAGAATGCGATATGCAGAGCAGCGCTTCTCAGACTACAGAAGAACTGATATCTATAGTTCAATGCAAATAACATGTAGCACTCTTTGGAGTTGATCCGAAAGTCAACCAGAACATTTCATTTCAGTCCACATGATTTAATCAATATTATCAGCATTCAATTATACCCATTGCTTTGTAAAAGCTCTAAATGCTTCCTAGGATGTATATAAGGCCTCTCATACCCTGGATCATATGCATCTTTTATAACTCCCATATCATAGCATACTTGATCGACGTGTTTATCCTCAAAAGGGTTCTCACCACCATGATATAAAAATTTCTCGACTTCCTCGTCAATCCAAATCGCGCGCCCTTGAATAAAAGCATTGGGGATAGGTACAGCAAATTTGATTTTGGGCTGCACAAGTCGCTCGTGCCAACGCAGAGAGTCACGCATATTCTCGAGTAACTGGCGCTGGGTGCCGGAGCGTATGGATAAAAATCCCAGCTCAAGCGACTGCAGTGCAGGAAGCTGTGAGAGCGTTGATATTAAATCAGTGGAATCCACAGGAAAATTCCATAGACGAAAATACTGTAGATTTATCCAACAGCCAACAGGAAGAAATGTTTGCAGTGCTGGTGGCCATTCTTGGTTGGGGTTGTAGTCGGGTTCATAGCTAGATATATCCATGCCTGTTTCCAGACTAAAATACTCTAGCTGTAAATTTTCTGCCAAGGCGTTCCGCAGGAGATTACGGCGAAAGGGTGTCCAATGGAAGTCCACATAGAGTGACAGATGTAACCTTTTTAAGTCAGGGTGCTGGAGGCAACAGATAAAATCCAAATACTCCTGGGATGGTTGCTCGAAGAGGCGGTAATTAAGGCCAGATTGAAGATAGTGGGAGTCAATTCGAAGTTCAGAGACGCGATGATGCTCTTGAGCCAAAATTTTTGTAAGTAAACAGTAACCGCGCCATCGCGTTTTTGAATCTTCCCATGGCGCGGGTTCTTGGTTACTGTCTGTAAAACGAGCAGTTAGCCAACCGCGCGGAATCGGATAATTAAATCCATAAGGGAAGGCCCGAATCATAGGAGTCTCGTAAAGAGGGGTGAATAGCCAGCCATGAGCAGCAGGTGTAATAGTAACTCTTTGCAGCGCGGGAAACTGTTGCAAGGCATATCGAAAAGCTTCAGCATCAGCTCCATGAGCAATCACGTCATCTTGCTGACGTAGTAAATCTTGATAGTAAGTCCATGATTCTCCTAGCGATAATTCGGCATTTACTAGACGATATATTCTAAGATCTTTTGGGCGGTTTGGTTCGTCTGCGGCTTTACGATGTTCTAATTCATCGATGTTCAGATCCCGTTCCACTTGAAACCATTCCATATCCGTCATTGGCCTATTGACGTCTTCGGGAACAACATTGTCGGAATAATCAGTACGGGAATAGCATAAGCGCGCATCGTCATAAATGAGCTCGATAATGCCTTGGCGGTACACATCATGATTGGCAATAGAGCGAAGGACGTGAATATTGAGTGGATTAGCAGAGAGAAATACTCGGCTAATGCGTAATTTAATGGTACTAAAGTGCTTGCACGTCAAGCGAAGATTTTTAATTGAGCGATTGTCTAGATGGCTCACTAGATTCTCAATGAGCTCGGGAGGTAGTGTGGGTAAAAGAGGAGGAGAATCTATAGCTTGTCATTAAACTGCGAAGGCGTCCTTGTTGGTTAAGGAATAGAAAACGCACCTGGCGATATGAAGGCCGTGTACTCGAATGGGGTAGGGACAACATCGTCGGCTGGGGACTCAATCGGAAACCGGTAGCGGTGTATGTCCTCGACTCTCCTGGTTAAGGAGGCCTCTGACAAAATGTTGTCATCATCATTATCTACTATGTTCTGCTGGTGAACAGATTTTGATGAGCTGTTTCCCATCGTTGCGTATGCGATGAGAGCAGACGGATTCCCTAGCGATTACTGGGATACCTATGTGTATATGTCTTAATGATGGCGGGAAATTGCTGCTAGCGGGGAAATTTGGGGGATAGGCTTATTATATAGGTAGGAAAGTTAGTGTAAACATGCCTGGTACCTCCTACATGTACCTAATGCAGGTACCGACATGGATGTCTTGAAGGGATACTGAGTACTTCTCAGGCACCTATTAAGACTCGGTGTCCATATTTTCCATGACAACGGCAAAAGTGGCTACATAGGCGGTACACATGTATAGAGTAGATATGGCAACCTAGGGAGGCCCAAAGAATAAAACTGCTGGAGCTTTTGCTTAGATTTCAAATGTACACTTATATATCTATAGCTTTCCATTTACACCATCTTCATCCAGTTATACGAGCAGCAGCAGCATTTGCAGTTGCTACACCGATGCATATATACACGCTCGCTTGGAGGCCAGAGCAATCCGTTTTAACGGCCGGGTTCCACTTATACAATGAAGATAGAGCTATCTTTTGACTGCTTGCAATGGCTGAACAGCCATCGCCGGCGTGGACGTCGTAGAATTTATTACAGCCACTCACCATACCGCTTTGGGTGGGTGTAGGAGTGGTTATGCCGGGAGCTGTTGTGGTTGCCGCCGTGCCAACACAGACGTATACACTTGCTTGCAGTCCGGAACAGTCGGTCTTGACAGCTGGATTCCATTGGTAAAAAGAACTGAGGTTGATGTTTTGGCTGCTTGCAATGGCTGAACAGCCATCGTTTGAATGCACATCGTAAAATTTGTTGCAGTTACTAACCATACCACTCTGTGTTGGTGTGGGTGTAATAACTCCGGTGGGTGGTTTAGACGTAGTGGTGATAGATGCCGATGTCGTCGCAACACCGATACAAACATATACGCTTGCCTGAAGCCCAGAACAGTCGGTCTTGACGGCTGGGTTCCACTGGTAAAACGAACTGAGGTTGATGTTTTGGCTGCTTGCAATGGCTGAACAGCCATCATTTGAATGCACATCGTAAAATTTGTTGCAGTTACTAACCATGCCACTCTGTATCGGTGTGGGGGTTATGATTCCAGTAGATGAAGCGGATGGGATGCTGGCGTCCCCATCCCACTCATTCGGATCATTGCCATTGGGATATGTTGATATACAATAGTTTGTTCCCACGACAAGTCCGGAGCAATCTGGGCCAACCGAGGGGTTCATCTGGTAGAAATCGGCAAATGATAACTGGGCGATGTATAAGATATCCCTGCATGTATTGTAGGCCTGGGGTGCGAACCATGTCGTACAATTAGATACCTCCCCAGAAGCGTGAGGGCCGGGAGGTGCCGTAGTTGTCGGTAAATCTATGGATGTACATTCTATTAGCATGAATAATATATTTTTTCCACATGTAGAAGCTAAGAACAAATACAGCTATGGCTCCATCACCACAGATTTCACTCTCAGCCCCATTCTGACTTACCAGCAGTAGGAGAAACCAAGGCAACGCAGTACGAAATATTAGCGGCAAGTGTACACGGATAGGTGTAAGGATTGGTGATTAAGCTTGAAGCAGTAGTTGGGACTGCTATCGCCGATGCAATTCTACTGGTTTCATCGGATACGACATTTGACCCTGAAGAGCTATCATCGCCAAGAGAAGGATTCCAAAGTACCAGCTCCTAGTGGCAACATTATTAGCTTTTATTTTGAAAGAAAATTAGAGTAGGCTAGACCCAATTCTCAATGTACTTACTTCGGGTGTAATATCATAGAACATCGCCAAATTCCAACAATCCGCAGATAAGTTTTCCGTAAGATTTGTTACATAAGTGTATCTGTCATATCATTAATAACAATATTAGTTGTTGTGCGTGAAAAATAAGATGGCATCGTGCTATATACTTACGAATAACAATCTACGCGTGTGTTATTTGCTATAGGTATCACTGAGACATTTGAGGAAAATTTGGCCCATGGATCTCCAGCGTACGGCAGAGATGTCGCACTAGTTTGGTTGAATGGCTTGGTTGTAGCCGTGGGTAAATATCCTGGATAGGTAGAAATGTATCCGACTGGCTCAACGCAGTAGTAATAACCCGATTTCAAATTTGTGCAATTTTGAAAAACTTCGGAATTCAAAAAGAGACTAATAAGAGGAAGGCAAAGTCAGCTCCTCTAGATTTGCATAGAAACTGAATGATCAGTCGAGAGTCCTAGGATGGATGGTATACAAATCTTTTAGTGTAATTGCAAATTGTGCAGTCAAATGGGAGCAATCATCGCCATCGACGACTTGGTAGTACTTGGCACATCGAGAAGTTGTTTGATCTAGCGTTGGAGAAGGAATCGGACTATCAAATACGTCAGTACTAATCTCAGAGGTGGCACAATTAACCACAAGGAGCTCCTGAAAAGACTCACGCAGTTGTAGTAGCAATAATGGTTGCCCCATTTGTATTACTGGAGATGGAAAACGTTCCTTTAGGGTTACTGACACAAATGCTACTCGAATTCAAGCTTGCGAGGTTACTGATCTCGCTGCATTAGCACAGCGCCATGTAGTCGAATAGAGTCAAGCATACGAGCATGTAGGATTGAGTGAAGGGTTCCAAGAAAGCAACTGGGCGTAGGTAATATTATTGTTGCTGATGATGCCAATGCAGCTATCGTTTGGCTGAACGGTATAGAGTTGACAATTGACTTGGTCTCTTTGAGAAGGCGGGGATACACCTAGTTTTGATGCCTGTATCCCAACAAAAAACAGTTGACAGAAAAGTAACAGCCTCATCATCACCTTTGTGGGTGAAAACTTTCAATAATTAAAAATGTATGTCTAGGAGGTGAATGAAGCACACATAGGAGAAAATCAAGAATATGTCAAAAAAAAAAAAAAAAACACTATGTTTAATATGCTATATCGCTTGATCAGCTATGGCATAGCACATGCTGCTCAATGCCACCACCTGGGAACCTGGATTTGTTAAATTGGGTCGTCAGGTCAGGTCAGTTTTTTTTTTTTTTTTTTAAATGAGCTTTATTTCCACAATTATGTGAATTAATTTGGCTCCCTCCTTCGGGATGGCAGTTATTCTTGGTTTCAGGCAAAAATCCTTCGGCACCTTCGGCATTTGATGGAGAGCTGGACTATCGGGAAGATAGACTCGGTGATTTGCTCGGTGCTGTTGGTTGAGCTCTTCATCGTTGCATACACTAGTATAGGCGGTAAAATATTTGGTGTGAGTTGCCGAGTGCACAAAAGTCCCAATTATGTAGATCTATTTAGGCGGCAGAGCAGGTTGATGAAGATATCAAACGCCTACTGAAATATAGCGCTTGGATTGTAAAAAGGGAAAAATACGCTGACAGAAATATAGGAAGAATATGCTGTGTAATTAAGTTTCCGTGTTTAGCAAGTGATATATTGGTTCAAAATAAACAAGTTTTATGCATAGCTATTTTCCACAGGTTATGCTGACCCTCCACTATAGAATTAACGATAATATGAAAGTTAATACTATCATACTATCTTAAATTTAACGCTAAAAAGGCGCATTCCGCATCCCTCCCTCTGGCATTATCGGCACGCCTTGAGGTGACATCGTTAGTGCGATGCTCCCCTGCGTTGGTTCAATCGACGTCGGATGCTACACAGGTGGATAAGCATCTGCAAATATACGCCCAATGTAGAAAGTGTTTGTAACAGAGCTCGAGTCAAGAGTTACAAGGGTCTAGACCTGTGTCCTGCATGTGGTAATATATCCGACTCTTGGTTGAACACTTTTGCTGCTGATGCAGATGGAGGCTTCACAAATTGTAATTTCCGAACCCCGTATAGATGGACCATTCTCCTCGCCTGGGATCAGTAATTTTTTTGTTTTCGTGTTTCTCGGCGGCCCGGACTTCTCCAAAGCTATTTCATAGGCACATTTTCTCGGAGTGGACCATGAACATACTTGTGATTGGGATTTGGTTCCATAGTAACTTAGTCGAGGAAGGTAGCCTAATATCCGGCACGAGGGTAAATTTTTACATGAGGTAAGTAATGACACCGGAGACCTTGTAAATAGTTATTTATGACACCAATGGATTGATGAATACATGATTATGTGGTCCGGCTCTTCCTGTGTCCCATGTCATGAAAGAGTCGTGATTACTTTGGTATATAGGCCTTGACTCCCTGTATTGCATACATACCAAATAACGCCCTTACTACTTGCAATTCATTTGAATATTGCGCATTTAGAGGTTCATTATGTCGCCCCCAGGGCTACGGTCATGGATAAATATCTTGGCCATAACATTCACTGCCCTTTTCAGCGGTATCCTATTCTTGGCGATACCAGTCTTTGCCTCTACTCATCATCTCGGTCATCGTAACCTTCACCTAGAATCCGTACAACACAGTGCAATTACCGAAGATCAACATCACCAGCGCTTATCATCTCGATTCCGTGAAGCGTTCATCGAGCATGAAGCTTCGATAGATAGACCTGCTGCCGGTCAGGGAGATTATACATGCGGACCAAATACGCCATGTTCCAACGGAGCTTGCTGCGGCGATAGTGGCTGGTGTGGTTATGGACCAACGTATTGTGGTAAAGGCTGCCAGTCAAACTGCAATGCTACAGCTGATTGCGGCGAGTTTTCTGCCAAATCTGGTTCTCCTTGCCCTTTGAATGTCTGCTGCTCTGAGTTTGGCTTCTGTGGAACAACTTCAGACTTTTGCGGCAAAGGCTGCCAATCTAATTGCGAGCAGCCCAAGCCTTCTGGATCTTCCACAAATGTACAACAGAGGATTATTGGTTATTGGGAAGCCTGGAACTCTCAACATCCGTGTGGTACAATGACTCTTGGTGAAATTCCCGTCAATTATCTAACCCACCTGAATATTGCTTTTGGATATATTAGCCATGACTTCCGTATAACAAATATGGATGGCGTATCTTCGGATCTGTACCGAAATGTGGGTAATCTCAAAGCGAGGAATCCCAGTCTCAAAATTGTCATTTCGTTAGGAGGCTGGGCGTTTAGCGATCCTGGCCCTTGGCGCGATGTTTTCCCTACAATGACTTCCTCGTCAGCAAACCGCGCGATATTCATCCAGAATCTGCTGGGATTTCTCTCAGAGTATGGTTACGATGGAGTTGGTAAGTAACTTGAATATATTTATTCGTTTCACAGCCTGCGAACTCAACTAATCTAGAGTTACAGATTTTGGTAAGTTGACTCAAAACACATTTTCATTACGCATGTTACATTCATCAAACTATCTTGATCACTCTTCTTGAAGCCAGAACGGAAAACTTTTGAATTGAAGTCTTCAATGAGAGTCGACAACAAGATCCAATTCATCAAACAGATAATTGATCATCTGACTGATTGTGACCTACAGATTGGGAGTATCCCGGGGCCGATGATCGAGGTGGCAGTGATGTAGACGCTGCCAACTACGTTGCGCTTTTAAAGGAGCTGCGGGCAGCCATAGCCAGTAGTGGCCATAACTATATTGTTACATTTACGGCACCAACATCGTATTGGTACTTGCGGCATTTTGACATTAAAAACATGGCATCATACGTTGATTGGATCAATCTCATGTCATATGACCTTCATGGGGTCTGGGATAGTACAAACCCAATTGGTAGTCATGTTCTCGCTCACACTAATCTAACTGAGATCGACTTGGCTTTGGATCTGGTATATTTGTTTAATCATTCTATTATTTTCTCAATTGCTTTGCTAACAAGTGAAAACAAATAGTTTTGGAGAGCCGAAATAGAGCCGTCCAGCATTGTGTTAGGTCTTGCCTTTTATGGTCGGACCTTCAACTTGAAGTCGTCATCTTGCTGGAAACCTGGTTGTCCCTTTGGCGGCCCAGGAGATGCGGGCCCGTGTACTAATACGGCAGGCATTTTGTCATATCGAGGTAAGATTCCAATACATGATATAAACCGAATTTCCAGCTGATAGTGACTAATAGAGATCCAATCGATACTTGATCAGACTGGCGCAGACTCATATCTAGACGAAGAGGCCGCTGTGAGATACTTGGTATATGGTAACAACAGTTGGGTTTCGTAAGTTACAATCCCAAAAAGTCTAGTCTAGATATGCACAATTGCCGTTTAGCTAATACAAAAATCTTGTAGCTTTGACGATGATATTACATTCCAGGCCAAAATTGATTATGCCAGTAAGATAGGTCTTTCAGGACTTATGGTTTGGGCGGTTGATCTTGATGGCAGCAAACTTGACGCTCTGAGAGCCATCTCAGGATCTAGTGGAGCGACTGGAGCTGATAGTGCTTTTTCACTTGTTGATATGAAATACTTGTTCCCATCAGAGGACCTTCCAACCTCTGACTCCCAAATTTCATACGGTCTGGTCACATTTGGGAGTGGTGGTGATTTGCATGATGTTAGTCCCGCGTCTGGACCATTCGGTTTTTTTCTAGTTGCGGGAGACTCTCATGTTGTCACAAAACTGAGGAAAAGGAATGGTGAGCCAGATCCTTTTACTTTCCTCGACTGTCCAGATGTTCGAGATCAACCAAAACACAAAGTTCAAAGTGCTAGAGTGGCCTGTCTGAGCGATGACTTGGAAGAATGTTTCCGAATCCTTGAACGTGGCGTTGAAGGGACCATTGTTGAAATGCCGGACAATGTAGGTTCATAACATCTTACTATTTCGCACAACGATGTTGGAATTTACTGACTCAAATCTACCACAGTGCGCGCCTAATTCATTTGCAAGAGCCATTTCTCTGAAGATCTCACCTGGTGAGTTACTAATATATGAATAATCTCAAGAGTCTTTTAAATATGACTGACCAATATTGATCTATGCCAGACCAGTCATTGCCTTTGAATATAGGAGACAGAACTCCCACTTCTCCCGTATACGACTTCTCGTTTGATTTCAATCTTGGACTTATGCGCAGAGACTCAAACAACACGAAATTTCGATTAGATTACTCAAACGTCCCAGGCTACTGGAATCATCTTGTCAACGCACCAGGAATACAGTCCAGAGACTTGAAGAAACTGGAGAGTCGGTTCTTCGCTCCAACAACAGAAGACTGGAACACAGCCTTTGAAACTACCGAATTGAATTGGTCTCCTACAGATGCTACGCAGATTCAAGAAGATGTGAGCGCGCCGGTTTTCTGGCAGTCCGTAGGCGAGTGTTCTATAGGCGACTCTACCGCTTCAGAGGGTTTCGGCGCATTTGTTGATGGCAACATTGATGTGAAATTTTGGTTTGGTTTTTCCATGATTGTACGGCCCTTGCCCCATTATGACGAATATTCATTCATGAATACTGTTAGCACTACGATATAAGGAGACGTCCTTTAATACTGACTCTTTGTTTCGATAGGCAACGCTCAAAGACTTAAAATTTGAAGTAGATCAAGCTCATGGCTTTTTGAAAGCAAGCGGACAAACAGATTTAACGTATGGCATCGGTGGCTTTGGTGATATTGACATATCAAAAGCAGGAAAAGGCAACCCGGCCTTAAGCGATGACAACCCCGTTAACCTAAAGGGGCATACGATCTATACAGACGAAGCAATAATTTCGCTTCAACCATATTACCAAATAACATATCAAATGGCAACTCTTAATGGATCGAATGGCTCTGACTTTGGAGACAGTGCGGTTTCGTTCAATGGACGATTAACCACTCGCATTGTCACTGATCTTGGAGACTTTCAGGCAAACTTTCCGCCTCCTGAAAATCCACCAGAAGGGGCATACAATGACAAACGTCAACAGAATAAGTTGTCTATTCCTAACGATGATATTCTTTACGGCACTACTAATAGCGGCGGCCAAATTGCTATCGGTACTCAGCTTAAATTTGGGCTAAAGCTAGACCTCGTCGCGCGAAATGACATATTCAGATGGAACGACGGTCTACCAAAAGTATTTTTAGTCCCTTGCTTCCTAATAAAGTAAGTTGCTGATCAAATATAGATTGAGCTAGTGTATGATACCATGGAACTCTTCACTTTCTCACCAGGAAGTGAAGACCACCCTGAATTTGCATGTTCCGACTATGAGGTGATGTGAGTTACAATACGTGTAACTCAATGCTACAGCGAAACCGACACTGACAAATTTTGAAATCAAGTACAAATGCCTATCAAGTAGTGGAAAAAGGGTACGTAATTTTATACAGGCATTGCTACAAAATATTGAAGTATTTGAACTAATAGCCTTACAGAGAATCTTTTGGTTGGAATGCTTCCAGCAGCTTAGCAGCAAACCTCGCGTTTGATAGAGTGAGGCTATGTCCAGATGAGTTTTTGCAAGGCTGTATACTAATTTTAGCCAGCAAAAACCCTCTAGCGGCCAAGTTTGCTACCCAGCAGCGACCAATTCGAAGAGACGCAGAGATATAAAGGCCACTGATAGCGGCAACCTAACAAATAGCTTATCTTCTAAGAGCACGGATATACCAATCGACCATCAGAACCTGGGTGATGATTGCCTTGAATGCAAGAAACAATCTCTTGGGCCTCGGGGATCAATACAGAAGAACCCATGGGGAAGGGGAGACGGATCCCTCCCACAATTTTATTTTTCAGATCTGGAGGGACTCAGTACATTCGAACGCTCGAAACCTAAGTTCGACTGTCTTGATTGCGAGAATTGTTATGAAGAAGAGATAAACGAATGTTGCGGATGCGTTTCTCTGGACATTACGTGGCCCAATTTTCGGGATATGCCTCCTTGCGACATTGACGTATGCGAGCCTCTCTCTGGTACATGGCTGGGCAACACTTTCAATTCGAAAAGAGAAGAAGATGTTCTTGAAATCGATTCTGAATTCCTGAATGATACCCTTGTCGATGATGAACATTCGCTATTTCCAAGACAACCTCCAAATCCAACGGCTAATATATCACCCAAGAATCTCAAGGTCTGCGGAACTCTAGTTAAGTTGAATACGCCATACAACTACCCATCTTTTCCGGAAGACCATACCAAGCAATGGGATGGGATCCAACAAGGAAGATGGGATCCAATATCGAGGTACTGGGGCAACACATCATCGATTTGCCAAAGCTGGGCAGTAGGAAAGGTTCAGCCTGCAGACGTGGTATGGGCTCCCAATAACCTTGGAGGGTACACCCCAATAAGGGCGTTATATCAAAGTAAGTATATCCTTCTTTAAGTCAAATTGCTGGGGAAAAAAGATCTCTTTAGCTGATATGTTTTTTTTTCTTCTTTTTGCAGCCGAACATGTTTTTGAGGGGCAACTAATCAGCGACTTCTTTTCCTTTTGGCTGGACAAGGGCAGGTTAAATGTTCGCGATGCGAACGTCTACTATACACCACCCAAGATGCCATGTGCCGTGACTCAGCAATGGGTAAACAAGCCATTCTCAGATTTTCAAGTAATAATTAGGGGGTCGCTTGATGACGCGACATTTGCTCAGCTTCTCTTGACAGAGCTAGGCAATCAGGCGCACCTAGACCGTCTCACAATTATGCTTGGAAGGGTTAACCACAAAAAAGGATTAGTAAGGAAGCCCTCGCCTAATTTCAAATGATTACTGTTTACTGTTTGCTATTTCTAAGCTGCGATCTAATTTCTATTTAGATATTTCAAGGAAACAAAGCTATAAATGAAGGAGATTACATCCTTCAAACTCAGCAGGAACAGCTCTTAGCGGTGAAAGAAATAGGTGAGTATATATTTTCGAAGTCTTTTACCATCAGATTAATCAAAGCTAAAAAAGTCAGGCCTAATATTTAATTATCTCAATACTAATGAAGTATGGGATAAGTTTTGCGCAACATATGAGGCCATATACGACCATATGGGCACTTTCAATACATTTTACGCACAAAAGGGCCAAGCGGTCACGATACCAGATTTACAAGACGAATGGAAAGAGTTTGTCCGGACTGCTCTAGACTCAGTAGTTACTCGGAGTCTCACCGCTTTTGACGTGATGTACGAGAAAAGACGGTATGTAAAGTCAAGAATTGAATTTCCTTCACACTCTACAGAACTAATAGAGCTAACGCATAATATACAAATAGTCCAGGTACCAGCTACTTCAGCACTATATTTCCGATCGCATGGCTGTATAACAAATATTGGAACAGGGGGTCGATTAGATTGCCGGGAACGTGTCCACACTTGGGTCCTACTAGAGTGTAAATTTATACGCAGAGGATAAGTATCAGACGCTTGGGGTATAATCTCTACAGGTAGCCTTCATGAGCAGCATCGAGGATTTCTCCAATACTTGAATATACTAAGTATGAATACCCTAGCTCCAGCGCTTTCCACAGGTGAAAAGACACCCGCATTACATCTTGGTTAGTATTGATGTAATATAATTTAAACTAGCTCAAGAGTATTACAAATTATATGCCTAAAATAACAAACTCGTCAATTTTTACTAGTCAGGAGAGCGTGCTTCATATGCCACTATTTTCTAATAACTTTACTAATGCCAGCTAAGGTTATGCTGCTCTTTAGTATTCTAGATTTCTCGGGTTTTTCAGGACTTTAACTAACAGATCTTATTTATTCTTTAGTAGTTTTAATGCAGTCTGGCTTAATCTTATCGAGATGTTGATAGTCCCTTGTTTATAATCCCGTGCTACTAATAATATTTATCCAGACTACACGTATAAACCAGTTATAGAACATGCTTATACATAGTACTTTGTTATCCGTGACACGTGGCTGACCAAGGAAATTATAGTGCTTTCGCCTGCTTCATCTATTTTCTAATAACCCTTCCCAATTGCCCCTTTCCTAATTCCAGAAGAGAGGATTTCCCTTACGCTTATAGGCTAATAGGCTCACAAGCCTATTTCCCAAGCTACAGGGTAAGGGTCTCCCGGGCAGGATTTCCTCGCAGGCTGATTTCAAAAAATCTGGCTAGTTTGGTTTTTTATTTGTATGGCCGTGAGTTGATTTGGCTGTTTTTGCATATAAATTAATTTTGCGGAAAATAGGAATTGGACCGCGAGCCCAATTCCAGCAGCCCTGCGCGCCCTGTTGCCCGGAGGATCTGTGAGGAGGAGCAGATGCCAGGCAGCCGGCCGGGGCCTCTAAGGGTCTAGGCAGCTGCCTGGCAGGCTCAACCTTCTGTACCGTATCTTGCCGGCAGTGGTTATAGCGTCCTTCTGAACAGGCTTGTATTAGGCTCCGGCCTCGCTAGCGGTCGGTACGTAACCCCTGCCATCCCCTTCTGAAAGCTGTGCCCCAGGGTCCTAGCTGTAAGGAGGTTGCCTGGAATTCGTTCCAGAAGGGCCCTATGCTTCTGACCTATGTACATAGTCAGTTAGCGTAGGGGAACAGGGGAAGCCCGCCTGTAGCTGACGCCGCAATGGTTGATGCTATAGGGCCTGGGGCCGCTAGACTGGTTGTACGTTTTGGCTTGCCGTAAGCTCTGCTCGCGGCGACAGGCTCAGGGGCTTTGAGCCCGTGCTGTGTTCGCAATTGGGTTGGCTTACTTGTCGTTGTGCGCCGTGTTGTAGCGGTTCGTTCAGGGCCGCGGGTCCCTATGTCCCTCTGGGGGTTGGTAAGTTGGCTGCTGTGTGCCTTGACGCAGCAGTTCCATACATGTAACTTGAGAGGCTTGCCCTTCTGTAGTTGGCGTTATAGGGTCTCTATCCATGTAGCTGGTTGCGTTGCAAGTTGTCGGCTGCCAGGCTCCTCCGGCGGCTGGGATCTTTCAAGGCTGCAAGGGACAGTCCTATGCTTGACAAGCGTGAAGGCCGCTGGCACATCCGAGGTGTCAATAGGATGTAGTTTACAGCATTTCAGGCAGACCCAGCGATTTGGTAAAGTGTAAGCCAGCCCTACCCAAAACACAATCTGATGTTCAAAGGACAGCTGTGGGAGCTCAATCTCCCAATCTCGAAGTAGGACTTGCCGAAGTGCTTTGCAGGTATGTGAAAGGAGGAATTTATCGTGCAAGGTCAGGTTATCGGTAATAAGAAGGAGAATGTCTAGCGGAAGCTGGAGAATAGCGGGCTTTTGATCGTGGCGCCAATAATTCCAGCGGCCTTTGCCTAGCAGTCGATGTAGAAGCCGTGAATGACGCATTTTTAGAATACCTGGATTTGTCTGAGAAGTGGTAAATAGAAGTGAGGGGGCTTTCTAAGAAGGGACCGGCCCTTTCTATACTTTGATATGCTCCATGGAAGCTATGTAATCGTGCGTCAATGGCGTTTTCTACTGATCCGATGAGTTGTTTTCCCCCCTGTTTTCATCAGGACACTAGCCAGATGGCTATAAAACGCCGTGGCGTACGATCGTAGAAATTCAAACCTTGGTCATAAAGAACATCTACCATCAATTTCCTTTTATCTAAGTTCTTAACTTAAAGATGTCAATTAAAACACTAATACCTGCGTTAATGTTTCCTATATACTGATTAGACGTGACGTGGCGCTTCTGCGCAGCTACCACACTATGGCACTCGTCACGAGAATACATGTAGCTAAACAATTGTTCTTATCATGATAGCCATGATAGTACGTTACCAGCTTATAATTGTGAAACTAAATAAAATAAAAAAAAAAAAAAAAAACAGAAATCAACATACAACAGCCGGTGTTCGCTGATGGTCACCCACTCAACTACTAATCTGCCTCTCATTGGCTTGACTCTGGGAGAGCAGACGGGATCCCGTATTTTCCAATGGATATGGTCGTATGTGATGGGTCAACCCTCTTGATCCGTTTATATATCTATATTGCAGCAGGTACATGCAGTTTATACCTTTGCATTTTACTGCAGCAGACAAACCTTCTGCTCTCCCTGCGAGGCTCAAGGAAAAGACTGGTACTATGGTTCCTTGAAAACGCAAACCAAAGCAGCTCTTATAGCCCAGACCAGAGACCCTACAAGTAAATAATGCAGCGCCAATACGGTACTCAATCCCATTGTAAGCCTCACCCATTGGCAATTGGCTTTGGGTTGCCTCTGGCTGGAATCAAATGACTCTTAATATAATGTTGGCCAGCGTCAGCAACCCTTGGAAGCGATAGTGGCAAGGGTAACAGTGTCGCAACCGTGGCGCAATAAGCGCAGATAGTGTGTTCCAAGCTGAGATCCTAGCTTGGGCCTATCGGCGCATTGAAAATGATACTCCCACTCGTAAGGAAAGTTTTCTGGTAAAGATTCGTTCGTTCATCGTGCGAGCGTCCCACTTTCACCACTGGCATCATTGACGTCTTTCATAGCCATCTCTTCTCTGCTTGGAACAAGGTAGTTGAAGTAGCATCTATCCAATAGGGTCTGTTTTAATCGTTAAGAATGTATCAATGATTACATACCAAGGAAATCCGCCACCCGTTCAACCATGCAGAACTCTTCCAGTCACCGGCTTCTGTTTAATATTGTAAGCCAGCCCTGGGGAGGTTAGCGCCGAGAGGTTAGCGCCATAAGCAACATCTTCAAAAAAACGGAAGCATATGCCTCCAATCCTTCAGCTCTAGTCATCTAAATATAGCAGACTTTACTCATTATAGAAGATTATAAAAAATCTGATGAAGTGGGGCTATGCATGCTCTATTGATTAGAGCCGCTGTTGGAAGCCTCTGTTGCAAGAGTTTATTATATCTTTATGATAGCAAGCCGTTTCAGGGCACATGACCAACTTAATCTGAAAATAAGAACATCAAGAGTACGTACCTACTAAGATATTTAGGTACCTATCAATTAAACAGTACGTTTCTACCTAAGTTCCAGGAATAAAATAAAAGCGCATAATAAGGTATAAGAGAACAAAATACAATTTATTTGTATGTATTAAATCATTATGTCTTTTTTTCTCTATATTTATTTTATTATTTTAACAGACTTTTATTATGGAGAAGCATGTAGGGTAGCTCTCAGTACTTTGATTTCCACTTTTTTTTCTTTCATGCGTTTGATATGTCTACTGCATATAGTAGCTATTTAATTGGCTTAAATTACTGGTCAACATCGGACGTGCCCTCAGATCTTCGAAGAAATAATACATAGTCAGCTGCAACTCCCTCTCTGGCCGTTGGCAAGTTCAGTAACAGGTTTTTCCAGAGCAATAACTACCGTGGTTAGGTTTCGCTAGACCCAGGAAAATACCAGTCAGGGTGCTGTATAACATCAGCTGGATCGAAGGCTGGATTCTCCTTCAGACATGACCGCTTTCTCGATAAATGCGATGGATCAATAAACATGACTGATGGATCTTCAGGACGCCAATTGGTGTTTTTCTGATGGCAATTACCACAGCCTGGTCTTCGAAGGATGTAACGCGGGGTTATTTGACGAGTCCAACGTGGCTTGTGATCATCAAATTTTTGACTCCGGCAGCGTCGACATACTATCCTAACAATCTTAGGCAAATTAATGCAGTCCTGTGCTGGACGAACAAAGAATTCTTCCCATTCGGGCTTCCTAGGAGGAGCAGCCAGCAGTTTTCGGTCTGGTCGAATATACTTGACCTGGGACCAAGAAGGTAGGGTCGCGGGCGACACCATGACGCTCCCATTCCGCTACTTCCTCTTTTGCCATGGCCAGAAATTCACGACCATAATCCCATGAGCTTGGAGGAGAAAGTTTGGTTCTGGCTAGATGGATATAGAATCAGGACCTCGCCGACCTCGCACTGACGCTTGACCAGACGTACCTTGTTGCTGTGCAGCCAATCTGTCGAAGTGTGGCTGGAGTGTTTTCAGCTCTGCCAATCTATGCTCTTCAAGATAGGTTTCCGGGTCATCCAGAAAAAGATTGCCAAAAAGGTGGAAGGGTTTGGGTGAATCTCCGGGAGGCGCCATCGTAAATTGTGATTGATTGATACAAGAGCGTAGGAAGCACTGCTCCGTCTTACGGAATAAACAAACGAAACTCTTCTATGAAAATGGTCTCCACTTGCAGCTTTGCGTAAAACACATATAAGTATAATTACTTGCCCTAAGTCTCCACATTCGGATCGATAGCTCAGTGGTAGAGGTAAGCACAAGTCCAAGACATTTTCCCGAAACATTAAATCACTAACAAAGTCAATAGCGAGAGATTGCAGATCTCTAGGTCACGCGTTCGATCCGCGTTCGGTCCTTTCATTTTTTACTTTTTCTACTCTACAAATATTACAATAGTCTATAATTCTTTCCCCTCTTCTCCTTGCAGGTCCTTTTTTTTTTTTTTTTTTTTTTTTTTTTTTTTTTTTTTTTTTTTTTTTTTTTTTTTTTTTTTTTTTTTTGGTTTCTTTTACCTTCCCCTTCTGAATTTGTTTTTGTATTTCTTTCTTCATCTTCCTATTTCTTCTTAAATCAACAGGGCAAATTTTTTTCTCAATCCTTACAATAAAACTACTATATAAGCCTCTTTTCCAGCAAGCAAATCATCACATTGGATCGATAGCTCAGTGGTAGAGGTTAGTACTAGTTCTTGCATCAAGCCGTTTCTACCGAAATATATTAACAAATTCGTCAGCGAGAGATTGCAGATCTCTAGGTCACGCGTTCGATCCGCGTTCGGTCCTGTTCTTTTTTCTTCTTTTTTCTACCTCGTCTAAATTATATATGCCTTTTTCTTTCTTTCTTTCTTTCTTTCCATCCATCCATCTTTTTTTTTTACGTGATAGTATTTATAAATTCAATGGACACATAATAAAATAAACGATGCAAGCCAATAAACTGAATTCCTGCTCAGTCAAGTGATACCATCTTATGTCTTCTGCTAACCATTGTGAAATAGCTACACCAGATCACATAGAGCTGGGCATTGAGATATAAATCTCGTAATAGGCCGAATATTCAAGGGGGGTGTAAAAGGAATTCTAATGAAAGTGCTTCTAGATGCCTTAATTCTCCTTAATTATTCATCTCTGATTCTTTCAGTGATCTTGATCCATGGATGTGACATCAATTCCGTCATTGTAGCTCGTTTGTCAGGTTCGACGACACACATCCTGCAGAGATAGCTTCCCAGTGCTTCAAGGTCCTTCTCATTAAGATCAAGTGTCTCTTTATCGTAGCCATTGGCGTACGCCTCCTGCATTTGCTCCTCAAGGGCAAAAAAGTTTTTCGCGGTGGATTCTTTTTATAGTTAGCTATATTCCGAGTCATATTTTGCGAACTAACCATCTGGTTTCTTCGTAAGAACGCCGGTTTCCAGGCCTTCTTGGATCCATTGCTCAGGAACACCACCGAGCACCTTCTGCATTTGTGGTATTAACTCGCGATCATTCATGAATGCCTCGAGTGGCGTGCGCCCGGTGACAAGCTCATATGTCTTTGATCTGATTAGTTGATGTGCAAATTTGGCTTAATTATTCTTACCGTGCATCCAAGATTCCAGATGTCAACCGCTTCGGTAAGTGGGCGCCGGAAAACTAGTTCTGGCGGGTGGAGGGGCATGGGTGTATTTATTGACTTGGGCGGATTGGAGACGAAGAATGCTAAGCGCAACAATGTAGTTAGCGCATCACTTCTTTCATTGAGTGAGGAGAGACAAACATTCGCCGAAATCGACCAGTTGGACCTCGTCAAGAAGCTCGCCTTTGCCATATCCGTACTCCGCAGGCTCTATTAGGTAGTCTGGAACACCCTTTTCGTTAGGTGACCCGTCCTTCTTCGAAACCTTCCCTACTCGAGGGTCGTCCATAGTTGGTAATCCGTTGAGAGTAGAGAGTCGAAATAACACGTTGCCCATGTGTATGTCTAATATTCACAGTCAACAGGAGAAGCAACGAGGTCAGTTTACTTTGGACATACCTCCGTGTGCCACACCGCATCCACGGATATAATCTACAGCAACAAGGAGCTGTGAGGAGATTCGACGAGCAAGTCGACCATCGAGACGGTAATTTGGCCGCGTCTCCGCAACTGAAGATATCTTAGGGCCTAACAACTCGAGGACTATACAAAGATGGCGTCCATTTGGACCTTCTTGGTAAAACGAGTTTAGAAGATGCGAAACATGTTTATGGCCTGGATGGGCAGGGTCGCCTTTTTGTTTGATAGTCTGCAAGATTTTCAACTCGCGGTTGTGCTCGTGCGACTGCTCTGCGACCACGACTTTAACAGAAACATGTCTCTTGTTCCTGGTGGACATGTAAGTGAAGATCGACCCAATAGAAAAAGAGAATAGGCAAGTTACTCTTCATCTAGAGCGAGCCAGACAGTGGAGAATGCCCCGAAACCAAGCTTATGAAGAATTCGGTATCTCCCGTCGCCAAGTGTATCGCCGAGATGGATTGGATGGTAGCCTCCTGGGCAGTAATTGGACAACTGTTCTGCGGGTAGACCGATATTGTATTGGAATTGATCAATCATTTGTGTGGTGGAACTGAGATGAAGACGGTGAACACGGCAGAATTGAAGTCCAAGGCTTGAAAGATATCTGAGTATATTGTTGTGCAGCGGTGGTCTGTAGCTTTGGGAGCATATGAAAGAGTTAAATTTGTGCACGTCTTTCCCACGTTGAGGTAGTATTTGACATACAGTACCTTAGATACATGTACCCATGGCGGCCTGCCCCACTAGCACGCTCCCAATTCGTTTAAGCCGCAACATCTTTCCAGCTAAAGCAAGATCTCAACCTCCCGCTCTGTCGGCATCGAAATTACTCCAGCATGTGAATAATAACGTGGGTAGCAGCAGTGGTGAAAAACGAATGGTTTCATAGTTCATGGATCATGCTAAACTCATATGGATATATCTGGTTAAAGTAACCATACATCGAGGCTGTTAACAGCAAACATTCGCGACAGGTCTTATATTACTCAAATACCGTATTCCTTGATATATTAGAGTATGGATCCGGATCAAATCTCTCCACTACTTACCACAATCGGTGAAGAGATAACCGAGGATAGTTAGGAATCTGCTGTATTAAAAATGACCCACAGTCCAACTTTTGAGGGAGTACAGTAAATAGAGGAGTGAGCATTATAAACCGAGAATGTGAGCTTTCAAGGTAGCTACCAAACACATACGTGCGGCGGCGGCGAATAAATTGTATACCAAGTGTCATCATACAATTCAGCGTAAAAAATAGGCTCCACCATGCTTGCCTGAATCTTCATCCAGTCCTCGGTGACGAGGCCTTCACTTGACTCACCCATCTCCTCCTCAGGGAGCGAGCCCGCCCAGCCTCGAACAATATTAACATGTCCTCCATGGAGATCCACACCAGCTTCACGAAGACAGCTAACCAGACTTTCCTCATCGACCTGAATAAAGTATGTGTACCTTGAAATGTTTTCATAGGGTGTAGCACCTATATCACAAGGTGAGTCTTGCGTGTCGGCGCGCACCCATGCCCTAAATCTACGCTTCAGCTCACTCAGCGATGCACCCTCGAGCTCATGATCCTCGACCCAGGCCCAGTCGAGCTTCTCGGCAATATCGGGGGCGTCTGAATCTGCGATGGTCTTTCGTGTCCTGTATTCGACGAGGTTCTTGAAACTCTCCCAAGCACCCTGGAGCTCCGGCTTGTAGGTGCATCGGTAGATGACCCAGCCCCATTCGGTGTCTCCAGAGTCCAGTAGCCACTGGATTTTGCGCTCGGGAGAGAGGTCATGCCATTCCATGCCAATTGATGTTGTCTGTCTATATGAGCTGCTTGTTACGAAGGGTCGAATGAATATGCTGGTTTGAGCTGGCAAGCGGGTTGCGAGGTTCGCGCAGGGGCGATGCCTGAGACGCGTAGGCTTCTGATGATGGCCATGATAGAGCCTCTTGCCTGCATGTATGCTTCTTAGTACCCCAGACGATTGAAACTTTAGCCGTAGCTGATGTGCTGGTACAGCAACCATACCGAGTGTGTTAATGTGGACAAAATATACGAATATTGGCGGAAAGACGAAGCACGCGACAGAGTCGAAGGGGTGGGGATTGGAGGTGACCATACGGTAGAAGCTACCTAATTCGGGTTAGATAGTACATGTATACATGTAGGTGCGTAATTTACTGTACTAGGGGGGTCTCCAAAACGACCACAACCCCGTGCTAGCTCCACATAGCACAGGGGGCACGTTAAATAGGAAAATGCGCGATAATAGGGAAAATAAAAAAAATACATTATTTATAGTGCATTTCCTATATAAATATAAGTACCTATATTTTATTACATACCTTTAGTATTTTAAAATTTTAACCCCTTAAATGTAAGGTATATTGCTATTAAAAAATAACAATATTATATAATGCTATAATTAACACTGCATTATTAATAAAATAAATAAATATACTGTACTTTATTTTTATTATAATAATGCTATTTTTTTATATTTTTTTATAAAATTACTATAATAGATATATTTTATAAAAATTTATTTATAATTAAAAAATAAATTAATTTTATTATAAATTTATTAAAAATTATATAAATTACCCTAGAAAACATTAAGCAATATACTATTACAGCAGCCAAGCTATATAAAGCATAATTTTATACTTTAATTAAATAAGCTTTTAATGCCTTTAAAGTACTATATAAAAGACTTTAGAATTATATTTAAGGTATATATTTAAAGAAAAAGAATAGTAGTAACTGTACTTTTTTTAATAAAGTAAAAGAATAAAAAATACTTATTTAGGCTTACTGCAAGGTTACTTAAAGTTATTATATTTATTTTTATGCTTTAAACTATTATATAAATGCAGTATTTATAGCTAAAGGCAATATAAAAAAAATATTACTTTTCTAGGCTTGCTAGTTTATAAAGAAGTATAAAAATAAGTTTTATATATATAAATTTACTTTAAAGAATATTAAAAAAAAGGCTATATAAAATAAAGGTATAGTTAAGTTATTTTTTTATATTTAAAAATATTTTTTTATTAAATATAAAGTTAAAAAAAAGAATATATAGAATTTTAATAAAACTAGCTTTATAGTAGGCTCTCTTTAAAGGGGTATATTTCTATTTACCTTTAATATTATTAAAAACCTAGTTTTTATTAATTTTAATAATTAATATATAATAATAGCAGTAAAGGGCATTTTTACTGCTGAAAACTAGATTTTTTTTTTTTTAATACTCTCTAGCGTTTAGATTTCTTGCTGTTAAATTAAAAATAGCCTTAATAATAAAGTTATACTTATAATAAGTTTTAAAGGTTATATAATTAATATTATTATAATAAAATAGCTTAAGCACTTTAAAAGGCACTTAAGACTAAAGGATTTTTTAAAAATATATATTTTTTTAATAGATGGCTGTAAAAATTATTTTATATTAGAATTTATTGCTTTTGCAATATAATATAATATTATACTCTTCCCCCTGCTGCTATACCTTATATATTATCTTTAATTACTTAATATAGGCGTTTTTTACTTATTTAAATACTAGCATTAAAAAATCCTTTATTATAAAATATTTAATAGTAATTTTAAATATAAAAAGGTTAATTTCCTTTTTAACTTTTAAAAAATATATAATAAAATATTTAAAAAAGTAGTTATTTTATTAGCTTAAAAGAAATATAGTTATTTTCTTTATAATTTAGCTATAGTTTTAAACTAGCTTTAAAATGCCTTATTTTTATTAATAAAGGAAGTTAATAAATATAAACTCCCTGGCTTTATTAACCAGAATAAGGAAAGCTTAAATGCCTTAACTTTAAGCTTAAATAAAAGCTAGACTAGCGATTAATTTAATAAAAAACTTAATAAAGAAACTAATAAAGAAAATAATAAAGAAAATAAATAAAAATTTAATAAAAAAGTTAATAAAAAGTCTTTTATAACTTCTTTAATAATAAGGTTTAATTAAACTTATATTATAATGCTAAAATTATATATATGCTAAATATAATAGTATAATAATTATATTAAATATTATATTAAGGCTTTTATTCTCTTTTAAGTTTTTTTAACTCCTTTAGTTTTATATATATTTAAAAAAGCAATAAAGGCATTATATATACTTATATTTAATAGCATTACTGTAATTAATAAAATAAAGCATTTAAAGAAAAAAAGCCTTATTTAATTACAGCTAATAAAGAGGTTATAAGTTATAAAGAACTTTAAATTATTAAGTTTTTATAATAAGGTTTTGCCGAGCTTTAGGTCAGCAGCTAGGTGCTGGGGCTAAAGGCTATAGTACATAACCCCCGGGGCTTTTTATAAGCTTTCCTTTATAAAATACTAAAGTTATAAAAACTAAAAATAATCCTTAAGCTTAAGTGCTTTAATATACTATTACTTATTTAGCTGGCTGTTATTAATAATTTCCTATTATAATTTTTAAGCTTTTTTTATAATTACTTAAGTAATAATATTAATAATAACTATATACTTTATTATCCTTAATATACCTATATCTCCTTAAAGAAATGCCTAAAGATCTCTATAACCTACAGTAACCTCTGTTATAGATAGTATAAGCGCCTTTAACTTTATTAAGCTATAAAAAGACTATATAGTATTAAAAGCTATTATTTAAAAGCTAAAAGCTTTAAAAAAGCTTAAAGACTAGTAAAATTAATTAATAAGTTAGCTTTTTATTAATAAAGAAGGCAGAGCTATTTTACTTTATTATTAATGCTGCTAAAGTAACTTTTTTATAAGCAGTAAAGAAAAGATTAAAATTAAAAATATATATTAAATAACTATTAATATAAACCTTTAAACCTATAATAAATAACTTAATGACTTTAAGTATGCTTTTTATAAAGCGCTTAAAAGATATAAAATAAAGAAGTAGAAGATTTTATTAGCCTTAGATAATATAAATAGTAGTAGTAAAATAAAATAAAAGTAATATTTTAATAAATTAAAAAAAAAAAAAAATACTTTTACTTAAGATTAAAAAAGCTTTAAAAAATAAAGCTATACTTTTTTATAAAAAGCAGTTTATTAAAAACTTATACTTTTTTATATTCTTAAAGTAGCCTAGTAAAAAAAAAATTAATTATTAAAGGAATTTTATATTTATTTAAATTTATTTAAAAAATATTTCTTTTATATTAATAAAAAATAATAAGTACTTTTTTTTTATAAAAAGCTATAACTTACTTTATAAAACTAAATTAAGTAATAAAGCTATAATATATTAAATATATAAAAGAAAATAATATCTTTAGCTATTTATTATTAAAATAGTCTTTATAAAAAAGTATAAAAAAAAAAGCCTAAAGAATATTATAAATAAAAATAATATATAAAAAAACTATATGTTATGGTCCAGTTTCATATGGTCAAAGATGCTTGATTCTTCTATCTAAGCTATCTACTACTTAGAACTAGTTATGCACAGTGTGGTATACCCAACCACACTATATAANTTCATATGGTCAAAGATGCTTGATTCTTCTATCTAAGCTATCTACTACTTAGAACTAGTTATGCACAGTGTGGTATACCCAACCACACTATATAACACACTGTACAGCGGTTCGTACTACTGTCAGGTACCTCACCATACCCAACAGGTTCCCCCCTCGCAAAAGCGAACCGTCCCGGTCGCCTTGCAGACCTGTACAGTGCTGTGTACCATGGACAATGTCAATTGTCTGTCAATTCGAGTTGTTTGGTGCGGTACCGTCATTCTTTGTCTTCTGCTTGTTCTTTGACTTTTTGTTCCTCTTATTCTTCTTTGTCTTGGTGTGGTCGGCATCCGTGTTTGGTTCGGAAGGTTTGGTCATGTACGCTTCTTCCTCGAATGGTATGGTTTCTGTCAGTTCTCGGAATGCCATTTCATTGTTCACGATCGCAATCTCGCAGCTTTCGAGAGCGTTCTGGACCAGATGGTCTCGTTTCGTCATGGCGTATGACATTTTCTCCAGTTTGTGCGTAATGTGAGTGAGATGTTGATGGAACTCTTTATCTACACCGCGTTCTTCCTGGTCGCGGAATACTTCTTTGAGAAGTATGAGGTCTGGGATGATGCTGCTGTCGGTGTTGTGTGTTGCCCAGTCGTAGACGCGTTTCCATATTTCTTGTGCTGGGTGGTTCGACCACATTGGAGGTAGCTTCTTTACCTCTATTTCTTTCCAGGTGTAGGTGGAGAGGTCTTCTGTCACCTGGTTTTTCCAATTCTGGATGGTTCTGTTATCTGCGTCGACAGCCCAGTGATTCACAAGAGTTTTGTGTCCGCGGGTAAGGACCTTCAGTTTTGGTAACGTTATGTTGGAAAGCAGACTTTTATCTGGGTAATTACCCTCCACAAGTGTATATAGGATTTCTTCAAGTTCTCTCTCGACTTCTTCGCGGGTGACTGTTTGAGATATCTCGACAGTATATTCGGTTATGTCATTCAGTAGGGTAGCTTTGTCGTCTTTGAACGTTTCGTCAAGACGTCTGAGGTTGCGAAGCAGGTTTATAGCGTTTTTCTGTCCTGTGCGTTGAAGTGATAGTGTTGGGCTTGGTTGGTTTTGGGCCTTGTCTGTGGCCGAGATGGTTTGGTTTGGTGTTGTTCCATCGGGGTCTTGCGTTTGGATGAAATCTTGATCGAATCGCAGGATTTGGTTGGGGTATTGTTTGTAATAATGGATTGCGGACAGTGCATGGTCAAATACGCGGTATTTAATCATTGTGTTCTGTAGGCCTCCATCATCCCTTGATGTAACCGCTCTAATCTTGAGGAGGATTATGGCCAGTAAGGTCTGTGTTGCTGTGGGCGAATGGTATTGTTGCTTTTCGTTGGTGTATTGGGTAACGAGGGTCATTTTGATGTTGAGGTCTTTGTAGCCGCTCCATCCTGACCAGGTTTTTGCTTGAAGTATGTGTGTTGCCACTGCTTTTCTCACAGTCGCTGCAAAGCAGGCTGGATGATCTTCCGGTGTTGTACCAACCATATGAAGGGCGCTTGTCACGAGCGCTTCACATGCGCTTTTTTCATCCTCGATATCCATACCGGAATCGCATCGGTGGATTACTTCTGTAGTTGCGTCGTATTGTTCCTTTGACTGCTCCAGCCTCTCTCTGTGTGGAATGAGGCTGAGTGGTTTCGTTGGTGTCGAAACCGTGGTTCTTTTTTGCATTTTGGTTTCTCGCATGCAGGATGGTTTCTGCTGGTGTGTGTTTGTGTAGGAATAACTTTTGTTTTTATTTTAGAATGTAAGGGAAAGTCAAGGAAACTTGCGCACGTGCGTGTGGGTGACATCAATGTGAATGTCCGTTGAGTTATGGAAGGTGATCGAATCTTGCCAGCTGTCATAGCTTGGTGCGTTTGGCGGGCAGTTGTACCGTGATGTTGGTTTTTGGGATAACGTCTACCTCTTCCATGTGTGGCATTTGGGGGATATCTTCCGTTATTGGGTGTAATTGTTCGTATTGGCGAATGAGTTCTTCCGCTGTCCAGATAAGTTCAGAGCGTTTTTTCCATTGGTCGTCCTCTGGTCCACAGTTTTTCCATCTCACGAGGAATTCCACTTGAGGGTGTCGACCTCTCTTGGTTATTCTGTGTTGTATAATTTTTTGTATTTCGTATTGTTCTTCTCCATCAACTTGGATTCTTTCAGGTTCTGGAGGTTCGCGGTGGTATGGGTCGTTTGTGTTTGGTGCAGGCGAGAGATGTGCTATTGATACTACGTTATGGATGCGCCAAGCGGGTGGTATTTCCAGTTTATATGCCAGTGGACCGATCTTGTCGATGATTTTAAAAGGTCCAGCTCTCTGTTGGGACCATTTGCGGGGAGGTTTACCTGGGAGAGTGTATCCCTTGTGTAGTTTAAGGTATACGTTGTCGCCTATTTGAAATCGTAGTGGGTTATGCTTTTTGTCGTACAGTCGTTTTGCAGACATTTGTGCTTCGGCCACAAGCTGTTTTGCATCTTCTACGTGTAGTTGACGTAATGTATCCAGTGCTTCCTTGTCCATGATGACCTCCTTATCGAGTAGGTTTGGGATTCCTCTTGGCTTAAAGCCCATCAGGAGTTCATTTGGGGATCGTTCGATGGGTGTACTGATTGTGTTGTTGAGACTGAATTGTAGGGCTGGTATTATACCGATCCATGGTATGTCGGAAGTTGCCGTGTGGTATCGTATGGCGATTTCCACTGTCTGGTTTTGGCGTTCTGATGTACCGTCTGTCTGGGGATGGTATCCTGTGCTAAATGCGAGTTTTGTGTCCATCGCCTGGAAGAGTGCCTTCCAGAATTCACTCATGAATTTTGAGTCTCTGTCACTCACTATGACTTTAGGTATTCCCCAATCATAGAGTAGGAGGGATCGAATAAGCGCCTGGGCCCATTGTTCGGCTTTGTATCGTGTGGAGCCTGGAATTAAGATGGTTTTGCGAGACCATTTGCAGGTGACGGTAAGCAGTGAGTCCATTTCCAGGTTACAGTCGGGAAGTTGCCAGAAGGAGCGTGCGCTTGTCGGAGGTAGTTTTACAATGAAGTCCATAGCGATGGTATGGAACGGTTGAGGTGGGGACATGATAGGTTGAAGTTCCCCTGGTGGTTTAGTTCGTTCTGTGCTGTGTTTGAGGCAGATTGGGCAATGGTTTATGTATTGTTGTACTTTTTTTGATATGCGCCTAATACTGAGTCCTTCAAGTGCGGCCACAGTTTTCTTTATTCCTGCATGGAATTGTTCATCGTGTGCGATCGATAGGATGAGTTTCAGACAGTTATCTGGGATACACAGTTTGTCAATGCCGTTTATTTCTTTCCGGTAGAGGAGATCATCTTCCATGAAGAACGGAAGTTTAATATCGCTTGTATTGTCGGTGAGTTGTGCGATGATTTTATGGTATTTTTTATCTTTTTTATATCCTTCTAAAATTTGGGCTTTCAGGACTGGGTCGATTTTAAGGGCATGTGTCGTATAGTATGTGTCAACAAGGATATCATCCAGTTCGTTATGTGCTTCTTCGAAAGGTATTCCTTCCTGGTTTGCCTCGTGCCGCTGGTCATGAAAAGTAGGGAGCCTTGAAAGTGCATCAGGGACAAAGTTTGTTTTTCCAGGAATGTGGTGTATGTTGAGGCGAAATTGACTGAGATGTATTGATGCAACCATCAATCGGGAATTGGCTTTCAGGAGGTCTGAGGTTCTGGCTGATGTATGTTCCAGTATTCCTTTTATTGCAGAGTGGTCTGTGAGGACCTGTACGGGATGGCTGGAAGATTGAATTATGGTTTTCAGCAGACGGCAAGCCCATACAAGGCATGCCAATTCCAGCTCGGTTGGTTTATACCTTTGTTCTGATTTAGAAAGTAGTCGACTGAGGAACATAACTGGTTGTACGTTCTGGTATGGTGTTGCTTTATCCCAAGTGTCATTTTTTGTATGGAAGAGGAACGCCCCGAATCCCCTACCACTGGCGTCTGTCTTGAGGAAGAGTGGTCTTGCTGGGTCATGATGGTATAGTTGGAGCTTTTTTGAGAGGTGGTCTTGTAAGATTTGGAACGCTTCCTTTTCGGCCGTGGTAGGTGTAAAAGTGACTTTCAAGAGTTTAAAGTGTCGAACTTTTTTGTTTATGTTGTCTGTTTTTTGGCCTTGTTTACGAAGTTCGGCGAAGAGTTGTGTCTTTCGGCTCTCGAGTGGTTGTGCTTTTTGTTGGAACTTATAGATGAATTTTCTTAGGAATGTCGCCATACCAAGGTATGTTTCCAGGTCTGCGAGGTTTGTTGGTATTTTAATGTCTGCTATTGCCTTGATTCGTTCCTCCGTTGTTGCAAGGCCGAATGCATCAACTTGAAATCCAAGCAGGTGTACTGAAGGGTATCCGATGAATGACTTTTTGGGGTTTATGGCTAGTCGGAGGTTTTCGAATAGCTTGAAAACCGTGCGCAAATGTGTACAGTGTTCGTCGAAACCATCGCTGGATATTACAATATCATCTATGTATGCGCGGACGAATTCTCGGTATGGGTATAGTTTTTGGTCCATGAATCTTTGAGCAAACGCAGGACTATTTTTAAATCCCATAATAACCACATGGGACATTTCCAAACCGCGCGGGCTGATCAGTACCATGCGGTCCTTATGCTTGCTATAGATGGGCAGTTGGTGGAAGAAGGCTGAAGCGTCAAGTACGGTAACGTATCTCTTGTGTCGGAGAGAATTAATGATGTCTTCCTGGGATGGTATGGGGTATATATCCGGTATGGTGATTTTATTTAAGGGTCGCAGGTCTACTACCATTCGGCCTTTTCGCTGTCCATTGACCGTCCGCCAGACTACGAAAATTGGGCAACCGAATGGTGTTGGTTGTTTCATCCAACTCGCTCGGCCTTGTGTGTGGAAGTCATCCATCACACCATCCAGGTATTTTCGGTCTTCCAGTCCGAGAGGGTATGGTCGGATGTGCATTTTTTGGTTTTGCCAATTATCCACAAGGTCAATGCGCATTTTTTCTTCTTCGGGAAGGGGTATAATGCCTCTGTCCCTCCAGATGTCGTGGTCAAGGGCGATTTTTTGGAACATGTCTGCTTCCCGGGCGTGTTTGTCGCAGATGTGGATACCGTTTGCCATGGTTCTGAATGGAATATCGGTTGGTCTGGATGTAGCTCCGTGTTTCTCATTTGGCAGCGGGCGTGGGTTAGTGTCGCGACGTTTTGTGTCTATATCCTCATCTGTGAGGCTCAGTATTTCGTTAAGTGAGGATTCGTCTAATCCGTGTGTCGCAAGGTTGTCATGTGTGTCAAGTATCGCGCTTGCTTGGGCTTCTGAGATATGGAAACAGTCGTCGCTATCGTAGTCAGAAAGCGTACCGACCTTTTGCTTTCGACGAAGGATAAGGGGTTTATCAGAGTTGTTGACGGCGAGGACCCAGCTTGCGCCAGGTGTGACTCCGGGCGTTTGTAGGGTGCAGATGTGATCCATGACACCGTCTGTCTGCGATGTAAAATGGTATGTTCGTCGAGTACCGTGTGGGTCCAGTTCCTCAAGTTCCGCGTGGTACACCGGTACGCGAATGCTTGAGTGCGGTGCGACGACAGTGCCTTTGGATACAATTACTCGTCTGTGGATAGGTTTGCTTTTGTGTCGGATCTCAATTGGAACGATTGCTCCGTGAGCTGCTCCCACTGTAAGGTGTCGTTGTGAGATAATAGGGTCAATATCATATTCATCAAGGAAGTTCATGCCGATGAGCATGTTTGGTTTGAGTACCGGCTTCACCCAAGCTTCTGTGTGAAAATGTATGTTGACTGGTGTGCCCTTTACTTGTCCTTCCACATAGAAATCGAATCTTGCTTTTGTAGTCAGTGTAAGTGGACCATTTACTGCATTCATAACGTTCGGTTTGTCGGGATTGTATAATTGGGCATTGGGAGAGAAGGTTTTCAACCATGTTTCGTCAACGAGCATATCGGAACAGCCGGTATCGACTGCAGCTGTAGTAGCTGGTCCGTCCAGGTTGAACTTTAAGGCGACTTGGGCGTATTTGTATCTTGGTATGTCGCCGTATTTGGGGTTTCGTTGTGCTTCGATGACTTGGTTTCGTTTAAAATGAAGATTTGCGATTTCTGGTGGAGTTTGTGGCTGATTGTCCACAGTCGGTTCAATGTGGAACGCAGATGTTGTATCATCCGATTTTGTCTGGGATGGTTTAGTCGGCTCAATTCTTTTGGAGTCCTTGTCGTGGGGTCCAGTGCCGGGAGGTTTTGGCAATGTGCACGTATTTGAATAGACGTGGCGCATTAGTGTCGTTCGCGATGTAAATTCATGGTTGCATTTGCGGCAGATTTGAAGCTTACGGGCTTCCTTCGGTGCCGACCACATTCGGTTCGGTCTGAAGGGTAACACCAATTTTGTGTTTGGTGTGGTATGGGCAATCACGGAAGGGGACGTAATATAAGTGGAGGTGGTTTCATTGCAAGCTACATAAGAATGTTCATCTTCGGATAAGTCAAATTCTTCCACGAATTGATAACCTTGTTCCTCCAGATTGTGTTCAATATCCGCTGCTTCAGCATCGTCTGCGGCGACGCATATATCTTCGGTTTCGTTCTCTGCAAGGTTGGCGGTGGGGTTTTGAGGAGGGGACCAGCGACGGTATATGCGTCTGAATTGTCTAGGCTGTCGGGAGAAGTATCCTCCGTTTCGCCAGAATCGTTCCCGACGCGCGTCATTGTAGTTTCGTCCGCGTCCACTTTGGTATGATGGTCTTGTTCGCCCTCGGTTGTGGAAGAAGGGTGCTTGATATTGACGGTTTGGGGTTCTAAATCCGGTGAACCCGCCGCGCACGTTTTGTCCTGGGTTGTTCTGGTATTGGCGTGGTTCGTTTGGTTGCTCGCGGCCGTTGTACCAATAGCTGGTGTGTTCCGCTTGGTCTGGGTTTGGTTGGACGAAAGCAGCTGTA